AACACATACAATGAAGAGCTTTGTGTGCGTGTGCGGTAGGCCGCATGCGCGAAAGGCGATCCTATTCTGGCTGCTGCAATTCAGCTACTGGCTCGGGGAATCAGGCAAGGGAAAATGCAAAATGAGAATAAATTGAAAGGAACGCGAGAAAGGGACGGCTAACCAACCCTCCTCTAACCCCATTTAATGCCAAATTGAGCACTCATAATAATTCACCATTCACCATAAAAGAAAGCCATAATTCGATTAACTCGTGCCCTGCCTCCATCTAGCTAGAATTAAAGCCCTTTGTTCACTAGTCATTAATCATTATTATGAAAAAAACACCTCAAAAATAATTTAAAAAATCCATAAAATTATACATAAATATTCTATATGAAAATTAATATAAATTAAATCTCCTAAATTATATATAAATAATAAGATATAAATATTACTTTTTTACCTATATAAAAGGTCAAACCAGCTATTATTTTATGAATTTAATCGATATTAATTTTTTTGCATGGTGTTTATTTGAAATTTTAAGAGTCTTTTTTTTTTGAAAATTTTTAGCCATTTAACTGTTAAAGTTAATTTCTTTTAATAATAAAGAGTCCAATAAACCATTTTTAAATGTATTAAAAGGCAAAATTACACCACAAGAAAATTTAGGATATTAAATGCTCATGAACAAATGGTTAAAAAGTAAAAATACTATTTAACTCTTGAATATATTTTATAGCCTTTTTTAAAAAAAATTATAAATATCAAAAATACAATTCATTTAATATAATCTTAAATAATAAGAGAGACAGAGAACAATATAACAACGGAAAAGTATGCTTAATTGAACCTTGGCTTTATCAAACTATCTATATTTTAAGATACTCAATCATCTCCAAAATTATATTATAAATTGAGAGGAATGGAAGGGAGTATATGATAATCAGATGTGTAGATTAATCAGACAGACCAGACACCGAGACATGAGGCAAGGCTGATGAACGCCAGCTCAACGATTGAAAGATACAACAAGGACACAGTGATATTGTTTTTTCCATTGTTATTGTTACGTATCACTGTACCATATTAATGTTAAATTTTAAAAGTACGTACTTCAAAGTCGTAATAGCAATTTGCAAAAATATAATTGAATTACCAGCGGGTTTTATCTATTCAATACTTTAAAAGTGAAGGCTGAAGTTAGGAAATGCTGGTTCACAGGTGGATGTAGCATTATTGTTACACGTCTCGGTCCGTTATAGTTAAATTAAACCCATCGTTTTCAGGTTGACGCTAGCCCAGCTCATCTTAAGTCACAATCTCTTTTATTTATTTGTCTCTAATAATGAAAAGCGGAGATTAGGGTGTCCTAAAGTTGAATACTGATAAGATTGCAATCGGAAACGAAATAAAGTCGGCCTGATCTTTATCCATTTCTTAACTGCTAATACGATTTGATTATTGCATCTTTTTGTCTTCTGCCTATCAATCATCCCATGTGTTAGCTGAGCTGACTCATCTGTGGTCGGCCGGTTAGTATTGTCATTTCACTTGCTTTCACAGTCCGTGCCACTTGGAAATTGCTTCATTGCTTGGATCTTCCCTCCTTCCTGTCTTCTTCTTCCTTATAAGCGGAAGGAAAATTATCAAGGGATGATTCATTTGATTTTATAATAAATTTTTTTTATTAATATATTAAAAATTTACATATCTTAATTTAATTGAATAAAAGTATATTAAATATATGAAAAATAAATATATAAATCTTTCTCTTTTATTATATATATATATTTATAGCTAATTTGATATTTTGAGGAAAAATGTTAAACCTAAAAAAAATTCTTAAGAAATTAAAAATAAAAAATAGAATGATAAATAGAAAATTTAATTTTTAAACAGGTAGAATTAAATGATGAAATTCAAAATATTTGATTATAAAACATTAAAATAAATCCATACATTACAAAATATTTAATTCATATGAGCTACATTTTTTTTCCAAAGGTAGAACTAACAAATATAAAATAAAATTATTTTAAATGAATAATTCAAAAATCAATTTAGATGTATAATAACAAAAAATATAAATTTTAGGATATATATTTTTATGGTTAATTTGATATTTTTCAAGAAAGGAAAATCAATCTTAAATTACATTTTAAAAAAAGTAAAATAAAAAATTCATAGATGGTGTTTTTTTGCGATCTAGTTCCATGAATTTATTGGGGTTGGGGGGGGGGGGGGAGTATCCTTGCGCTAGGAAATGAAAAAGTGATTCAATGAAGGAGAAACACTCAATATTGAATATATTTACTTGAAAGGTGAGCATTTGTGCAATTTTGTGCCGACGTGACATCCGTTTCATACGATTCGCTCCGTCTTTTGTTTCTATTTTTCCACCACCATGCTTCAAAGCTGCTTTCTGGGTTTACGTCAAGTAAGCTCCTATCTCTCAACGAGCTTCTCTATTTTTCTAATGAGCTTTTAACATCTAATTGAGACTTGAGCCATTCAAATCTCAGTTAGGATGTAAACCAAAGATGCCTTTAGTTTTTAGGATGGGTGGTAATAAATTTTATTCTCAAAGCAAGTTTGGAAATAGAACTTTCAAATCTCATATCAAACAAATCTAATTAGAAAATGTATAGTTTTTTCAAAAAATATATGCCAACTCTTATATAAAAAATTAATTATTTGATTTCTATAATTTTAATTCAATTATATCCTAATCTTTATATTGACTCAATTGTAATTTAACATTTAAAAGTTGACTAAATACAATTCAATTCCCATAATTTTAATCATTTAAATGTCCTTTTATTTTTAAAAATAAAATTATAAGGACTAAAATTATTTATTGAAACTTAAGAATTAGTGTTTTGAATAGCTAAAAGTCTAGAGATTAACTTGCGATTAGTCAATATCTTGAAAAAATGAATTAAAGCTGAGTCAAACCACACAGATTAAATGTGTGTTTGACTTTTAGTTTGTAAAAAGTCAATTCGATAAAAGTTTAATTGGTAAAAATTAATTTAATAAAAGTCAGTTGTTATAATAAAATTTATATTTGGATATATTTTTTTAAAAGTCAACTTGACAAATAGAATGTTGTTTGGATTAATAAAAATTTATGTTTTTAAAATGTACTTTTAAATATGTAATAATAAAAAAAAATATTGATTTATAATAATTTTAGTTATATAAATATAACATATTAAAAATAGAAAAAAAAATTTTAAATATCATAAAATTTAATATATTAAATAATAAGAATAAAAATATGTAGTTTAATACTAGAAAAAATTAAGACATAAAAAGAATATTATGATCATTCATAAAAGTAAGTATAATTCAACTCTCATCTACAATTTTAAATCTATCAAAAAATAGAATTGACAAATTCATATTTTAACCCTATCTTAACTCACATTTACAATAAGTGTGTGTTTGGTTATTTATACATATAATTTGTATAAAAATTGCAACTCCACTTTCCACTTACTTATACATTCGAAATTTCAAATCCACTATTACTTGCAATTTTTTTATATAAAAATTAAGGGTAGTATAGTCATGTCATAAATTAATGGATCATATTTAAAAACACATCTCAAAAGTGAAAGAAAATCAAATCGAGCAAATTCACACTCAATAATTTTCTCAAAATACATCTATGAAAGTACTTTCATTACATTTTTTATGTTTAAAATAACTTTTAATTTTCAAAAAGCATTACAAAGTATTTTTTACAAATTAAAAGTAAAATTATCAATATACTTTAAATTAAAGTGAGTTAAAATTTAAAAAACGTAATTAATTTTTTTTAAATAAAATAATGAAAGTGCATGTTGTTGTTCCACAAGATAGCTTTTGTTGGGCCATCACTTCCCTGATATGACTGTGTCCTAATTTTAAGTTTTAAAAGTTTGGCCGGTTTTAAAAGATCAAGTTAGTCTAATTTATAAGTGGTGCACTCCTTTCACCTTTATATATAAAAATTATTTTAAAATTTATTTTTATTTTTAAATATAAAAAATTCTTAACATATTTTTAATAAATAAATCATTATACACTTATTAAATTAAAAAATAAATATATTTATTAATTTATTTTTAAAAATTTATTTTTTATTTAACATAATTAAAGTTAAAATTAAAATGTTATTGTGTTTTTAATTAAATAATTAATTTTTATAATTTAATTTAAAATATCTTATGTGACGGTAAATTATCGAACAATATTTTTCTGCCACTGACGGTCAAACTGCACCAAAAAGAAGATAAAGCTACAGCTGCTACTGCTTGTGTGAGAGAGACCTGACAAGTTTGACAGTTTCCACTTTCCGCTTTTCACTTTTCACTGGGTATTCTAAAATTTCGAATCTTCTCATTATGTATTCTTTTCAATAAAAGTTCTGGTGAGTTAGCTTGGAATCAGGACACGCTTAGAGAAGTATTTATATATAATTTACTAATATGGTTCTTATATTGAAAATGAGATTTAATTTCACAACTTTATGAGTTATGGATCAAATTTTTATTAATTGAATGAATCTATACTGGTTCTTGTTATGTTTTGTAAACGTTACCACCAGGCCACTATTGCTCTGGTTCCCTGAAAAGGCAATAAATTGGCTTCAAATTACAGGACCACTCTTGTGCTGGAGTCTTTCCATGAGGCCAAAGGATCCCACTCTTGAAATTCAATCATCTAATCGGGTGTGTTTATCGTTCATCACACACGTTTCTAAAAAGCAAGTTCCAATGAACATAATAATTCAAATCAATCACGAGGTTGGCGTTCCTGATCGGAGGAAAAAAGTGTCATTAAATATTTAAGTTCCTAGTTTTGATTTTTCATCATCACGAACGGACTCTGAAATTCTCGCAGAAACAAATCAAACTACTCACATTCCAGAGGGATGGGGCCCATCTCAGTGAGTCGCCAAGCAAATGACAATGCATTTTACATCATATACATTATACAGTACGTGTCTGTAGCGCACATATTGCGACATAACCTCCCTTTCAAGCCCAATCTTCGTTTTCTTTCACTCATTCTTTCCCGGTGGGCGATTTTTCTTGCAAGTTACATAGGCATTTTCCTACGCCTCTGTTATAACGCCATAAAAACACCCTCCACTACCTCCTTCTTTCTTCTTCTCTCACATCTCTCTCTTCCTCTCTGGATAACTCTTATCTGAGTCCGTGATGATCAGAAACTAATCGTCCTTTGAGTGATGGGATCGTGTGCTTCAGTCCACAGAAACTCGGAGGCGGACATGAAACTCCGGTTGTCATTCGTGTCAAAGACTGAGAATCTGATGATTCCACCGTCGCCCATTAAGGAAAAGCACGATAATGACAACTTTCGAATCGACGATATCAAGTCTCAGTGGTCGCCGACTCTGTCAACCACTGCCTTCAAAGTCGATTACGGTACGGTCCTTGTGGTTTATTACTTCAAAAGCTGTCTGTCTTATAATAGGTTATTGGGTTGTTTTCTACTTTTGCTTGGCTTTTTGAAAGACCCCGACTTTATTTGATTTATCGTCATCACTCTTACTCTCCTGATGCAAAGATACTATTTTTATCAATATATTTCTCATCAGGAGAGAAGCTTAACATTCTTGTGAATATTTCTGGGATTCCTCTTACCGGATGATTTTAGTGGTGTGGGGTCTTCCAGGTTTTATTTTTGTTATTTTACATGTTAGCAGAAATCTGAACTTCCTCATCCGATCGTTTATTGAATGTTTGTACCGTGTGAGGAAACACGTTTTTCTTAGTCTGTTCTGAAACAGAAGAGAATATTTTCTGTTCGTATGGTCTTTGACTCTTTCTGATATGGTGTACACTTGTGGATTATATTGAATGAAACACCATCAAAGCAATAGTGCTACCTAATTTGTTTCATTATGGATATGACAGATATGATCTGGGTCGATTCCTTACATTCTCGTTGGTTAGGACTAGGCATCCCGAGATACTAAGAAGACTTCTTCCTTCTTTCCTGTCTCTATGCATAAACGTTGATAAGATAATTTTGCCTATATGAATTTACTTACCCTATAAATTCGTAACCTCGTAAAATGAGACAAACAGGCACCAAAGTTTCATTGCAGTTATATTTCACGAATTGAACTTATTCTTTTTCTGCTGGTTTCTTTGGAATAGAAGGGAGGGTTTACCTAAACTCCTTGTATATTGCCAGACGCTATCCAGATTAACATTCACCAACATGTTTTTGTGCGCGCGCGTGTTTAGCTTCTATTCTATCTTCGATCTTGTGGTGCTACTAGTCTAGCGTGGTCACAAACTGATTTCTGTGTCTCTGTATTTGAATTGCAATTCCGATGAGTGTTAAGTCAAGTTTTACTTTTGCCCTTTACATGGATGAATGGACTGCCATGAGATGAGGATGTGGTTTATTGTTAGGGAAGAAAGCAAGAGCTTTCAATTTCTGGAAGTTAGTTGGAAGATATTCATTGGCTATAAAAGCTTAATCTGTAATGACACAGAGATATCAATAAAACTGTGTCAGTGGTCCATTTAATTAATGCCAATGCCTTCTTATAGAAAAACGTGAGATAGGAAATTAGTGTTGGATGTGTAAGCCTTATGTATAATCTGCTGCATATGTTGTGATTGTTCCGTCATAACTTGTCAGTCTGATTTAATAGCAAGTCCTTCAACCATCAAAAACTGGAGTGACTAATGGTCAAGCCTCTGAAATTCAGTTTCACTTGTAAAGACCCAAAATCTAGAAGCAAACTAGTCACTTACTATGTCGCATTGATTGTCAGTTCCAAAAAAGAAGAATGGCATTGATTTATCCATTTTTATTTATTTCAATTACTGTACATCTTGAATTAATATTTTTTGAATGATATGTCATGCTCTTGTGAGCATGTTGTTATAACAAGAGTTTTTCCCTTGTGCAGGTAGCAAAGAGGAAACGTTTTTTGACTCCAAGCCCTGGTTAGACTCTGACTGCGAAGACGATTTCTATAGTGTGAATGGTGGTAAGAATTCAATGATTTTCCTTCTGGCACCTCTCAGCCGTGTTCTTTCTGAACTGAATAAATGTGGAGGGAAAACTTAAAATCAAACAAAATCTGGCTTGAAACGAACATTTCATTATTCATAATCAGTTTCTACTGTCATAGAAGTAAAATCAGAACCTTTTTCATCCAGATGAGCTGTCATTCCTTAATGTCTTTTTCATCTTTTCCCAGAGTTTACTCCATCTCGTGGCAACACTCCAGTTCACACCTTTGGGACCCCTAACCTGGATAAATCCCCTTTTGAGAACATAATTCCTGGTTCTACACCTGGACTACCTCCACCTGGAAAGAAAAAGAACTTGTTGGAGCTTTTTCGAGATAGTATTAGAGATGATCACTATCCTGATCTAAACCTCTCAGGTATTGAAAACATGGCCAATGGGAAGACGGAAGGAAAGCCAAGTTTAAATGACACTGCATCAAAATCTTCAGGAAGCACGCCTTATATCTCAGGGACTAACTCTGTGTCTGCCAGTGAAAGAATCCCAAATGGGGATACTGTATCAGCTAAAGAGAAATCAGTGAAATCGATGCAGGGCTGCCTTCCAAGCTTGGTTTCATGCCGTAGCTTCAGTGAGAGGAAGAGGAGGATGAGTCCTGCTGTAGCAGCCAATGGAAAAGTTTGAACCTTGTTGAAATCTGATGACAAATAAAGTGTCTTACTCACTGAATACTTTGACTGTTTGATAGTGTATATCTTAAGGTCTAAGTGTAAAGAACCCTGAAGATATGAGTTGGCAGCCTGTACATCTTAAGAGGAAGAGATTCTCTATGCCTATAAGCTTATGGTATTTTGCTGTCATTATCAATCTAAGTAGTTATCTTTTACAATTGGATAGTATGTTTTTTATCATGAAGTTTATTTCTTAGACAAATACCGATTCAGCGTCCCTGAGTGCATTAAAATGGAGTTTTAAATCACTTATGGTTGATAACAAGATACAATACAATGTGGTGTTAATTGTTATTCCCGTTTTAAGTGGCACTTGTTGAACCAACCTTTTTGGGGCCGATGCATAATCAATGGTGGATGGCGTAAATTTGGGCCAAGTACGACCTTTTTGTCATTTTGGGTTTTGACACGTGTCAAGACTCGAGCATTAACCGAAAGGCTTCACTAGGTCATCAAAGCTCACGTATGGATTATTTAAGAACCAAATGGCCCAGAGACATGACCGAAAGAAATGTATGGTAAGGGGGGGGGGGGAACCTATTATGAAAGAAGGCGATCCGCTTTAAAGATAGAGGCCAACGTTATTGCCAAAAAAAAAAAAAAACGATTGAGGCCAAAGTTGAAATACGTCACAAAAAAAAAAGATGATCTATTTTAATGAGCAAAAAAAAAAAAAGGATCTATTTTCCAGGCGTAACAAAGTCATATCCTAATGAAACATTCATCATTGAAAAAAAAAAAAGGATAATTCTTCATTAGATATTGCATCTACTTTAACAGTGTTTGAAAAACAATGCATGGTCCTTTTACATGGAGTCATGCATCCATCGCCTGGTAAAAAGAGAACTCTTGCAATTAAGTAGTCTTGAACAACTTCTGTCAATGCAATGTATCTATAATTTTCACAGCTGACGGAACTTTACTTTTCACCTCAAGAACTATTTCTACGATTCAGATTGAATGCGCGTCAAAAAATAAAAAGCAGATATGGCTTTAAAATCAATTTTCCCTCCTTTGAATTCAGAAGCGCACTGATTCTCAAGATGAAAACGAATTGATCTCAGAACCAGCACAACAAATCTCTATTCTCTTTTAATTTCTGCATCCTAAATGCATTGATCCACTTTCTTCCTTTTTTTCTGTTGGCTTCGTTTCATCAGAAGAGGATGGACACATAGCAGAAGTCAAAGCAGACAGAAACCAAACCCATGCCCATACCTCAGTAAAAGAGCTTGAGACTTCGCTCTGGTATGTCGCTGTTGATTCAAGTCCAAGTCCATCCTATAAGACCCGAAATGGGTCCTGCACATTGTGAACAAAACCTCTACTTTGGCCAAAAGATATTATTACTCAGTTCCAAAAGTAAAAAAGGGAAAAAGAAAGCAAAGCAACAACTCGGTTTCCCATCCTGTGCCTCTTTTTCTGTTTAATTCATTTCGCCTTTCTTCTCCTACATATAGAGGATCCCTCAATATCAATTCCTCACCAAGTATGGCTCACCAGGGCTCCATGGGTTTTCTTGCTACTCTCTCCCTCTGCGTCCTAGTCATAGCTGGTTTGTCTCATGGAGCATTGGCTTCAAGGAAAGCTTTCTTTGCTCCAAAATATGCAGCTACTGAGCCTCTAGCAGATGGTATATGTGCGTCTTCGGTCATTGCGCATGGCTACAAATGCCATGAACTTAAAGTAAGACCTCAGAATCGTGATAATTTCAACCTTGAAGGGCAATTTGATTAACGAATTTCCGAAATAATCATATTTGTTTTACAGGTTACAACCAAAGATGGGTACATTCTTAGTTTGCAGAGAATCCCAGAAGGCAGAGCAGAGGCAAGAGATCACAGTGGGACTAAGAAGCAGCCTGCCATTATACAACATGGAGTACTAGTGGTAAGTGTCTGAGTGACCCATCTTCCAGATTCCGTCTGTTGAAGGCCAGGTCAGTAACTGTAGAGGGAGCTTCTGGCATTAGAGGGACCGGAAATCTAGTCAGACATATATCATATGTATCTGCGTGAAGTTGACGCTTTTCTTGGTAAAAGTGACAAAAAGGGTCCACTTCCGCGTTCGTTACACTATGGCTCTAAAGTCGCTGTCTAGGCTTTTTTTTTCCCCTCCCTTACCCATAAATAATAGCGCGAGTGACGCTCATGTGTCGGGCTGGGTTACTTAAACGTTACACTTGATGAGTAAGCTACGATATGATTAAGCTAGTTAAAGATGTCTGACGAATGGGATGTGTTCCGGGATCTTCGGACATTGATCTCGTAACTCTCTGTTACCATCCCGTTTCAAAAATGTCTTCTTTTTACCCTCAAGAAATTTGAGGATAACTTCTAATTTATTTGACTGTTGTTAGATACATCAAAACATCGGCAGATGGCAAACTAGGTACTACTAGGTAGCCGTTACTCCTGACTTTTGATTATCTGCAGTGAAACAGGGCAAATGGCTATTATAAGTGAACACGTGTTATAATTTACAATAAATGCTACATAAATCAGTTACTATAATTAAATGACCACGCTTGTCTTTCACCTATACCCTCGTCGTGCCTGTGTCTGGTTTCTGGGATGACAAACGTTCTTGGCTTCAAGTTGTTCTCTATTTATTCATGGATAGTTTGTATGTGACCACGTCTAGCAGCAATGCAAATATTAAGTGGGTTGGTGCGGCGTGCAACTTTAGTCCAATGTCATCTTTCATGAAGCACTAGGACTGATGATTGTGGATGGCTTTAATACTAAATATGTTAATAATATGGCGTGCTTGATGCCCTCAAAACGACGATGTTGGTGCCCTTGCAGGATGGAATGACATGGCTTCTGAATCCACCAGAACAAAGCTTGCCCTTCATTCTAGCTGATAATGGCTTCGATGTATGGATTGCTAACACCAGAGGGACCAGATATAGCCGCCAACATATCTATCTGGACCCTTCTAGCCCGGTTAGTTTATCTTTTTTTGTTTTTTCTTTTTGAAATTTTACTGGATTTTTTCCTCAAAAGTTAATTTTAATTGATTATGCATTAAATATTTATGTAAAAATGACAGGACTTCTGGAACTGGTCTTGGGATGAACTGGTTAGCTATGATCTACCGGCTGTTTTTGATTACGTGTTCAACCAAACAGGGCAGAAGATTAATTACGTTGGGCATTCTCAGGTACGGCATCACAACTTTTCAGCCAGAGATGTGTACCACAGAAACTTAAACCCTGTGTATCAGTGTATGAATTATGAATCCTACAAATCGATACAACAGCAATGTCATGAGATGTTAATGCACTGTTTCACTGAAATTTGAATACCATGTTTGCCAGGGAACATTGATAGCCTTGGCATCCTTCACGGAGGGGAACTTGGTGAACCAGCTGAGGTCAGCTGCCTTGTTGAGCCCCATTGCTTATCTGAGCCACATGAGTACCGCACTTGGAGTTGTGGCTGCGAAGTCTTTTGTTGGTGAGGTAGAAAAGCCTATCAATAACCTCTCTTATCATTACACAGCCATAAATACTGGAGATACGAAGGCTAATTCATGGAATATTGTATTTTGCCAAACAGATCACTACCTTATTCGGTCTGGCGGAGTTTAATCCTCGCGGGTAAAATCATACTACAATTTACTGTATAAAATTATAAGTATCCTTGTTTATGTCTTGAAAACCCCATTGGTGATCATTATGATGTTTAGGCTGCCTGTTGCTGCTTTTGTCAATTCTCTCTGCGCTTACCCAAGAGTTGACTGCTACGACTTGTTAACTGCACTAACTGGGAAAAATTGCTGTCTCAACTCTTCCACGGTTGATCTGTTCATGATGAATGAACCCCAGCCTACATCAACAAAGAACATGGTGCACTTGGCTCAGAGTAAGATTTACTTTTCACTAGTGCAGATTATTGTATGTCCAGTTCTAATATGGCTGCTCAGGAGAAACTTTTTGTTGCAGCTGTAAGACATGGGGTTCTGGCAAAGTTCAACTATGAGAGACCAGACTATAATATTATGCATTATGGAGAAGCTTTCCCTCCGCTTTATAACCTTTCCAATATTCCCCATAACCTCCCTCTCTTTGTTAGCTACGGAGGACGAGATGCGCTGTCTGATGTTCTTGATGTTGACAACTTACTCGATGCACTCAAGTTCCACGATGTTGACAAGCTTAGTGTTCAGTTCATCAAGGACTATGCTCATGCCGACTACGTCATGGCGTTCAATGCGAAGGACTTAGTGTACAACGAGGTTCTCGCGTTCTTTAAGCGCCAATTTGATACATGATGCAGCAAAAGCTCAGCTTGAAAGTTTAAACTACCACAACTACATCTTACAAAAATGCCATGTATTGGTTATCTATCTGATCAATCTAAGTTATCTAGCTATTGATCAACTCTCTTTCTTCTTCTTTTTCCCTGGCCAGATCTCCTTCTCATTTTTTTTGGGCTTTAGGAACTTCGCTTTTGCATGGACATGGCTTCAGAACCCATCTATCAAGTTGGACTCGTGGCCCAGGCTAGGCTGTCTCTGCTGCGACATATACTAATCAAGAAAAGCAATCACCACTAGTTCTCGTCCTAGAGTTAATACTAAACAATGTGAATGCTGAAGAAAATGAATCTCATCAGTGAAGCAAATGAAAAGAAATTTGCATCCAAAATGCTCTGACTTCCAAAAAGAAAAAAAAGAAAAACATAGTTAGACTGCTACTAAACTTCCTTCTATAAATAATATTAGATTGAAATTCCTTAATACTGCGCAAGTTTTGAATGCTCAATAATTGCGGTGTCATTAAGGTTTTATTAACATATTATGATCGAAATTTCCACATGAATCTGTAGTCTGGATTGAAAATTTGAACTTCGAGACTAGCCGTGCTTGATAATCATGATTTATGATCCCTTAGTTTGAACGCCAAGCTTTGACAGTCTTTTTATCTATCAGAATTTGCTTAGCGGGCAATCTACACACTGAAAGCCCGCGAAAGAAGTTTCCCATTGTTTTGCCCTGGAATCGAAGACATGACCAAGTGATGTTGATCCAACTAAGTTGAAGCATTCTTTATATTACATTCATTAACAATTTAGCACGTTACTCTATAACGACCCCCAAGTTAAAATTGTTTTCAGCTTATAATATACAGAAAGAAACTGTTTCATGTTGACAGTGAGGCCTAATATGCTAACTGCTAACCGGTATAAATAGTTGCAGACTAATAATCCAAGCACAACCCAGCGAACCAGGAGTAACTAGACAGAGGAAGAGGCACACACAAAAAAAGGAAAAAAAAAAAAAAGAAAACCATGGGGCTGAAGAACACAATTTTCTTGGCATTGATTGCTTCGTTGTTCGCCAAGGAAGCCTTGGCGGCTCAATATGAAGTTGGTGGAAGCCAGGGTTGGGATGAATCCACAGATTTTAATACATGGTCTTCAGGGCAAACATTCAAGGTCGGCGATCAACTTGGTATGTTTATTCTCCTCCATAATTTGTTAAAGCTTCTTCATTTACCCCCATTCCATTAAAATTAGTAAAAAAATGAAGTCTCGTTTTGCAGTTTTCAAGTACAGTTCAGGGTTGCATAGTGTGGTTGAATTTGGCAGCGAAAGCGACTTCAAGAACTGTGATATTAGCAATCCAGTGAACTCCATGAGCAGCGGGAACGATGTGGTGAAATTGAACAAGGCAGGCACGAGGTACTTCGCTTGTGGAACCGCAGGTCACTGCGCGCAAGGCATGAGGGTGAAGATTACAACAGTTGCCGGGAATGCACCCTCGACGCCTTCTTCATCGTCGTCATCTTCATCTTCCCCTGCTTCGACTGCTTCCGCAGCTTGCGCTTCGCAAGGGCTTGCTGTCTCCATCATGCTAATTTTTGCATTCTTCGTCGTGTCTCTGTTCGGCTCGTATTAAGGAGTGAAGCTCGCGTTCGAGGAGAAAAAAAAAAAAGAAAAAGAGTTTAAATTAGAATCACGAGTGTTTTGTGTGGTTATTGAAGATTGAGAGGGGAAATATATATATATTTCCTTTTATTTTATTATGTCCTAGTTAAATAAAAGTTGTTGCGACTTGTGAGATTAATTTGGATCTGGATTGGGTTTTTTAGGTCTAACTAATTTTTTTAAAGGTCTTAGTTTTATATTATCGTCCAGATTTAAGCATGGCGGTGTCATATCTTATTAATATGTCACTATGTGCTGATTTAAATTTTAGTTGAGTATAATAAATTATAAAAATAATTAATTAAATTATTTATTTTAATTATAATTAATTATATTATAACGCAACATGTTTAAAAATTATTTTTTTAAAATTAATTTTAATAAAATTGAATATGTTTAGATAATTCATTCAGAATCAACTTTAATTATATAAATTATCATAAAGGATATTTTTTTTAAAATTAAATTATTATAAATTTGTATCTAATATTATTAAAGTTGTTACATTTTATTTAAGAGGTAAAATATATTATTTAAATTATATATTTAATTAATTAAAAAACTTAAATTATATTAATATTAGCATTTAAATTTACATAAATAAGTAACTTAATATATCTTAGTTAAAATAAATTTAATAAAAGAGAAATATTTAATTTTTAAATATCAAATATTAATTTTATAATAACTAATAAAGATGATAATATATAAATTGATCTCTAATAACATTATTGATATGAGCTATATTTGTCAAAGATATTAAGTATTACCTTAAAATTTTAACAATATAAAAAATGTAGTAACATATAAATGACACAAAATCTCTCTCTCTTTGAATCTTTATAATAATTTTTGTAATGATCCTTAAATTTAAATTAAATTAAATTAATTTTTTTCTATCAATTAATATTTTATTTGAATTAGTTTTATAATAAATGCTAAGTGGAGGGTAGTAGTTAACAGTAACTCATACTAATAACTTTTTTAAGGATCAAAAGTTTGAATTTTATTAAGAAAAAAAGAGAAGAGAAAAAAATTTAATTTTATTTTATTAAATTTTGTGCCTTTCTCATAATTTTTTTATGGGTTTTTATTTGTATTTTTTTTTATATTTTTGTAAATTTCAACGCAGAAGCTGACCTTGAAAGCTTTGAGAAAAAATTGATTTTTTGAAAAATTTAGTGTTTGGATAATTGATATCAAAATCAATTTTTTTTCCTAAAAAAATCGATTAATTAGACACTTATTTTCAAGTATCATATTGAAAAAAATGAAGTATTCTAGATTTTTAAGCATTAATACGATTTTTTTAAACACATTAATGATTAATAAAACTAGTTTTTCTTACTTTTGGACAAACGGACGAGCGTGCGTATAAGTAGCTAAAAATTTTATGCTTTTTTCCTTAATTGGGAAAAAAACAAAAAGGCCAGCGCGCCAGGAGAACAGTGACCAAATGCAGAGTTCATGCTCTCGTTACGAGACTACAACTTTTTTCCCAGTTTTTCGCAGCGCTCGTGCTCCGCACAAAACAATACCGATAAAGTGTGGCATAAACAGAGCGAAGCAATGCCGGAGGAGACGACTCCGATCGACTATGTGATGGAGGCAGCTTCAGGGCCTCACTTCTCCGGCCTACGCCTTGACGGTCTCCGTTCATCTCTACCTTCTCCATATTCGTCTCCCATTCATCATTTCTCTGCTTCTGCTCTTGATTCCTCAACCTTAGCCCATGATTCTTCTCATAAACAGCCTTTCGTTATTGGTAATTTTCATATTTTCCATTACATTTTGAAGTTTGATCTCTTTTGGCGTCTTGCAAAGAATTCCATCAGATGTTTCTGTCACTAATTCTGCTTTTAAGTCTTAACCATGCATGATATTTTCCCTTTTCCCCCTCACATTATTCTCGTGTTTTTTGAACTGATTTGCTGCCACGTTCATTTCAATTCTATATATTACGGTTTTGATGGATTTAATGTGCAGGAGTTTCTGGAGGTACTGCTTCCGGAAAGACCACTGTATGTGACATGATTATCCAGCAGCTTCACGATCATCGAGTTGTACTTGTCAATCAGGTTTTCTATCTTGGTTTTTTTTTTCCTGGCAACTTTTTGGTGTGATCAGTTCAATATTTATCGTACGTGGGTAATTATATTCTAACGCTTTTGCTTTTCTGTTCTATTTGATTTGCGTGGTGTTTAGGATTCATTTTATCGGGGTTTGACGCCTTCCGAAATGGAACGTGTGCACGAGTACAATTTTGATCATCCAGGTAATATGCATCTATATATATTTGAATTATCAGCATTGATCGTTTTTAGTTCGTATAAATTTATTCAACTACTTGATGAGATAGTAGCTTATTTTTCTTGATTCCAGACCCCGCTAATTAGTAACTACCTGTTGGTTTTACTCGTAGACGCTTTTGACACCGAGCAGCTTTTAGATTGCATGCAAAAGCTCCTAGGCGGCCACAGCGTCCAAGTCCCAATTTATGACTTTAAGAAGCACCAGCGCTCTACTGATAGTTTCCGACAGGTATCAAGTCAAATTCATGTTGAAGGATATCCCTGCATTTGGTAAATAGGATACTTAAAGTTTAAGGGGAGATTGATGTTTAAGCATGTCAACTACCTTTCTCTATTCTAAATCATTGACTCTTAAAATTCATCCTTCATTGACTGAATACGCAATTTTTTTATTCATTCTAATTTGAATGATGTGTTGTCTTTAATTGTTTATGCATTTTCATTATGACCATTATGCACTTCATGAGTCCAATCACCAGGATGCCTTAACATATATTTGACATGTACTGGTGTAGCAGGTAGAACATGTCAAATCTGTTAATCTCTTGTCATACTTTGTGAGCACCTGAGCTTCACAATGTATCATATTGTCTAACTTACTTTTATCTTTCTGGACCAATGTTTTATTTTTCTTACTTTCCCTTTGCCAAATTATTGTTGACATTATTTGCTTAGGTCAATGCTTCTGATGTCATTATATTAGAGGGAATCCTTGTTTTCCATGACCAACGTGTTCGTGATCTGATGAACCTGAAAATTTTTGTTGATTCAGGTTTGATCCATTTCTATCTTCCTCTCTACTTTCTGATAATGGCCCATGTGCTAGAGAGAATTGTGTCCATATTATTAAATATGACAAATAATTTTCCATCTTTTGCATCTCTTCTTGTCATGATTTTCGTCACTTTTCCCCCCTTTTCTAGCGCTGCGAGTTACCTTTGTTAGGTTCCTATGTTATATAAGGCTTGGCTGAATACTTGGAAGCTTATATTTATAATTTGTTTAAAAATATAGAAATAATAAACTTCTAGAAAATACCTATACAAAATATAACTCCTTTACAAGTTGAGCATGGACTGAGCTATGAAGTGATAAAGGTGACCAAAGTTTCAATCCGAAATTTAGATTGCCAATATACGCTTTGATTGCTATAGCAGAAGCATGGTTTCGGCTCAATGGTTTAACGGCTGTAATGGCGTGATGCATTTATGAGTTCATGAAGATTCACGTTTTCCATCAATTTCATTTCATATTCCAATTGGATAGATCCGAGGTCCTTGTCTTATCAAGAGTAAATGTAATCACATTTGTATTCAGTAGTAGAAAACATAAGGATGCAAATTTTTTCCTTTTCTTTTTGTAGGTAATGAACTAGCAATAACACTACCCATCTATCTGGATCTCACTAAAATTATATTTGTTCATTGATTTCTTCTAGATGCGGATGTAAGGCTTGCTCGTAGAATTAGACGTGATACAGTGGAAAGAGGTAGGGATGTAAGCTCTGTTCTTGAACAGGTAAGCGCAGTGTTTGACCAAGTACTTTCTTGCCATTACCATGGATAGGACCTTTTCTTTTTTCATATAAATGCTTTGCTTTTCGATAAAATTCGCATCTGTCAATAGAATCATTATTTCATAGTCCCCATGAGAGGTAATTAATCACAATTTATTGTGCCTAATTGTCCAAACGTTGATTCATGATTGTCCACTGCAGTATGCAAAGTTTGTCAAGCCTTCCTTTGATGATTTTATTCATCCATCAAAAAAGTATGCTGATGTGATCATTCCACGAGGAAGTGATAATCATGTTGCCATTGATCTTATTGTACAACATATCCAGACCAAACTTGGTCAACATGATATGTGCAAGATATACTCTAATCTGTATGTTATTCTGTCAACATTCCAGGTATTGATGTACTTTATGGGTGAAAGCATCACCTTTTTAATAAATAATTCTATTCTTCATTTCAGACATCCTAATAAAAGAAGAATTTTTTTTTTTTCCAGACATGAGGAGATGATAATGGATGAAATCGTGAAATAGGAGATGGGTTTGTGCATAATTAATGTGGATCGTGAAATAGGAGATGGGTTTGTGCATAATTAATGTGGTAAAGAAAATAGTTTAGGATAACCAATTTCAGAAGCCATGTGCTGCCACCAGAAAGTCTAAAGTTACATCATATAGATTACATAGATTAGGATTAAAGAAGGTGGAAAATCCCTTCCTGGTTCCAAAAAGAAAGGAGCATAGATAATCTGTATAGTGATTAATGGTAGAGTTCGGCAATTCTCTTTTCTGTTTACAAGCTGTAAGATGCTGTGATGAGTTATTACATCTATACGTGGTCATTCACCATTTATGCTGATAAATTTCAGATCCGAGGAATGCATACATTGATTCGTGATCGAGACATATCAAAGCATGATTTTGCATTTTACTCAGATAGACTTATACGGCTGGTACTATATGCCTCTGCTTAACTTTATACTCGATTGGCTTCTCACTTCTTTTAATACTCCGAACTATGGACATGACTGCCTATGTTGATATCTTCATTATCAGGTTGTTGAGCATGGCCTTGGGCATTTGCCATTCACTGAAAAGCAAGTAGTTACGCCAACAGGTAATTATGTATCTTTGCAATTTTCATTTTTCTTCTCTTGCTTTGGAAGTGGGAACGATGCTTTGAACACTGCAACATTTCTGGTAAATATGCAATGGAAGTAGATCTACGTCTGGATATATATCTTACAATCGCTGATCACCTCCAATACTGTTTAGTTGAGTAATCATTATGGATACAAGTTGACATTAAATTTAAGGACTAGGTTTTACCAACAATCTTGTTCTAAACCTCATATATGCATAGTGGGTACTTTCAAGGATTTTTGTTTCACTTATAGTTTTAATTTGAACCAATAAGGACAATTTTTTTTTCTTTCCCTCCTTTTAGGTCCTGTTCTCTATATGTATATTTTGTCACAGAACTACATTGGAATCTGATGCACGTCAGTTTTGAGTATGAGTGAAATGCAGCTCTGTAATTTTCTCCAATATTGGTTTGTTAATTGATTGTACAGCTTAAAAAATTTCTTGTGGTCTGGGAGCATTCAGAATTGTGTCTTTTCACATTGTATTTTGTGCCTATATAAGGGTATAGGCATCCTTATCTGGGTGCTGGCATGTATGCATTACAAGATTTCAATCCTTTTATTGTAAATTTTCATATGACAAGAAATATTTAAACCTAGAATTCCACTTTATTTTGCAGGATCTATCTATACTGGAGTTGACTTCTGCAAGAAATTATGTGGTGTTTCAATTGTTCGAAGGTGAGCTTTGAACCAGGTATTAATTTTGGTAACTCCAATATCTAATTAATCATGGGTTCTCATTGTTTATGCGTTAACCATGCAGTGAGAATTTTGAATCTTAATGCTTACTTGGAATCATTCTCTACTGCACTTGTTTAGGCAGTTCCTCTACAGATGGATATTTCTCTTATTCAGAAAAAAGATGAATATTTCTCCTTTTTTTTTTTTTTTGGGAATGATAGTGGTGAGAGCATGGAAAATGCATTACGTGCATGTTGTAAAGGTATTAAAATAGGCAAAATTCTGATTCACCGAGATGGAGACTATGGAAAACAGGTTAGTAACTTTATTTGAACAAATTGACCTCCCTTCTATCGGTTATAAAAGTATGCACGCGTGATACATATTTAACTTCAAATATTTTGCTCTTCTGAGCAGCTAATATACGAGAAGCTTCCCCAGGACATTTCAGAACGTCATATTTTGCTTCTTGACCCTGTCCTTGCTACAGGTGCTCTTATACTCTCAATAATTTGAAACTTCCTTTATTTATTGCTCTGCTTTACTGTGTCATATTTCATTTTTGCATATGCTTTCCCTCCTGAGATATCTATGATAGCAAATAAAACCACCTTTTGACTCCTTACTTTAAATTCTTGGGATTTGGCATGCTGAAAGAATTGGTAGCCTAGAAAGAATGTAACGTGGTCCACTTCGGGTTATTTCCAAAAGCGTGGTAGCATCAGCAATCTAGCATGTAAATTTTTTTATTTTTTATTTGTTTACCAACAATCTAGCATGTAAATTTTTAATGATGTTATTTTCTAAAATGGAAGACCATTTTCTTCTAGAAGGAGCAGGCGACGGGAAAATTGTATTACCAAAAGAATATTATAGTGATTGTATTGGATAGAAGGTAAAAGATGAAGGTCTAAAACTTGAAAGCCTTATCACTTAATCTGGTTTACATAACAATGAATTATCAACTTTTCACGATTGACTTTAGGCTCAACGCTTAAATTATATCCAATAATAATGTTGAGGGAGCCTGCATGAAACTATCCAGTCGTGGATAGTTTATTGGTTTGAATCTTTCCTATGCAATGGTTACTGAAAGTATTCAAGTTTACATCTTTCAGGCTGTTGAACACTGGTTATGAAAACTTGTATTGTAGGTAATTCTGCAAGCCAAGCAATTGAGTTGCTCATTCAGAAAGGAGTTCCAGAATCCCACATAATATTCCTGAATCTCATCTCTGTGAGTTTTGATGCCTTTCTTTTTCTGTAGATGTGATTGTAATTATTCTTTATTTACTTTTTTCTCCAAGTCTTAAACATACACCGATCCTAATGGGTATCTTCCTGAATTCAGGCACCTGAGGGAATCCGCTGTGTGTGTAAAAGGTTTCCGTCCTTGAAAATTGTAACATCCGAGATTGACGTTGGCCTAAATGAAGAGTTCCGTGTAATCCCTGGAATGGGCGAGTTTGGTGATCGCTACTTCGGTACTGATGATTGATCCTGCAGTCATATAACTAATGATGATGACCTTTGAGGTCGTAGTTATCTTTATTAGAGAAAATCAATAGAAGCTAGCGGCATTTTTGGTTGATGATGATCATGATGCATGATACCATGATCATTCTCCGCATCGACATTTGTGGATGTTAATCCGTTAAGCTTTTGATGACGATCATAAACAAACTCGTATGAGGATTTTCTTTCCAGCTCTACCTATTCTTTTCTATTAGTTAATGTAGAAAATCTTCTAATAAATGCTCTTCCATTACCTATGAGGCAACCAGATCAGTCATCACTGAACATATCCAAACCTTGCACTTGCCTTTTTAAATTATTTTTAACCTTTGAAAGCTTCTTACGCGCAGCAAAGAATGACGCCAACAATTTTCCTTGTTTTATCGGCCACAGTTATTGCTGATAATTTGTTTGTAATTTAATGTGATTATCATTAAAAATTATTTTTCCAGAGTCCAAAATTCAGAATAAATCAATGTCATATTTCAGAGAAAAAAATATTTATATTTCACATAATTTTTGGGCATTAAAAATATGCAGGTCTTTCAAAACTCACAAGAGATAAGCCTCCAAAATCAAAATCCACCATTATTAATATTATCTTATTTTATTTTTTGGGTTTAAATTTTTTTGGCAACAAAAAATTTAGGAGAATTAAATCTTGAAAGTTCATCAAGATTATGGCATGTCTTCAAGTTTAATGAGTACTTATAAAGATGTTTATAGCTTGCTCACTAATAAAGTTTTTATATTAGCATCGAGAGTTGATTTTATAAGCTTATGACTGTAAGCCAACTTTTGTTGATTTTTGAGTTTTAAGTTTGAGTCTATTAGTTTAACCATTTTCTTTCTTAGATAGTGCATAGTGCATTTCTAACCTAAAAATTTAAGGCTATGTTTGGTTTGGGGGGAGGGAGGATTTTTAAAATACTTTATTTGGTTTGATTAGAGGGGAGGGGAGGGGAGGGGTTTTTAATGATCTTTTGTTTGGTTTAGGAGGGGAGGGGAGATAATAATTAAATTATCATTATACCCTTATACAAAAATATTTTTATTTTTTAACCTTTTATCACACAAATCAATTTTATATGTAAACTCAAATTGTATAATTTTTTCTTAAAAGTTACCGTAATCTTATCAATTTTTTTTTACTTCTTCACCCCGAATAAGTAAATTAAATAATACTATTAAATAATCTTATTAGTAAATTAATCTAGATATTAAACAATACTTTGTGAAAAAAATCAATGAAACTAATGATTTTATACCCCCAATAATTGCACAAGATAATGTTAGTCCTTAATATCAATTGAGTAATAATTGTCATCATTAATAACAAAAGATATTGGGCAAGAGCATCTAACATATTGATCATGCTTAAGAACCACATTTTGAGCATCTAACTAATAAAATATACAAAAATTATCAATAAAAGTCATCATCTAATTAAAACTATAAAACATCCTCATTATCACTTCCTTTCGCACTGGTGCTAGACATTGAGTTGCTACTCTAAGCCTATCATTATCAACCATAAGAAACCAATATATGTGAGGTAATCTTGCAACATCAATTTCACACTCTTCAAGCATTTTTCAAATTTTTTCACCTGACAATTGAGGCACCTTCTTGAAACTTCATCCTATCATCACATTTCCTTATTGAATTGCCTTAGCCATAGAGAACACTGCTCCCGTCAACTTATTTAAACTAGCCTCCTTCTCCTTAAACACTCTTTTTGTCTTCTTGCTACATGCACTATTAATAATGGGTGAGTGCTCTTAGTCAGATGAGTTTTCTTACCCCGATGAGTTTTCTTGTCCATCAAGCTCAACATTAATTATGGCTCTATTTTGTGAGACAATATTGTTAATGTCATTGATAGTTTTAGTGACTTCTTCTTGAGAACGACGTCTCTTTCTCCATTCACGTGCTGTCTCACCCCCATCTCCATTAGCTCTATCTACTTCATATAATATCATCATTTTTTCATAGTTTGAAAAAGGAGTAGTTCTCCATAATGTTGCTTTAGGTCTAGCCTGAAACATGTGAAATTACAAAAGCAATTCAATTGCAAATGCACACTTTTCCATTTTCAAAGACTATTAAACAAGTATAACTATGAATATGTAGGAAATTACAAAAGAATAATATAATCAATGCATATGTAAGAAATTTACCTCAATTAATACATCCCAAACTTCAGGCTCAACATCTCATACTTGAGTTATTGAATTCTAAGCGAACCTACTCAAACTTTTGACAATGTCATAAACATCTAAAAAGTTTCTCTTTAAAGTTTTCCATCAATTTTTTACTTTTTCCTTGTCAATTTGTTTACCAAACAAAGCACTCAAATATTTACATTTATTATCATAAGCTGTAGTAGTAAAGTGCCATTAATTTTATGACCTTCATTATATTCATTCATAAAAGCATCAACAAGGACATCATCCATTAATCTTGTCCAGTTCAATGTCTCCTTATTATTGTTTGGTGTGATCCTATCACATAACAACATAATCACATAATACCAATGCCAATGTGAAAAGCTAATCAAATTTCAATATCAAACTAAACAAATAATACAAAGCAAATAAAAGTCAATAAAACAAGAAATTTCAATGTCTAATCAAACCTCAATTAAACTCAATATAAGTCAATGTATAATACAATATATTTCAATGTCTATAATAATACAACAGATTCTAACTTATTGAGAAAATAAAATTTTAATCATCAAGTTCATCCTCAAGAGCAGCCAGATGTTCCTAATAATCTGCCCACATCTGATTGGCTATATTTTCTCTAATAAGTTCACCTTGAGCAGCCTCATTATTATCCCCTCTTTGAGTATGGTTATTATCATTTGAATGGTTTCCTCTTGCAAGGATAACATCAACTTCCTTTAAAAGATCTTCAATAGGGTGGTCCATACTCACAAGGAAGTTATGAAGAATGCAACATACATATATTATCATTTTTTAGGCTTTGATTCCATATATAGGTTCGGTTGCATTAGATAGAATGGAAAATCTTTTTTTCAAAACACCAAAAGCACGTGCAATGGCATTGCGTAACTTTGCATGTCGAAGGTTAAATAACTCTCTATAATTTAGGGGGGAATTCCGTTTTGAATATTCTTTCAAATGATAGCGGACTTCCTATTAAGGTGTTATAAGTCCTCTTGTTAATATGAATCCAGCATTGACAAGGTAATATTTACCTACCATAAAGGAAAATAATTACTATAATAATTTTACAATCACAAATATAAACTTTATCAAAATTGGTAAAATATTTACCTTCAGGAATTATAAGCCTATCTTCTCGTGTTAATGCATTTTTAATGATTCTTGAATCAGATACAGTACCTTCCCATCCAAGGAGCACTTAAGTGAACTTTAGATCAAATGTACATGCTGCTAACACGTTCTATATCAGGAATTCCTTCCTACCACGGTATCTTAGTGCATCTAAAGAAGGCACCTTGACTCGTATATGTGTTCCATCAATAGCACCGACATAATTCTTAAAATATGATAAGAATTTCTTATCTTTTTCAATTTCATGAGGAATGGTTGTGCCATTAGGTTGAACAAGAAATTTTTCTTCTAAGTCAATGATAGCTGTCAAACCTTGATGAAAATGGTGACTAATTGTCTCACCAGAATGCTTAAATCAAAAATTCATTTCATGATTTTTTGCATTGTGTGTCAATATATATAGAGTTTTTCTAACTATTTCTTCTATATTTGACCATCATGTGGGTTGCAGGCCAGCCTTTCTTTCTAATATACCACATAATTCTAAAAAAGTTCTAGAAGTCATTCTAATGATATTTTAACTAGATGAACAATCACTAATTCGACTCATTATTTCATCACGCACCATTTCTTTCTTGCCACTCAAACTGTAACTTATTTTTTTCAAACACATCTCACTTACACATACTTTTACAAGGACACAAGCAAGAAGAGCTAATACTCTTCGATGCAATTCAAACCAATGTTACACCAGTAAAAGATATTCAGATTCCTTACTCATCTAACAAAGTAACCAAAAAGAATAATGAAAATCAATAAACAAGCCACAATTATCATAAATAATAGCAAAAGATTCAGTTTCATCAGCAGAAAACAATGATCATATATATATATATATATATATTACATGGGAGGAAATGCTTTCAATCTAATTTTATATCTAGATATACATTCAACTTGTATTAAAGAAAAAATGGCTAAGAATTTAATCAGGCTTTACTCCATCAAAGGTAGAAGAAAATTTTCAATTTGGTTCTTAGTCTTGCTAACTCTGAAGGAAGAATGGAGATTAACATAGACTTCATTGTTAATTTCCTTCCACAGTATCATCCTAGAATGGTAAAACCGAAAAAGGAAGAGATTCTTGCATGCTCAGCATACATCAATATACTCTAGTCGGGTTCGAAGAAGATAGATCTCAGAAGCTAAATAATACTACGAGCACAGATCAATATACATCAATAAACATCTAGTCGGGTTCTATGAGCACAGATCAATATGCTTTTATGTTTGAACATCAATAAACATCAATATACACTCACTCAGGTTCTACCAGCACAGATTAATGCATCTCAGAATAGGATTACTCACTATTCTCTGCTCATTATTCTCTGCTATTCTCAGAATGAGCAAACATCATATAAGCTTCAAAGATTAATTTTAGAACAAGATAAATCTCAAAACAGGATTACTCGCTATTCTCAGAATAAGATTACTCACTGTTCTCTGCTCACTATTCTCGCTATTCTTTGCTCATTTTCATTTCATTTTCCTAATTTCATACTCAATAAATCTCAGAACAGGATAAATCTTAGAACAGGAAAAGGCAAGAAAGGTTTGAAGAAGATGAATCTCAGAAGCTTCGAAGCAGACAATCTCAAAACAATAAAAGATAAATCAGAACGAAACGAAGAAGAAAACCACGATGAATCGAATGAAGAAAACCAAGACGAAGCTCAAATCAAACACAAATCAAGCAGATTAATTTAAAGCAAAGATAGACCGAGCATCTGTGAGGAAGAATCTGACCTAACGACATATGGAGAGCTTCGAAGAGTCTGACTTGACGGGATGACGCGCGGTGGGAGCTCCTACCACTTCGATGATGACACACGGCGAGGCTTCGAATGCTCCAGACCAGATCCAAAAATGCAAAGAAAGCCAAGATAGACCAAGATTTGCGAGGAAAGGAACCTAGCGTGGTAGATTGGTCAAGGTGTTTTAAGGGCAATATGGAAATATCATAAAAACAATGAGGATAAATTAGTCAACAAGTTTAGCTCCCCCTCAAAAATGCCCCAATTTAGAGGGATCCAAAATAAAGGGAGGGGAGCCCTCCAAAAATTTTTAATCAAATGAAAGAAATAATATCTCTCCCCTTCTCTCCATTTAACTCCAACCAAACAGAGCCTAAGAGATGACAACCCTGATTGAGGACCTGAAATGAATCCGTTGCCAGCCTAGCCTTATGTTCATTCTTCGACGGGCCGAGCCCAGACTAAACTACAATAATCAAAATTGCCCCCGAGAGAAGATATTTCACAGCGAGTCGGTGTCCCACACACCGTTATCCATTCCCGCCTTGCAACTCAAGAACTGGCTCGAAGGCAGCTTCAGGTTTTCAGAGACAGTGGAATATGAACCTCTTCCTTGTCTCAACTCGGCCTTCCTTCCCTCTCTTCACCTGCCACGCCACCGCTGCCTTGGCCACCCACCCTTCGCCGCCGCCTCCTTCTCCTCAAACCTTGCCGCTGAGCCCTAATACATCCGTACATTCTGCGCTGACCTGCGCTCTTCATTGCCCACACTTTCAATCGTACGTTTTACTCTCTTCCTCCATTATCTGTTTCTAACATTCACTCACACTACGGAATTTTTTTCTCACGGTCGTGATTTTTCAGTTGCTCAGGGTGCTCGCACGAGTTCAATCTCCATCATCCCATTATAGTCGACGAAGCCACCAATTTCTTTAAAAAATATGGAGTTTCCGATTTCACATTTGATAGCTGCAAACTGGTATTTCCGTTACTCACCGCTTCATTTACAAAATTCTTGCAATTTGGCTTTCCTCTTTCCTTTCTCACGCTTGGTATCGGTTTTCGTGCTTCTATTAGTGGGGTTGGAGATGCCGTGCAAAACTGGCTGTGCGCGGTTCATCAACGAAACCTCTCATCGGACTTTATGAGGAGGGTACTCATAACGTAGTTGACATTCCGGATTGCAAAGGTCCGTGAATCTGATTTATTCGTTCTTCTTTGCCGTCAGCTCTTGGTTAAACTTTCTTAATTCACATTATTAACGTGTTTATTCCCATCCCTTCCTTACGCAGCTCATCATCCTAATATCAATGCTGCCGTGGACCTGCTTAAACGAGGTTTTCCCTTGCCATAGCCGTCTGGATGTCTATTTAGTTGATTTTCAAGTTGTTTGTGTCTATCCTCAATTCTTTTCAGGTATTACTGAGGTGGAAGTTCAGCCATATGATGAAGATGAGGGTACTGGTGATTTACGATACGTTCAGGTGAACAATTATCGATTTGAATACGGTAGATGCTGAATTGACGCAACGATTTAAGCTGTCAATTCTTTGAAAGTTAATCGCTGGCGGGCGTGTGCAGATGGCCGTTACAACTTACAACACATCTCTTCCTGCCGCTGAAAGATATAAGAACGGTAATCCTATTCAAAATAATGCGAAGTTTGGCACTTCCTTTTTCAAATTGTTTGCCATTATTTAATCTATAAAATCAAACTGTTTCAGGAAAAGTACAGGTCACTTTAGTTTGGAATTCAAGAAACGAAAATTCATCCAGGTCGGACAAACTCAACGCATTGGCAAATGTAAGTTAGCCACCATCTTTTTCTCTCTCTTCCTCTGTTAGTTTCTCTGACCAAAATAGATTCTCCTCTACGACTCTGCCGCTTCCTCCCTCTCTCTCTCACTCACTCACAAACACTCACACAGTCACAAAGTGATTATTTGATGTTATTGATTGCAGTTTCTTTGGGGGAATGGTGGCCCAAGAAGCAGTTTCCATTTAATTCACTCTGTGTGGGCCAATTTCCAGACTTCCACAAACAATGTGAGTTTAAACTGTTTCTCTGAACCAAAATGATGACCTGGTATTGTTGAAAACGGAAGATAGCTGCTGAAGTTGGGACTAGGGCTATTACTTGTTGAGGTGCTTTTGGTCAAATAAAATTCATCCCTGTAAAACGTTAAATAACTGAAAGATTTTCCCTTTTACATTTACTATGGCTTAGGATGTCTTATCTTTACCGTACTTCTGAATTAGAAATCTTATCGTTTGATTATGGTCAAAACTTCAACATTTTTGTTTTTTGATGGAACAAAGTACTGCTGTCCTGCAAGTAGTTTTCAAATATTTGATGGAGTGAAAAAGGACCGGTATCTCATTATCAGATATTGGTTCATTGTGACTAAATGATGCTGGACTTGGAATTTAGTATTTCCTTGAAAATGATAGCATGTAAAGTTCAGGCGAATGAGAATGATGTCGATATGTACTTGTTTCAGGTGTAATTGTATTGTAACATATGCATATGATATTTGCTTGGAATTTCTGAAGTGTAGATCTTGGCTAATTTTTACTGGACGGAATCTGGTCTAGTTTCATACATGGATAATTGTTTTCATTGGATTCATGCCTTGTGGATGCTTACTTGATAGTGCAGATCATTTTTGGGAATAGATGGAGACATCTTCTTGGAGAAAGAGATTTTTGGGAACGTATTGGTGGCATTGATGTGTCCTTGGCTCCTTCCAGTTTTGGCCAGGCAAACACACGGGTGAAGATCCTGGTTTGGTGACTTTTAGTAATTTATTTTGCAATCAGCAAGTGCGTGTAATTAATTTTTTGATTTAGTAACTATTGCCCTGAAAGGAAATCCCTCTGATGAGGAAGAGAAGCATGGTCCTTGAAAACAAGCATTCTATGTTTGCACTTTCTCATCCAGTATACTTTTGTGCACCAAGAGTCGTCATGTACTTATTCATGAAAGGAATAATTTCATGTCTTGCTTGTCTAAACTTTTGGGCTGTTGCATTGCTTGCATATGAGCTGTGGGTCACCCTTATAAGAAATTGGCAACGCCAATCTAAGGTTGCTTGAGACCTAAGAGAATCTTAATTACTGTGGTCTGATTTTCTTTCTTCCAGGCTTTCAATATCTTGCTTCAGAAGCTACAGAAGTATGTTCCATATGGAGCATCTGTTGCAGACTTGTATGCTGGAGCTGGGGTCATTGGTTTGTCATTAGCTTCTACAAGAAAGTGCAGGCAAGAATTGAATGGTTTGGAACTTTTGAAATGCATTTTAGATTTTTGCTTCATGTTGAATTAGAATAATTTATATTTCTGGTCGTTGTCATACAGATCTGTGAAATGCATTGAGATTAACAAAGAGTCGAAACTATCTTTTGAGAAGACAGCTGATCGCTTGCCTGCAACGGTTGAGAGTAACATTACTTGGCATCATGCTGATGCTTCAAAAGTCCGTACTGGATATCTGCAACCTTGTCATACATTCCATGTTTCAACTCCAGAAATTTCAGTGGCCAAAAAAAAAAATCCAGAAATTTGAGTGTTCTAATTTATATGAATGCGATGATTAAAACAAATTATGTTTCGCATTTTTCTCACATCAATCTGAGTAAAGCTTTCCATGAATTGTTATTATTTCCAAGGATAAGAAAGAAAGCTTTAAGTTTTATACCTTCTATCCTTGTCATGTGTTGTTCAATACTGATTTCATGAATCATTTTCAAATTGTACAGGAACCTCTTTCTTGGCTTGTGGGCTCAGATGTTGTTGTCATTGATCCTCCTAGAAAAGGACTAGGTGCATCTCTTGTTGATACATTGCAAAATATATCATCAGTAGAGCATAGAGTGTTGTCGTCATCCGAAAGGTTGTTTCTTCAGTAGACTTATGAAGCCTGTTCATGTTGAAAGTGTTGCCTTATGCCAGTTACTGACGCAATAAAAGTTAAGTGCAGCTCAAGCTCCAGAGTCAGAGAAGAGAAAAGACCTTGGGTTTTGCGTGCTAAGGAAGCTTCAGTCCATGTTGGAAGCAAAACGCCTCCGGATGACAGCACACAGTCACTGCCACAAACCCTAATATACATAAGTTGTGGATGGGAAAGCTTCAAAGAGGTACTTTCATGGTTCCATTCGTGAATTTTTATGGGTAAGCTTGCTTGACCGTTCTCCAAGTTGTATCTATTGCTAATGCAACGAACTGTCAACAGGACTGCAAAGCACTTTTGTCTAGTAAGGCATGGCACTTGGAGAAAGCCCATGGTTTTAATTTTTTTCCTGGCACCCAAAGGTACTTGTTGTGCACCTTCTTTGCAGCGCTTTTCCGTTTTCTTTATTTACTTATTTGGATGCGATTCCACTGACAGTTTCCATGTCCATACCCCAAAAAAAAGTCCATAACTATATAGCTGAAAGAATATAAATTAGGTTGTCAGCATTGTAATGTCTTAACAGTAGCCCTTAAGTAGAGCATTTCCAGAGATGTAGCTATATGAAATATGAGTGTATATATATTAATTTGTCAGCTATATAAGTTGTCTGCATTGTAATGTCTTGTCAGTAGCCCTTGAGCATTTCCAGATAGGCAGCTATATGAAATACGAGTGTATATATATATATTAATTTGTTTTTTCCTGAAAAAAAGAAAGGAAAGAAATGAGTGCAAACGAAAATATAAATAATAGGAAGACTACTGATTACTGAGGAAATTTTGGATTTGAGTAATTATTAGATAGACGAAAATATATTTCATCAAAGTGAAAGAAATGTTTTAGAACTACACCTTATGGATCTGGCTTGGTTTGGGCATAGTCCAGTAAGCTTTCGTAAGCCTTAATTTTGATATGTTTTTAAAGGTCAAATAGTGGTCGAAGCCCATGTATAAGGCCCAGACTTGAACCATATTTCTTTAATAAAATGAAAATTTGCCCAAATCTATATAATAGACTAAAGCAAATTTAACATATATTAGAGATGCTTGGATAGGTATTAGATAGAAGAATGTGTGTGTGTATAATATGACTTTCAGACATCGTGTATTCTTGACTTGCTAGTTGGGCAGAAGTCTGAATTCAAGCCTTTTGCCACCTGAGAGATATCTACAGGAAATATTCAGTAGATTAATAAGCATTTGACCAACTGGAATTTTAAGAAGTGCAACTGCTACTCCATTGTTTTATTTAAGTTCCTAGGGTATTGCATTTCCTTTTTCCATTGAAAAATCCATGCTTTGCAGTGATACAATCATCATGTTAAATTAGCTGCTATTAATCATATAGCTTTCCCTCCCCTCTCCAAGCATGGTAGTAAGTTCTATCTGGCATTTCGATGCAGCATTGAAGTTTTAGCAGTATTCAAGAGGGGCCATCGCAAAGCAAAATCAGGAAAAAAGAAGAAGCGATTGTAAGAATCAGCGAGATTTGATATAAGCATGTCCTTCAGCTGGACATGTAGTTGCCTTCACAACCATGAGTCAGCAAGACTGTTGTGTGATTGAATTTGCATGGAAGAAACAATGGGGGATAAATGTTGATCCGGAAGGGGGAAAAGCTGTCATAAGCATTTCCTTTGTCTTGTGTCAGTGCTGGTAGAAAAGGGCATTTTGTTTCATGATTTAATTTAATTTGTTTCAAAGGAGTAGTCATAAATGAATATAGTTGTACATCGCTGTTGTATGTTATTATCCATCTCTAAGTTCAGATCAAGTAACGCCAAACTGGGCCTGAGAAAGCTGATGTTCAATTCAATGATTAGATGATTTTCCACTCCTGTTTTCTCTGCCGTTGGACGATGTCATTTTTCCTGCATCCTTCTTCCAATCACAAAATCAGCAATTTGATGTGGGCATATTTGGTAAACGAGCTTTGGGTAAACTGTTGTTTGGATTTTTATAAATTGATCAGAAAGTCCATTTGACATCTCGAAGCCATTGCTGAACACGACATTTCCTCCGTCTTCCACTGTATTCCACAGCCAACATTTCGCTTCCCTCTTCACTTCTGGTTCTCGACGTCGTGCCGCCCGCGAAAATGTAGAAGGCAATGGCAGCGCGGACGGTCTTCCTGGTGGAGCTCCTTTTCGGCTGGGTGCTCCGATGGAGTCTATGTAGTTGACTTCCTTCTAGGGATTGGTAAGGAAGAAGTTCCTGGGGGAGACGTAAGATGAAGGAGATGAGCGGCTATGGTGAGGCATCATTTTTTTTTTTTTTGGCTTATATCAAACTTGAAAGGAATGGTGACTTCTTGTATATTTTTAATAGAAAGGCAAGCTGCACAGCTTGAAAGGATTACAAGTCACTGATCAGAGGCCCTGGAGGACCCGTTAAGATCATCAAAATAAAAAACAAAACAACCCGGAGGGCGTCTAGAGAATAACAACATATCCTAATCACTATTTTGAGCATCCTTAGCCATAAAATGAACACATCTAATGCATTCTCAGTAGGAATGGAAAAGCTCCACTGTCCAGTTGTCAAAGAGTAGAGCTCTTATATCTTCAATTTCCAAATGTAGAGGGTGATAGTGTCGTCCATCTCTTAGAATCAGATTTAAGGCATCAAAAGAATCAGAGTAACAATGAATTCTATTTATGCCTAAACTTTTGCAGACCTCCAATCCAGATTTGATGGCTAACAGTTCAGCTTCAACTACTGATTTCTCACAAAGTTTACTTTGAAAGCGCAAAATCCATTCACCTTTAAGAGTTTCTGATCACACCTCCCCATGTCGCTTGCTTAGTTGGGTTCACAAATCTATCCACATCAGTTCTGATAAAATTAGTTGGGGGTGGGGACCACGTTGAATTAGATCTGTCCTGATTGCAAGATAGAAGACTCCAGAGCTAGTTGTCATGCACAGCTTCTTTAACTTTGAACAAAGCTTGATGTATATACTCCTGGCGGGATGAAGCTTCATCTTGAAAGGCTTTTTTGCACCTGTTTGTCCAGATTAACCAACACACATGTGCGAAAATCGTGATCCAAGGCCATATGACCTTTGCTAGGATTGTGTTTTATATTTCACTTCAACCAAACCTGTAAATCGTTGCAAAGAAAGAATTAACAGATATTGGATTAATAATGAGAGACCACGTTTCTTTGGCAAAAGAGCAATCACGAAGTATATGGATAATAGTTTCCTCTCTCTGACACTCATATTGACGCTCATTATTTAGTGCAAGACTCCTTTTGGCTCTAAGAAAATTCATAGAAAGTCTCTCATGAAAGATTTGCCACATGAAGTATTTAATTTTCTCCGGAATCAGCCATTTCCACATAGAGTTCCTCCAAACTCTACAACTTATTGTTTTGATTGCCCAGATAGAAGTATGTTGATTTAACAGAGAATTGTCCATCTTTCGCACTACGATAGCACCAACAGTCATCACCTAACAGGCGTGGTAGGGCTAGCTTCCTAATGAGAGATAACCCAAATAGGGAGCAGATGCATTAGATAATCCAATTGCCATTCACCATTCATCTGCACAAGGTCTCTAATAGAAGCTTGGGAATCAAGCTCAATACCTTTGTTGCAGACATAATAAATAAGAGGACGCTTGAGATTGGCCCATTGTTGATTCCACCAAAAATTTGTATTAATTCCACTAACCACTCTTTTACTAACTCAAGAAAAGAAAAGATCCCAAACCATCACGATACTTTGCCGAATCATTGATTGACTTCTCTTGGAAGAGACAGTAGGAACTTGAAGGGAACCGCAAATGTATTTGGATTTCAAGCATATAACCCACAACTTATTTGGTTAAATAAGAAGAGCCCAACGTAGTTTCATAATGAAGGTTTGATTCTGTCTGTAGAGATCCTTGATTCCCAACCCTCCTTGGCTCTTGTCTTTTTCAATGTTCTCCCAAGCATGTAAACGCAACTTTTTTGACTCCTCAATCTGATTCCAAAGAAAATTTCTATTGAATCTCTCTAAATCATCAAGGGAGCCTTTGGGAAATAACAAAACCTGCATGTGGTAGCTAGGAATGGTTGCCAGGACCAACCAATTTCGCCAAAACAAAGCGCCCTGTCATACTTAAAAACTTCCCTTTTCAGATGATAACTTCTTCTTCACACGCATAATCAGAGGATCAAAAGTATTTTTAGTGACTCTATTATGGGGGAAGGGGATTCCTAAATATTTACCCAGATCTTTCATCTTACCAATGCCAAGCAAGTGACACAATTCCTGAGCATGATTGTAGTGAATATTAGCAAAAATGAAAGCTTTAGATTTCTGAACATTAATTCTATGACCAAAAATACTTGTGGGTGTAAAGTTATGGTTTGCGTCATTGCGTGTTGGGATTTGGATCTAGTGTTTTGAGACTGGCTCAACTGCATATCTCAGCCCATATTTGAGATTTATTTACACCATTTCATGATTTCATTCATATAACAAGATTCTTGAGTCCTATCAACGTATTAAACTTTACCTTATTTATATATTTTTATTTAATAAAAAAATTTTATATTATTTTTACATTTTTATTTTATATATTATTCAACATGTCAAATTTTGTGTTATACATATTTGAGAAAATTACAGTCAAGGACTGCTGGAGGAATTTATTTACAGACAAGTACCAAATGATTTTGAAATTATACTCCAATACCAAGAGATCAAAATATAATTAATTTTTAGTGTGAGAAGACAAAATTGTCCTTCAATTCTTTTTTCAAAAAAAAAAAAAACTCCTCAAGGCCGCTAGTGGTCGGACCACCCCATCGGACTGGTCATCTAAGCTCTGGCAGCCGTAGCTAGACCACTGCCCAAGCTCTGACACTAATCACCTGACCTACGAGGGAGGGAGACTATTTTTGTAACACACCAAATTTTTTTTTAAATAATTTAACTCAACCATAATTGGGTTACAGCCACTCAACACATTTTTATATCAATAATTTCAATATAAAATATTTTATAATTGGCTTCAACTCACACACTATAACATTTCAGATAAATTTTTACCTCCCACATGCCATTAGGCTAAATCACATTTGTCCATCCTTATACTCCCAACAAGTAAACTAAATCACATTTGTCCATCCTTACACTGCCAACAAGTAAAATAAGCAATTTAGTAAATTTTCAACACAAGCCAGTTATTTGTTCTTATAATCATGCCATTTTAACCAATCCAAAGTAAACCAAATATTAAAATTACAGTCATCCAAATTGTACCAAAAATAGAAATAGTATGAAAGGCATGATTACATTTATATATTCATATAATTGACAATAAATAAAAAACCCTAATATTGGCAATATAACACATTATAAATCATAAATCAAATACCCAAAAGAGACAGTGGATCTATGCCACTAAGCCTCTGGGACTCCTCCACGTGTCACTCGTGGCTCTTCTCCTGAAAATTGTTAACCACATAATGAGACTCAAAAGTCCTAGTAACCAAAGTCAATTTATGATAGTGTATACAAACAATTAAGTGTGTGCTTACTAAGTGAGAATTAAAAATAATATAATTCCAATAAATATAAGAAATATTACAATACACACAAACAACCATCCTTATATCCCTCCATTAACCTCGAGCCGTAGCCCTCACTCAGTGCTAAATTACCCGGCCAAAGGTAGATTAGCCCGAGCCCTTACAAGCCACCTATTGAGCTCCAATAGGGGCGTACCACGTGGCACATAAATATAACAATAATAGCAAGTCTCCCAACACCTCCCACAATAATCAAACAAATTCATAATAATATTGCACAATTATATAATATTACAAAATTTATAATTTTCTTAATAATCACCCAATTAATATGAAGTAACACAAATCATAAATTAAAAGCATGGTTACCTCGTGGCTTTTTTAATAAATTGTTCCTTATAATTTCTCTCCCACCACTATCTTCACCAATAATACAATCTACAAATAACATATTATTTATAAATATTAGTTTCAATTTTTTTTGAAACTAATAAAATAATTCTAATAATAGAATTAAAAATATAACATAATTTCTAATCTCAATCTTAATACAAATCTAGAGTCAATAGTATTAAGTAAAATTTCTAACTCCTCTTTTAATTATCAATAAACATTAATAATCTAAAAATCAACTTCTAAACTAATTTTTATTATCAAAATTTTCTTTTTATTTCATAAATTCGTACCTAAAATACTCAAAAATTAAAAATTAAGTCTTTAGCTTAGAATCATAATCCTATAGCCATAATAATTCATTTCTCATCTCAAATAATCATCTAAACTTCAATAAATTAACATATATTTTCAGATCTAGTCTAGAATTTGATCCATAAGCCACAAATTCAAAGATCACCAATAAATTTATACTCTAAAATATTTATTATACTACTAACAATCTCAAAAACCATATTTATTCAACATAAATTCATCCCTCTTCCAGATCTTAAATTTTTTACCACTACAAAATCAGAAACCAAAGAAGAAGGATGACTAAGAAAAAATTTTAGAACACTTACTTAGTCTTAAAAAGCTTAAAATCACACCCTAAATATCCTATTAAAAACTCTTATCTTAAAATCCAGCACCGGCGAACTTGCACACCGTCGCCCCCTCTGTTCGCGCACGAAGAGAAATGAAAAAGGGAGAAATGAAGAAACGAAGAAGGAGGGATGGGTTTTTAAAAAAAATACTGTGGGTCCCATATTTTTTTTATTTACTCTTTCCTCTCTCTTCTTCTTCTTCTTCTTTTTTTATTATATAAACATAATCATTGCCGGGAGAGCACCGAAAGTTCACTTCTTCTTCCTTTTTTTTTCCATACCTTTTCTCTTTCTTTCTTTTTAAAATAATAATAATAATTTAATAATATTTATTTATTATTTTTTTAATTAATTAATAATTAAATTTTTTTTAATTTTTTTATTTAGAATTATATCCTAAATTAGATTTAATAATCATTTTCTACTAATTTGCTTACCTCTAAATATTTTTTTAAAATTTCTATTAACCCAAATTAACTATTAAAATTTAAATTAGGATGTTACAATTTTTTTCTTTAAGGTGGCCAAGGTAGCGTTTGAACCCACATCCTCTTGATTACCAATAGAATTATTAGCTACTAGGCTAACAAATTCTTTCAATTATATAATGTAAATTTTTATATATATACTTAACTTTGTTTTCACTTTCCATATCAACATTTATTAAGAGTTCAATGGTTGCTTGTCATTTTACAAATAGCATTTATAAAAATCAATACGTATTAAATTTTTTGACAAGTATGGTACTTGTTAAAAAATTTAATACGTATTGATTTTTATAAATGCTATTTGTAAAATGACAAGCAACCATTGAACTCTTAATAAATGTTGATATGGAAAGTGAAAATAAAGTTAAGTATATATATAAAAATTTACATTATATAATTGAAAGAATTTGTTAGCCTAGTGATCAACAATTTTTTTGGTGGCTAAGAGGATGTGAGTTCAAACTTCACCTTGTCCACTTTAAAAAAAAAATAGTTTGACTACCACTGTCGGAGCTCAGATCATTAGTCCAACGAGGTGATCCAATGGCTAAGGAGTTTTTTTTATTAAGGGACAATTTTATCTTTTCACCTTAAAAATTAATTAAGTTTTGGTCTCTTGGTGCTGCAATATAATTTCAGAATTATTTGATACTTTTTTATAAATAAATTCCTCCAATAGTCCTTGACTGTAATTTTTTCAATTTTATATAATAAAAATCATGTATCATCAAATACAGATTTTTTTAATTATTATATTAAAAAGGTATTCAATCTCGTCAAACAATTAAATTTTATCAAATTTTAATTTGGCAAATATAGTTTTCAATGAACAATTTTTTTAGAAATTAAAAATTAAACACACAATAGACCCGGGGAAATATCGTCAATTGTCGACCTTTGGCTGCATGTGATTAATTTCAAACTATTTTTGGGTTGATTGCTGACACATGTTCATTTTCTTGGTCAACTCAATTTCATTTAAAAAATAATAATGGGCAGGTAAAAGATTTAATAAATCACAAGGACTAAATGTCTTACCCCAAAAAAAATAAAAGATCATGAGGACTAATTATGGCAATAAATTGCAGGAGTGCTAGAGATGTAGAGTCTTAATGTAAACAAGAATTTTTATGCTCTCTTACCATAATTTGCTCAGATACAAATAAGAAGAAAGTAACTTGATTAATGGTGTAAGGTTACAAAATTATAGAATTACAAAAAAATTGAAAAAAAGAACTAAATTATAAGTATAAGAGATAAAGTGAGTAACAAAGTGTCTGAGTTATTTTGATATTCATTGCTGCCTTCTTTCCTCTCTAAAAATTTATTTATAATATTTATCCAAGGTCATTGTGTTTGCAAAACTAAGAGTTCGGATGCTTCATGTCAAAATATCCATTACTACTAGACTTGTTCTCCCAGACTTTAGTGTACATTCAAATAACTATCCCATATTCAAATAACGATCTTCCTAGTTTAGTCACTCTAAATTTTAAGGGTTACATTCTCTTCATGACCCAACATTTACTTAGTTCAAAAAGTCTATTTTAAATGGATAACCTAACTCTTCACTTTTCACTATTTTGCACTTTTATTTAAATGTAAATGTTTTAGACCCAAATAAGGACAAAATGAGTGCTCCTTGTGTTAGGTGATATTCTTATTTGATGTTGCTAAAAAATGCATAACTTAATAATTTCTATAAGTAAAATCGGCCAAAAATAAATAAAATGAAAACTTATTCCGCAATGCACTGAATTAAAAGAATCAAAAAGTAATGTTTGTTATTTATCTATTTATTAAAAAAAAGTGCAATTTAAATCGAATATCAAAGAAGATTCATTTTCAGAGCATGTCTGAAATCAGTATAAAATCTAGATTGCACGAAAAGTGGAAATAATATAAATCTACGGAAATTGGAACTTTAAAAAGACCAGTTATGATCCAATTACACAATCAATTCAAAGAAAGGCACCACAAATATTAGAAAGAAAAATTTTCAAGAGCGTGCGGGTGCCAAGTGCTTAATTGGATAGCATTATACTCATTGATGCTCTTATCTTTTTGAAGTGAATCCAAGTGAATTATGCCTTTCCTTTTTCAAGATCTCCACGATTCATTCGGCCTTTATGACTTTCCTTTCAATCCACTGTCCTCTTTCTCAATGGTGACCCCCTTTTTTTTTACATAGACAAAAGAAGCCCTAAATTTCCAGCCATCAAAGGACGATTTGGCCTAAAAGGCTTCTAATTTTTATTTGCCTGTAGAAGGATGAGAGAGTTGGGGCTGAGAAAATGGCAGTCTCTCTCTCTTGCTGCTGCTTTCTTCATCGTCCTGATTTGCATCCTTCTGTTTCACTCTTCTGATTTTGTTCGAAGTGGTAATCGGAGAAGGATTTTGCTTAAGCCACCAGCTGTAAGCATCATAGTTTACCTATCAACTTATGTTTCTGCGTTTTCTTATATTTGATTTTGCATTTGCCCACATCCACATGATCTCCGTCGACTGGTACCAGTGCTTCTGTATGCTCCCTTTTTTTCTTGGACTTTTTGTTGATTATTATTTGAAGATGAAACCTTATTGACCAAAAGAAAGAAACAAAAAGAAGATGAAAGCTTCGTTGGGCAACGATGAAAATAGAGATTGAGTGGAGTTTTGAGATGGGACAGCAGCAGAACAATCATAACTTTTACTTTCATATTGGCATGATAATCTGGCCCCTTTATTATTTCTGTTTCTCTCGGTGTTACATAAGAATCTCGGTGTTACATAAGAACATTAAACCAAAAAAAGCTGTGACATAAAATCCTAGGAACAGAACAGTGATCCAAGAAAAGGGAATAACGATACACCCATGAATTCTCCATCATATTGGTATTGGATGCAACAAACGCACAACACTCTGGTATTTTTTTTTTTTTAATTTGTTCTTGAACCTGACGCTGTTTTCCTATCAGTCCCTCTCAGAAAGAGAAAAATGGGATCAAGTTCTGAGGAAAGCGACCATGCCAGACAGAACAGTGATACTCACAATGCTAGATGAAGCATGGGCAAGCCCTGGATCTATCATTGACGTTTTCCTACGAAGTTTCAAAGTCGGGGAAGGGACGGAGAGGTTTTTGAATCACTTGGTAATCATACCCATGGACTCAAAAGCACTTAACTACTGCAGATCCTTGCATCCCTATTGCTTCTATCCATCCATCTTTTCTCATAATCTTCGCTTCATTGCACAATCTAGAAACCCAAACCACAATGTGTTCATTTGGAAAAGAAACTACGTCCTGCTCCAAGTTCTTGAACTGGGTTACAACATAATCTTCACGGTAAGATTTTCAATCTTCTTGTAACTTCTTCTCTCCATTTAAAATACAGATCGTTTCGGAGTGGAATGCAGAGCAAACAATAATAGTTTAAAAGTTTCCTGAAAATTATACTCATTTTTTTAATATTTAAATCTTATTGGAATATAGAATACATTGAAGGAATTAAAAAAAAAAAATGCTGTCCGAAACTCAATGACACGAATGAAAAAAGATTGAAAGAATGAAAAGAATTAGAAGGAGCCCAAGAGACGCTGCTGTACTCTTTTACTATGTCTATATTTTACACCAATGAACTTGAACTGCTTGAACCGTGGAGTTTTGTTTTCGCAGGATGCAGATGTAATGTGGCTCAGAAGTCCACTCTTACAATTTCATCCCCAAAATGAACTCACAATATCATGTGATTTCTCAAGTTATAAACGAAGAGGAGGTGACGTGCAAGGTGGGGGACTTTTCTTCCTGAAATCAACTGCGATATCAATCGAATTCTTCAAGTACTTCAATTTCATGAAGGTTCTATATCCAAACTCACGTGTCAACAAGTCCCTCTGTTCGTATATTGTGCAGAGTGAAGACGTAGTTGCAGCGTATGGCTTTCGAGTTCAGTATGTGAATACAACTTATTTCGGTGAATTCTGCCACCTTGACAAGTATCAGTTTAGGGAGGTTTATAGCATGCATGCCAATTGTTGTGAAGATCTTAGGAGTAAAGTTTATGACCTGAAGCTTGCTCTCCATGATTGGGCCCGCTTCAGAGCACATTCATCAGATAATTATACTTCGAAGCCTACGCCTTTCAGGTGGAGAGCTCCAAATAAGTGTCTGGCATCACGACATGAATAATTACCCCTAGATATTTGCTTCCCAAAGCTTGTCCTTTGCTCTGTTAATAAATGCCAGCATATAGTTGCAATTTGCAAAGAAATAACTTCAAAATATGAACAATGTTTTTTTTTTTTAAACTAAATCTTAGATGTGGATGCTAGACCATGGCATTGCAAACATAGAAATTGCTGCTTCGTAAATGATGAGCTAGTGACAGGAAATGGTATCGGCCATATTGTTCATGGTTGTTTTTCGACAGCAAAGACTCTAGTACTAACTGATGCTCCTTTTTCTTTCGATTCTTTCTACGACATGGCTATAATATTGACTCAACACCACGAACTATTGACAGACTTTCTAAGTAAATTGCGCATCACATCCTCTCAAAAACAAACCAAACTTCTACGCCAAGTTCCAGCTTCACATTACCATCCGTCTAATACCTATGCTCTCTATTATATAATATAAAATTTATAGAAAATCCCTCGTGAACTTAAACTCGGTGCCAGACGTGGCCCAAATCTGATTAAGCAAACAAAAGTGCGGGACCGATGAGGTAAGCAAAAAGGCGAACCTTGTGAGATTACGCTTAGCAGCCTCGCGTGACAAACGCTTCCTCTCGTCTTAATTCCTGAATGACACCAACCATCGTGAGCTATCTTCGAAACCTTCCTTTCTCGTCGGGCTCGCTGTCGTCCTCCTCCACCTGCACATTGCCTGTAGACTGGAAAAAGAGGATGTTCTCATAAGCGAGAGGTGGCAGATCGCAGAGGATAACTCTGTCGATAAAGAAGGAGACGAAGGGAAGTGGTCAAATCATGTGTGGCCACATTTCTGGATCTGAAACGGAAAGAGACTCGATGAAGAGCAGAGATCGAAATGTGGAGCGTGGCAGCCATGGACGGGCCTGTATCGTTGGAAAAGATTACGGAGCTCCCGATGATTTCAGTTTGATTGGAGAAAGAGACACGTGGATCAAAATGGGCGTCACAAGCCTGTTGAAGTTACTTTGGAAATAATTGGGCCTGCATTGCGTTTTTTTTTTTTGACCAAAGCCTGCATTGCGTTTAACTTGGATAAGTTTTTATTGTTCTAATCTGGGATGCAGAATGATCCAACTAATCAGTTACAAAAACAAACAATCGACGTTGTTTGGCAGATGTTTCACTGCGAGCATCATTGATCCCTAATACAAAATTGTAAGGCTTATTAATTATGTGCTTGTCGTCAACTTCGTTAATATAATACAGTATTTATCATGGTTTTATCGTCATTTTCATATTTGTTATTTGCGTCGCATAGTTTGTAAGCGAGATAATTAATTTGAACTCGTTTTTCAAATTTTGTTCAAGTTTGTAGCTAAGTAACTTCTATAATCATTCGCTTCATGTTTAGTTGACGGGATATAATATCAATATATTTTATTATATAAGTAAATTACTTAATTAATGTTTTTCTAAACAGTTTGAATAGCCCGTACGATTGTTCTGTTTTTTTTTTTTTCTGGCCTACTTTTGGAGGAGTGAGATTTAGTTCTAAACAATCTTAATTAATTATCACCGGTTCCAACTTAGCCAAATAGTTGTCTCAATTCAAATTTCAAACATCATATATTGGGGGAGGCCATATAAACCATGTATAGACCATGTTCAATGGGAGGTTCTTAGAGCGCCTTCAAGAGCCAGTTAGAGTCGCCGTTTTTAGCAAAGATAATCTTAGATATCATTCCCTTTAATGGAGTGGTGTTCTAGCAACTTCTTGTAGGATCTCCACATGTGTCCATTAAATATATATATATATATATATACTTATTGATTAATATGATCGGCAGATGGATATTGCAGAGAATTGTGTTTGAAAATTGGCATTGGAAGATGTGAAAGCTATATTGTTTAAACCACCTTGGTCAAAGGTGAAAAAGAACAAGTTCAGAAAATAACCTAGAAGACGTGCCCTTGGCCTAGCTTGCAGGCCGAGAAAGTGATCTAAATGCTCTATGTATATGATAAGAGGAGGATCGACGTCATCTCAAATATTCTGCATCTCCTTTGTCTCATGACTTTGTCCACACGTACATGTATCTATCAGCTATGATTTATATACTCGGCAGTCACGAGTTGGTTCTTGATAATCATGCTTGTATAATATAAGGTCCTTTGATTCATGCAAGATTCACTAATGACGAGCCACATCATCGGCAAAATTAAGTTATATACATAACTAGACTTGCATTTACAAATAACAGCATGAACTAAGTTATTGTTTATTGGTTTATAGCTTATAAATTGTCTGTTTTGCTACTCAAGGATTGATCATATGATAGAATATTATCATATGATAGAATATTGAAAAGAAGAAAGATGGCCACGTACATGGAGATGCCTCCAACAACTCTCATGCTACTTTTTCAAGAAGACAAATAATTAATCTTCTTGTCGCGAACACGGAAAAGTTTGATTTTAAAGAGTGAGATCAAATTCAAGAATTCAGCCTAGAAACAACGTACTTAACTGGAAAGTAAGGCTGGCTGCCATTTCCTCTATAGAAGTGTAAAGCCCCACAATCATCGTTCTAACGTACCTAATAGCACTAACCAATTGACAGATTATAGCCCGAAAGCATGTATTCCCCATTAGTTTCCCTTTAAAACCTCTTTTTTGGCCCACAAGTTTATCGATATGGTGCTTTAATGTCTTGCAACCAAGTCGAAGAGACAGATCTTGATGAATTTGGAAGATCATATACAGATTCAGAAATCTTGGGTGCATACGTCCGTTAGCACTAAATAGAAATAATAATTTCAGCCGAAATTATAATCGTGTACGATTATTCCTATTTTAATCAATATATCCAGATTGCTTGTAGCTACTACACGCAGATTAAAATTACGAGGAATCAGTCATCATGAGTTCCCCCTTTAATTTCCACCCAACCAAGAGAGGCACGTAACCATATTACTGCGATACAAACGTTGAACTGCTCTTGACTAAACCATGAATCTTGTATATTATAATGTTCAAACACTCCAGGCTTGAGATTTTTTCCACCTTTTCCTCTAGGTTGAGGTGACTGACTGTTCATGGCGTAAATCCCACGTGGATATGCGTGTGAGGGAGAGAGAGGGAGATAGAGATCAGGTTTAAAGGTACATGTCTTTTACTTTTTATCTTTTTATAAGTTCTTATTATTAATGAATTTTAAAAAATTAAAGCTATTGTTTATGCCAAGAGTGTGAGATAGAGATATTTTTAGAAATCAGCCATGAATGTGTGGTTGAATCTTGTAGATGGAACTAGCTAGAAAGATATACCGATAAAATTATGTGATTTAATTTGGTGCGTGTTTTATGTTCCCGAGAGGCAGCATGTGTCTGGAGCGGAGGTGGAAGATTAATGTTTACATAAAACCATGTGAGGTTCACTGCATCAAGAAAGGATCCAGACTTCTTTATTCTTAAACTATGCTAAAAAGCCTAAAAGCATGTATCCTGAGCACCCTGCTTTAATTTTTGGTCACCCTGCTATATAATCTTTGTTTTCTTTAACTTTGAAGCGTCCTGCGAGAGGCGTTAGATGTCCCTTCCGAGACTAAATAACCAAACTATCAAACAAATATTTTTATCAACGAATACAAAAAATATTTTTAATAATTATTTATAATTGAACTCAACAATATTTAAATTTAATTATGTTATGTAATTATATATTGAAAAAGAATCCTTCACTATTTAGATAGGGAGAGTCACATTCATCAGCCCGTGAAGAATTCAAAATTTAAGTTTGATAACTGTACTTAATATAAATATTGAGTGCCTGTATTATTTAAATCGTTAAAATTCAGATCAATAGTTATAAATTTATACTCCACTTGAAATTAATAAATGATAAAGTTTATTTGAATCATTTATCTAAATTTTAATTATTCATATGATACAAACATTCAATACTTATATAAAGTATAGTTGCTAAATTTAAATCTTATATAAGATGGTCTAGTCGTTAGTGCTGGAGCATTGCCACCCGTTAGTGTGAGTTTTCTTTCTTCAAAGAAAAAGAAAAAGAATGAAGAGAATTTTACTAATTCAAAAATAAAATTGAGAATCCATGCCCTATAGTAAGATTTCAAAGTTTTTTAATACATTCGTGCTGATAAGTTACTCATGGGAGTCTTGAATGAGATTCTCTCTTTTAATTATGCAGGAAAATATATCACCTTCCCTTTTTATTTATATAGGGGTAGGTGGATGCATTTGTAGCTAGGTTATCTATCTATTTCCAAAACTATTTAGTTTGAAGTGGTTCTGTCCTCAAACGATTGTCTAACCAATCATAACATGAATTGGTGGTCTGATCAGATCCGAAACGTTCCGTCGTCGTTCACTTTTTAAAACTAACAATAAAGCTAGCTTTAGCACTGATCAAATGCTCTAGTCTGATAAAAATAAACACCCTTCCAGCACAGATACAAAGCAAAAGCGTACACGCAAATAATTAAACAAATAGCAGTGGAGTCACTAGAAACTTGACTCTTTGCACACTAAATAAAACGTTTTAGGAGAATATATATACAAAGGGATACCTAACCCTCCTCTGCACTTCCTTCGGTTAATTAAGGCGTGTCATCTTCTGTATCATTGCTTGAAATTAAAGTTAAATACTCGACACCAAATAATTCACCATTTCATATGAATACAATCTTGATTGCAAAATAAAAACACGTATAAGCGCATGTGAATGCACACGTAGATATTTTTAAGAAAATGAGTTGTCATCTAAAACACTTATAATGGTACTGTGCTGTTGGAAATCGTAAAGTCATTATATATATATATATATATATATATATAACACGTCTTTTTCAATCATGACCCGTTTTAATTTTACTATAATAGTACATGGGCTGGGTTTGGCGTTATCTTAGCCTATTACTTGGCCTGAAGTGAAGCTCAGGCTAGCTCGGTACCTTTTGTTCAGGTCGGATATTACCCAACTTGAGAAATATTTTTTTTAAGAAAAATATTTGAAAATAATGAATTTTTTTATCTGTCACTAATAAACTTGTCATAATTTTAACATTTTATATAAAAATAAACTAAGTAGGAAAAGTAATAATTTTTAAAATAAACTCAACAATTATTCATTATTTTTATATAATATTACTCACTCAAAATTGTTAAAATTGAAATCATAGAAAAACATCAGTGACAATCATGATAAGAACAATATGTTACGTGAAATGTATCAATAAATAAGATATTGTAAATAATTAAGTTTCACCAAATTAAAAAAAATGCATGTTTTTTCAGGCATCCTAACTATATTGTAATATACGGCACAAAATGTATCGCACGGATTTTGGCTTATAGTCAGGGCTGGCCAGCTTTTGAGTCTGTGGATTCCACGTAAGTCATATACCTTCGCCAGAAGCGCTGCAATATTTTACAAAATGAGGCATTAAAAAGTAGAAACAATGAATGACGTTTGAGATTCCCTCTCGCATCAATAATCACGAATCAATCAACAAAACGTGTAAAGATACAGTAGTGATCGTTTTGATATCGATATTAATTAGTCGATGTGTCCGATTCTGCGTCTGGCTAATTAGTCACGTAGCTTTCATTCTCAACCCTCCTATACATGGCCATCATCGCCAACTTTTTTCCTCCTCGAAGTGTCGTTAATTAATTTGAACGCCAAATTCTAAAATCATCATAGTTCGTCTAAAAAATCCCAATCATTTTCACCCGCCTCCTCTACGTCATACATACATTAGACCTCTTACAAATTAAATTCGATATAATTCAAAATAATTATCGATACTGGAGTAAAAAATCAGTGTCGTTTTCGATCACTGGCTAGATTGATAGTGACAGAGAATAAGAACAATAACTTGTAGAGTGAAGATCAGTTTTTGCTCAGGCATGACGAACTTCTGTGTAGAAGTTGCCAAATTTTTTTTTTAATTTAGGGAAAAAAAAATAGCGATGACTGAATTAATAATTACCATGGACACAGGCTCTTACAGCACGCTCGTGTGCTCAATTATTTTCCCTTAAAACCCTCCAAAGATCAATTAGGTACAAGTTCTTCATTTGTTAGCCGCTCCAAATTAAATATTTATTAATTTCATTTAGTGGAATGCAAAATATCACGAAAAATAAATTCAAAACAAACTTGAGAATAAAAGTTTACTCTCCTCTACTGTACTTATCTCATAAAACAAAAATTAAACATCACTAAACAATAATCATAAAATTAGTAAAGAATATTTTAATGGATGTGTCCGAATATTCTGGCTGTACTTCTACGCTTGTCCGAATATGCTGGCTGTAAAAAAACATTGAATTATTCTAAAAATATATAGGTTAATATATCCTCAAATAATCAACGAGAGCTTCATAACAAGCAGTAGCGTACTTTTTTGGCAGGAAAGCAGCAGCGTACTTGGTTATGTATTGTATGGCCTTCTTTAGAGTACGACCGTACGAGGTGGTATGTGATTCGGACGTCCAAAATCCGGCGGCAGCGACGGTTTGGGACTTTTATTCTCCGAATATGTTTGGAGATCGTGAGAATCTTTTGCCTTTTGCAAATACAAGCATCACTGCCGGTGACTAATTATTATTATTATTAAATATTAAACGTCCACCGTTGCTTGTACTGCGGAGAAGGGAATCTTCATAAACTGGACCTTGGCTTTTTCATCGAGCTATTGTGGCTGAGGCTCGAAATTGACACTAACCGGCACTTGGGTGGCATATACATTTTAATTATTTTACCGAACAATTTCTTTTTGTCACGAAAGTTTGAATATGCGACTTGAATTTTACATGCAGTCTAGTAAGTTAAGTTCAAAAGGTTATAATTATTATAGTAATTGTATATGTGTCAAAAGAAGTCTCACATTGACTGAATGCAAAGAATTCATAGTGTATAAATATTAAGGAATATAAAATTGGCCAATAAAATAAGTTTAGAGGAGAAGTGAGTTCGCGAGTTCAAAATAGACCAATTCAAAATAATTACAGTTAAAAATAATCGATTCGCCTCTTACACTTGTATTCAAGAGGCACTAGGTTCTTTTTACTGAATTATTTTTACAAAAAGCAAATAATTATTTATTTATATGAGCTTGCCAAAGAACCTTGAATTTTAGCTATTTGGAGTTCGAATTCAAATCTTAGCCATATTTGGGTTTTAAACCATTTCTCAAACGAATTTTGCTAATAGCTTTTCATTAGTATTTTGTCCCCCTTAATGGCTCAGTGCTTAATGAAAATAATATTCTTGTAACCAAGGTTTAATGTTGAATTAATCCGGTGATTGCAACTTCAATGTTCGTCCAAGATATCGGCCTATACATGGGCATGCATGCAGGCAGAACCATTTACTTGCCTCTTGAGTTTTCAAGGCTCTTCTTTTCTCCTCCAACTTCTGCTGTGTTCTAATTTGTCTACATTACATTGCTAGTGTTTGTTGTCCTGTTGCTTTGCGTTTGCAGGACGTGCTTATTGAATCTTGAAGAAATGCAAGTTTGTCGTACTAATATGTCGAAATAGTTTTTAAGGATAGTATCATTTGGCACAACTCAAACAACCTTCGTTTTCCTACCTACTACCAACAATAATACCTTTCAAATTGGTGAAACAAGTGTTATTGATATTTAAAAAAAATAAGTTTAAAATATCAATTAAAATTATTACAAATTCAAGAGTTTCAACTGCAAATAAATATTTAAGTATTAACAATAAATTTTAGATTGTAACATAAATTTCTAAACTGTTTGAATTCATATTTGTAATTTATTTTGTTAAATTTTTTATTAAGAACCTAACTATCATTAATTCATTCATTTGAGGCCCAACTGTCCTTCTCCCTACATTAAATACACTCATATAAATGTTGTTAGCAATCGACACAAACTCAGTCACAGCCTCACTCTACCAATGGCCCAAGTTGCTTATGCGTGGCTTAATCGGGCAATCTTGACATATCAATAGGAGCCCACCCCTAAGAGAAAAACATGCCTCTTCAATTTAAGGTTAGGAAATGAGCCAAGCTTATAGGGTTGGGCTTGAGCATTAAAGCTTTAAAATAGAACAGCTAGCTTATAAAGACCAATTCTAATGGGCTGAAGGCCTAAATAAGCTAGCTCAATAGGGCCAAAGGCAACCTATTTAGGCTTATTTATTTATTTATATTTTAAAATATAATTTATTATCATAGTATTATTGATGTTTTTGGTAACATTTCAAATATTTAGTTGTTATAGTATTTTTTTTTAGAATTAAAATTTACATAATACTTTGGGCTGTTTAGTATTTTTTGGATAAAGTCTGGTTTGTTTAATTCTAGACAATAATTTGTTTCATATCACATATGTGTGTTAATATTTTTAAATTATATTTTTTAATGACAGAGTATTTTTTATATTTATATAATCTTGTATTGTATGACTTGAATTATAAATTTATAAAAATTAATATTTTATTATTTAAAATAATGGTATTTTTGCATCATCAAAACATTGTTAATATTAAGAATTAAGATGCTGTCAGTGTGATTTGACATTAGAGTAAGATTGTATGTTGCAATGGAATGAATGAATTATTTTTAATTTAAAAAAAAAAAAAAAAGAGCCTGAAGCACGCAGAGTCAGCCTTAATCCTATCTTACTTAGGGTCAGGCTTTAAACATGATCCTCTCAAAGAATACTCAATTCAAATGGGTTGATCCTTTAAGGCTAAGTTAACTTGCTTTCTCAACTCTACTTTTCATGAATTGCTGGATTGTAGAAAAAATTTATTTTGTAAGAGTAAATTGAAATGTTTATTTTTTTAATTAATATCAATAATTTAACTACTTTTTTTTAATTTTGGTGAAGTAATTAAAAATAACTTATAGTAAGTTATAAGTAGAGAATATTAGTAATAAAAAATATAGGTGTAAACAAAAAGAAAATGAATAAATCAATTAAGATACAATCATTTTAAAATATAGTTTCATAAATTAACTCTGCACTTTGGTAGCTCCACCGATGTTTAGCACAGTCTCTTACTGTGTACTTTGTTCGGGCTGTACAAATTATTCAAATGAAAGATTATTTGTCTTCTTTTTATGTAGAATGAGGGATATCGCTTTAGCAAAACCACAAAAAAAAAATAACAATAGAAGCTAATGTTCTCTTTTTAGTATAAAAGTAAAAATTACCTATAAACAAAAGAGAATACTAATTCTACGCGTTTACTGTTATCCTCATTCTATATCATCAATCATGACTGAATCTTCTCCTGTTCAACTTCCACTCTCACATTTTTTGCTCCAATAACTTCTACTGTTGGATTAGAGCAAATCTACGCTTTTTAATTATCTTTCACACAATTTTTTTAAAAACTTTTCAAATGTAATAATACCGAAAATAATTAAAATGCCTAGAAATACTTTCCTAAAGAGTTATCAACATCGATATAAACAGTAACCTTTGGTCAATGAAAAAAAAAAAAGGAATAGAAAAAGCTCTACGAGTTATTCTAGACTTCGAACCAAACACTAGCCACAATTTTTTTTTCTCAAATAACAATTGAGGAAAAAATATTGAAAATTTCAAGGGGGCTCGTGAAAACTGGAAAGCCACTTTCAGGGTTTAAAAATGGAAAAGTAGTGGGGATGCCCTGGACATAGAATTAAGAATTAACAACTTCATTTGGTGTATTTTAAAGGGCACAGGGCGTTTCCCTGATCAAGCCCTATTTTCCAGTTTTCACTCCATCATGGTGTTGGTGGGCGTCCCTCGTGTTATGTTACATCTCTTATCTCTACCATTCATGGCTTCTTCCCTCCGTTCTCATTCTCTCCTCTTCCTTCACATGCCTCTATCCGTAGCACCACATAGGTGGAGCCTCGCCTAAGTTATTGATTGTTCATTTTGTAACCTTCCTCTTTTCTTACTGTTTCGTTTTTCTCTGTTTCTGCGCTTGGCGTTTTCCTTCTCTTGTTTTATCACCCTTTCGCCGCCTTCCCTCATGTTCTTCTCTTCCACCTTGTCTTCTTTCTCCATTCTGCTTCCTCCCACCCATGCTTTCCCTGCTCGGTCCTCGTCCTGGTAAGCATATTTTCGCAAGTTTCTGGTTTTTTTAGCCACCGGTTCAGAGATTGTTTGGGCTTTACATTCGTGCACGTGCATTAGTTAAATTAGCCGCGGTATGTAAATTGTCTCTTTAGTCGAAGATTAAAGATTTTCCTGCGATTCATTCATTAATTTGTACTGGTACTGATCCAACCCACAAAGAGGGGCCAGGAGTCTGCTAGACGAGTATCTATTTGCTTCTGTTTTGAGCGTTCTCTAATCCTCTAATTTCACGCTAGTCATTGCTGCTGTGCTGACACTTTCCTGAATGTTTTTGCCCAAATACAGATTGTTGACTATCCGGAGGAAAAAGAAGCCAAGTTTCGAGAAAGAGGAGCGGCCTCATTCAACAAAGGAAAGAGGAGCGGCTTGGAAATGACATCAATATGACCACAACAATGACCATGACCGATAAGAAAACATTGCCTGTCTGGAGCACTGGGGGTGGCTTTCAGGCGAGCAAGACGAGAGTTACGGATGACAGAGGAAGTGGTTCCTCAGGTGACTTACCTCAGGATGCAGATTATAACATGCCGTCTCTGAGCGACGAGCTAGAGACCCTGATCTTGGCCAGACTTCCAAGATCTGAGCATTGGAAACTTTGCTTTCTTAACAAAAGGCTTCAAGCCCTTGTGAAGAGTGGTGAAATCATCAAAATCAGGAGAGAAATAGGGTTCAAAGAGCCCACCGTGTTCATGTTAGCAAGTGGAGAGACCAGTTGGTGGGTCTTCGATGAGTATTTCGAATCCTGCAGGATGCTCCCTTTTATCCCATCAGACTACAATTTCACATACGGAGACAAGGAGTCATTCTGTGCTGGCTCCCATTTGTTTGTTTCGGGCAGGGAATTCGATGGAGCTGCTATTTGGAGGTACGAGGTTGCAACAAACCAATGGTTCAAGGGTCCCTCCATGATCAATCCCAGGTGTCTCTTTGCATCAGCCACCTCTGGTAACTATGCTTTCGTCGCAGGTGGTCAGGACACAACAACTTATTCGGAAGTGTTGGACTCTGCTGAGAGATACAACTCACAGAGCAAGTATTGGGAATCTCTCCCTGGGATGAACCGGAAGAGAAAGTCTTGCTCGGGTTGTTTCATGGACAAAAAATTCTATGTCATTGGGGGACAAGATGAGCAACAGAACGTCCTTACTTGTGGGGAGTTCTTTGACGAGGAAACCAACGCCTGGAACTTGATTCCCGACATGTTGAAAGACATTCCCGTGTCGGTTTCAAGGTCCCCACCACTCGTTGCTGTCGCCAATAATCAGCTTTACGCGCTCGACGCCTCTTCCAACGAGCTGAAAACGTATCACAAGCGAAGCAACTCGTGGAAGAAGCTAGGAACCGTTCCAGTGATAGCAAGTGCTCAGGGAGGTTGGGGCGTGGCGTTCAGGTCTCTGGGGAATGAGCTGCTCGTGATCGGTGCAACTGCCACTTCGGGGCGTGGCTTGACGATCTACACTTGTTGCCCTGATCCTTCCGTTGAGGAGTTGCAATGGCGGCGGATTGAATGTGGCAACACGAAGCTTAGTCCCTTCATTTACAATTGTGCTGTGAGGGGAGCTTGAGGTCTGAATATTGCCAAGGAATAAGCAGAGTCACTCTGAAATCTATTAATAAGATTTGCAGGACATTCAGGACTTGTCTCTGCTTCAAGCTTCCATTCATTCGATCTGTTTTTCTAATGTGACTTGATGCGCCTCTTTAACTTATGATCATCGTTAGGAAGCCTGTTGATGTAACCTTTCTCATTTCATCTTTTAACACTGCAGATTTTCTTCTGTGTTTTGCTCCAGCTATCTGATTTCCTGGTGGAGATTTCTGTCAAAATTTATCCACATAAAAGCACTGGGTCAGTCATAGTAATCATCATCCACCACTAATGTGGCTCTCGCATTGTAGGTTTATTACCACCTCGCTTTTAAATCATTTGGTTCTCCCACAAATTAGGTTCATTTTCTGCCGATTTCGAACCATCTTCTAATCGCCACGGCTAGCCCCGCCCCTGAAGGGCATATGAAGAACCAACAAGAATATGGAAAATGACAGCTGTTGTTCCATATTAACGCAGAACATATGCCTCAGTGTGCTTTTCATTGCTAAAAAGGGGTTTAAGAAAGACTCAGCCAGATTCACCCTCCTAACCAAAAAAGAAGAAAGAAAGAAAGAAAGAAAACTGATTTAAACGAGAAGTATAATTATGACGCATTTAAAGCTCCAGATTAAATTAAGAAGACAAAACGCACTCTACATGTCTGTTTCAAGGTTAATAGTAGGTTTTTCTTGATTTTAAACCTAAAAACAATTCAGAATTGCATCTCTTATTGAAACATGTTGAACTGCCAAATTTAAGCATGTTTAACTATTTAACACTTGAACTAGGCAATTAAAGAGTGATCATTTAAGCATTTGGCGCTAGTTTTTTAGAAATAAATAATTTCTCAATTTTTTGAACATGTTCATTAGACTCGAGTAAATAAAGGCAGAACTTCATTGTAAGTCCATGAATGTGATATTATTACAAATGAAGTCCAATCAAATCTAAAATTTTACTATAGGATAAGAGAATCAAAATGAAATAAATTTTTTTGATTAAATGATCAAAACACCCTTAATGAAAAAGGAAAAAGAAAATGAGAATCACTCTTTAATTTAACTTGTTAAATATGTAACATAGCTTATTAAATTCCTTATATTACTTATAAATTTACCAAGCTCTAATTAAATATGTAATTTGTTAATTTCCTTCCATTACTTAATAAATTTGTTATGTTTCTCATTAATTATTTAACTTATTTTAAATCTACTGTAACTTGTTAAATTATTAACTTTAACTTGCAATATCTATTATGTTACTCGTTAAAAAAATAGCATTATGTGTTAAATCTCTTAACAGCACTTATATAGTCCATAACATGTGAATATTTAACTTATATTGGTCAATAATACGTGAACCCATAGTTGGTATTTAACTATATCAATACTCGGTAATTACTCAATTAAACTTGACAAGTTAATATGATAAAAAAACATAAAGACATTTCTGTACAACGAAAGCTTATTGGTCAGTAATACGTGAACCCATAGTTGGTATTTAATTATATCAATACTCGATAATTACTCAATTAAACTTGACAAGTTAATATAATAAACAAAAACATAAAGACATTTCTGTACAACGAAAGTTTTGTTGTCAATTTACATTCCAAGCTTAGTGTGGTAAATTCTTTGTCATTCTTTATTCTCCACCGCTTTCTCGGCCCTGCAAAGATTAAAACTCAAGTTATTATCATCCTTGTCACTAACTTAACCTATCTGTCATATTTAATTTTACTTTTTAATTTTCTAAAATGAACTTGTCATTTATAATATATAACTTGATAGGAAATTTTGACAATTCACATTCATCAAGCATTCACTTATCAATACACTAGCACTACTTGTTAATTTAACAAAAAAACTTATTATTTCACTGTACTAAAAAATTTCCAACAACTTGTCGCAAATAAAGTATCACTTGTTTGTTAAATCATCTTCACTGCATTAATTCACTTCAAATAAGTAAACCAACTTGTTATTGTACCATTCTAAAAAATTTCCATCCATATACTTTGTCAAGCATTCCCTTAAATTGGAATCTGACATTTTTGTTATTTTTCGAAGATTTCTTGTTATTATATGATCACTATACTTGTTCATGCAATCTGACATTTTACAAGCAAACAAGTAGATATTTAGGTTGTTAAATTGGAATGAACAAGAAGTAGCAAGTTATTTAATTCAGTTCAAACTTTGGCCACGGCTGCGTTTTGGTCAAAAAACATGGACGTTTTTATGTGTAATAGTTGCAAAATACTCGTGCCAAAAATAAAAATTTCTAAAATTATAAACTAATCACTGAAGACCAAGGAGTTGTGTATAAAAAAGCATCAATTTGGAGAGAGCATGGAGTACTGCTTTTGAAATAGACAATGGTTAATAGTTTGTGATCTATGTAGAAAATCATTTAAGATAGTTCGGACATATACAAAGCAAAACCACAGGAGGCACTTGTGAGGAGAGTAAAACAGATGAATTTAAGCCCTGTCAAGAAGAGTAGAGGAAGACTGAAGAAAATATTTTTAAAAGTTATTAAATGAGACCTTTTAATTAACAATATTTCTAAAAGCTTAATAAATTATAAAGTATAATGGTGTCATATAATTCATATAGCCGGCCTCATCTAGTAAGATGAGGCTTGTTGTTGTTGTATGGTTAATAGTCTGTAATTATCAAGTTCTAAAGCTAGATATAATGTTAATGGTAAAACTTGAATTCATTGTTTATTGGTTAAGATATCTATAGATCTTAAAGGATTCGCCCTCTTCTCATGTATAGAGTTTTAAGTGGGGAATAAAAAGTAGATAGGCAGGTCAGTCTTTCACAGAGGCAAATATGCACATATACTATTTCCTAACTTTATATACGCTACTTGCCACAAAAATAAGCTCAATTCCATCTTCCAAATTCAGCTGAAATCTATTTTGTAACTAGGCCACTTGCCTTTTCAACAAGTACACCAAGTTTCAAAAAATATTTATCAACATATCTTGACACAATCCAAAAGAATTATTAGCATGTTAAACCAATTAGGAAACCTTCGTAGCACTAACATAGAACTGGCTTGAACGTATTAACAACATAAAAATTATTAGAACAAAAGGAAGCAAGAAATGGAGGCAGTAATCAATTGGAAGTACCTACTTGTTGTCATCATCTGTTCGAAATGTGGCCCAGTAACTCTACAAGTGGTTTCTCTCTTCTTACTTGATCTTGGTCGATAACCATATCATCATTTGAAGTTGAATTAGTTCATCGTGAAATAAAATTCGACTCCTATCAGTACCAGCACAAGGGAAACAAACCCCTACCGTTGATTTCGAGCCATATTCAAAGCTATCCTTAGGAAACCCTACATGTCGGCTGACCCCTTGCCGCCACTCTGTCTTATAAACACCATCCTTGTCCTTGAACGTGGTAGCATTCCTAAACCTCATGTCCCAATACAGCTTCTTGACTACTCTCAAAGACACCGACACTCGCGACTCTCTGGTGCAATCCTTCACCTTCGAAGATGGCATCCCAACTTCTACAGCCAAGTTGACGACGACTTCTTTTGCCAACCCTGCTTGTCGTGGAACCTAAGCTCCGTCAGAAAAAGTCGCAAGAAGCAAGTTCGCAGATGATTTTGGATTCTAAAGCGATCGTGAATCATCGAGCACATGTCTTAGGGACGATGATCTATAAGGGAGGAACGGTGAGAGAAGAAGGAAGATGGTGAATCATCGAGCAAATGTCTTAGGTTATATTTATGCTTAGGGAGTTTTTTTTAAGAGAGAAATGGAGCTGAGTGGGATAGTTAAAAGGTCTAAACAAATTATTATTCGTGAGTTTATTTTTAAAGGAGGATGGAATGGTAAGGAATGATCTCTACAATCCTCCTTTAATAACTCGATATTTTTTATCCTTTAATAGTACAATATAATTATTTTATTTATAAAATTATTTTTAATCTTTTATTCTAATAAAAAAATTATTTATTATTATTTTTCAGTCATCTCTCTTACTTCCTATTAAGGTTGTGCATAAGTAGGGTTGGGTTAGGTATTACCCCAGTTAGTTGGACACTAGGCTGACCCGATTGATCCAAAAATATTTTTAAAAATATTTTTTGAAAAATATAAAAAAAATTTCCTTGAAATTTTTTTATTATTTAAAATATATTCTTCATAAAACTAATATAAAATTAAAAGTAATTTTTTAAAAATTTAAATGAACAACAACTGCCAATTATTTTTATATAATAATAAGTTAAAAATAAATTTTAAATTTTAAAAGAGATTTAAAAATTGAAATGATAAAAAATGTTTAAAAAATCATAAAAATAATATAATTCACGGTAACTTTCAATAAAAAATAATGCTATAAGATAAACATTATTCATAAAAAAATTTAAAAAAATAAAAAAACTTGCACATGTTTAAGAAGGTAAGGTTTGACCCCTACTGATGCCTGGTTCCATGTGCTCGAATGCTTCGAATAGGGCTAGGCTGATTGGACATCCAGCATAGTACATAACTTCACCACCTCTCTCTCACTCTTGCCACCTCTCTCTTTCTCTTGTGCCCTTCAATACTATGATTTTGTTGTGTTTTTTTCCTGTGTAACATGAATGTTTGTTTAAATAGCCTCATTACTTGCTTTCTCTTTTTATTCTTAATTCTTGAGTATCTTGTTTGATAGTTAATTATTATTATTATTTTTGAATAAATATTGTAATTATTTAATGGGTATTATTATTTTTTAAATTTAGTCATGTGGGTAATATTAGAAGAAAAAAGTTTTAATTCGTTCCATTCATTTTATATTAATTTACAACTAACGATGATGTAAAACCATTCTTTCATATTACGAAACTCTCAAACAATGAAAAATTTTGTTTTGTTCCACTTTGCTCCTCTTTGTTACGTTCAATTTCATTAATGACCATTCATTTTCATTTAATCCTAAACTCCCAAATGCAGTATTAGTGTTTCTGCATATTTGATAGGGCGATATAATCATTTAATTAATAAAATTTATTTTATTTGAGTATTTGTCAGGATGCAATGAGAAATCAGAATTTATTGAGCTTTATTTATAATTAAATCATAACCGAGGTTCTATAAAGAAATTCTTCCTTATATAAATAATAAAAAATAATTATAAGTTATAAATCCTAAACCGAGCGGTTGCAATACGATACTAAACTGGCTGGTAAAACAAAAAGAAATAGGTTATTAGTTATTAAAATTATGCACTCTTTCTATTAAAAAATATAAAACATTTTTTAAGAGTTAGATATTTAAAAATATAAGATATTTTTAATTTTTCAAGATATAATCATTACTTTTTTTAAAAAAATCCTTATTGAATAGAGCACTTTATATTTTTTAGAATAAAATATTTTATTAAATACAAATATAAAAAATAAGATTAATTTAAAAATAAGTAATTAGTTTATTAAGGATGAGATTTAATTAAAAATGGGAGAAGTATAAAAGAAAAATTAACAAAGAGAAAATGACAATTAAAGACTCTCTAAGAACATTAATCTCAATTAAGGATCATAATATTTTGAAATCCTAATTGAGAATTGCGATTTTAATTGGATAAAAAAAATATAGTGTGTGAATGAGATTTACTAACGTTACTTGGGGATTTACTAATCCGATTTGAAAAAATTACTAACATATATTGTGAAAATATAAAATCTCATTTAAAAGTTGATTGTTTAATAAAAAGCGCCATTTAAAAATTCATTAACCCGACTTAAAATTTTTTTAAAGTGTATTGTAAAAACATGAAATTTCAATTAAGAATTGATTGTTTAATAAAAAACTTTAATTTGGATAAGTTATTTTTTATTAAATAATTAATTCTCAAGTGGAGTTTTATTTTTACATAATATATGTTAAAAAATTTTTTAAATTTGGTTAGTGAATTTTTAAGTGGCGTTTTTGATTAAACAATTGATTCTCAAGTGGGGTTTTATATTTTTACAATATATGTTAGAAATTTTTTCAAATCAGGCTAGTGAATTCTCAAGTGGCACTTTTTGTTAAATAATCGATTTTTAAGTGAGATTTTATATTTTCACAATATACGTTAGTAATTTTTTTAAGTTGTGTTAGTGAATTTTCAAGTGATGTTAATGAATTCTATCTTACAAACTATATTTTTTTATTCAATTAAAAATCATGATTCTTAACTAAAATTTTAAAATATTATAATTTTTAATTGAGATTAATATTCTTAAAGATTCTTAATTATCATTTCCCATTAACAAACGAGACACGTAATTCAAGCACCTGAGAAATTAGATAAATTCCTGATGCCGTGTAAGCGGCCTGTTCGGCTACTCCATGCGCGCGTAAGATCATTTTTCGAACTGAGGCAGCGAGAGAGGAACAAAAATGGCGGGAGAGGAGACGCTCAAGCAAAGCACATCTCCGTGCCCGTATTCTGCCGCTACTTCTCCTTCTCTTTCAGGGAAAGAGGATGATCCGAACCAAAAGTGCTGGAGGAAGCAAGCGGACGAGAATCTCAAGAGGCTCCACTCTCTTCTCTTTGGGACCGATCTTGCCATTGATAAACAAGATTTTGAGTCGGCATACATCCTCGGGCTTCGCCTCATCGGCTTTCTTGACTCTCATTGCCATTCCGATGTCGATGAAGCCTATACACGTCCAATTCGCCAGGAAGTCTTGAGGAAAATCGGCACCGCTCGTCGATCCCTCATTCCAGACTCCGATCGGTATATATTTCCCCCCCGTCTTCCTCTTCAGTAAAGTTCTCCTCTATTGAGCTTATGAAATTCCATTTTTTCTATTCTAATTACTCGTAACTGGCCAATAAGGAGCTTTCGTACTTCACAGAGATCTTAAGAGATTATTTTGATTGCGGAATTCGACATGTTTTTTTTTTGGAGACCCTAAAGATAGATTGTAGGGGGATGATAATGTTCAAGTGTATTCGGTTATGATTTTTTTGTTGGTTGAACGTATCATTCTCCGAATTTAATGTGATAATTGTTTTCTGTTTGCGGATTAAACGAACACAGTATGACTGCTTTGAATTTTCACTGGAGGCAATGCCTTGAACGGATACTTTTGAAATTTCCTGTCAATTCTTCTGATTAGAATATAGCTCATTTGAAGTTGTGTTCTAATGCTAATTGTTGTCATTCCCTCAGCCAAGCGTTTGAACAAGCAAAAAAGCCTCCAGGGTGTATTTTTGGCAAAACAGGAGATGTTGACATTGGGAAAATTAAGAAGTCGAAGTACTTCCAAGCTCTACTCAAGGAATCCAAAGAAAAGGTGGAGAATTGGTTGGTTATACTGATATATGCTGATAAACGGACTCCATCTATCTTTAGGCAAAGTATTTAAAAACTCATTTTTGCTTTCCCCCCAATCCCTTCTCTTTTCTGTCGAGCTGCTGCTTGCGGGTGCTCTGTTTGTGTCTGTATGTCAATTTCTTGTGCTCATTATTTTAATTAAATTTTTATGCTTCGCAATCCTCCAGACAGTTAAGCCAATGATTTTCTCAATAAACATTCTTGTTTTTTAGGGTGACCATCTGGAGAAGCAAGACAAAGAAGGCAGCAAAATACCAAAAGAATTGTTGCAAACGAAGTTGACATCAATGCGTGGGAAAAGTACTTTGAGGGCTGAAGTAGTTCAAAATTGAGTTTGAAACATAACAGATCTGAGGACTGCATGATTGTTGAAAAGCCTCTGTCACATGGTGGCCACAGTAAGGGTCATCTTGTCTCTTCCTTCTTGAAAACTGAAGGGGAAGAAAAAACTTCTGGAACTTTGGGAACAAAGCGTGTGCACATGGAAACTAATAGCCCCCAAGTTTGTAATGTCAAGTCACCTTTAAGCAATGGGGAAGCGAAGTCTGATACTTGTGGCAGTGGGTTTGTTACTGCCAGAGCTAAATTGGTATAATTTACTATATTGTCTACACTCTGTATGTGAGTGTTTTGTTTTTTTGAGCGGAGGAGTTACTATTTTAGCAGTACAAGGATACCCATTCTTGAAAATTGTTTAAAATTTCGTACATATTTTACATGGCCTTTCACTCTTCTACCACGTCTTTTCTCGTGGGAACGAATTTTAGCTTTAGATGCACATTTTTCTTTTCCAAATGGGATTTTCTAGCTGAAAGTCTAATGCTTTCACGTTCAATGACTATAAAGAACCGTGCTAAAAGAGGTAAAAAGTAAGCAACCTTGAGCATCGAATTTCCTGTAGTTTTTTGCCCGAGTTTGTATGTGATATTATTTTCTAGTTCTCCTTCGAATTAATATCTCCACATGTTGTAATATTACATTATTTTATGCCCGCAGGAAATGGAAACAAGGCAGAGGCGGGAAGGGATTGGTTCACCTACTGCATCTGTCTCACAATATGATAACAATTCTTTGAATCGGGTGTATGGTGGGAGATCATATGGTGTTTCACGACGTGGCCTCCGTGGTAATTTTGTACCTCCTATCAAATCCAATGGAACTGGCGATGGAAATATTACATCAAGAATTGCAGGAAAATGTGATGATACTTTAGATGACTCCACAAAGAGATGGTCAGTGGTGCAACCTTCAATTTGATCTGTTGAAGTCCTAACTTCTAGTTTTGCTTTTCCTTGTAAATTCATCTTCTCGGAGTCTTGATAGTTTTTTCACTTCAAGTTTTTAGTTTTTACGTTTTTGTTGATTGCATTTCAGTGTTGTTTTGACTTTACTAGGATATATTACCAAAATAAGCTTACAACACATTTTAAAAGATTCTTATCTAGTGGTGATCAGATTAGACTTTTCCTTACATTACCTCACTGGGCCCTTCTATTCTGTCATGAGTCTCGCATCAGAGAGCCTTACAAGTGGTGTAGGGTTTATAAGCTCAAAGGTTCTTCCATCCAACATGCTTGTATTTTGAGATGGACTCCCCTTTTGCGCTATGCTCGTTACATTTCCTGCTCCATGAAGGTTTTGATTGGTAGGAGGTTGAAGTGCCGTGGAGTGGAGCCGCCATGGACGTCGGCTCTTGATGAGATGGCATTATTATGAATCCCACATTGGGAAGCCTCACAAGTGGTGTGGGATTTATAAGTTTAAGGGCTCTCCCACCTAATAGACTAGTATTTTGGGATAAGTTCTTCCTTTGAGCTTGTGCTTGTTACATATTCTGTAGGTTTTGTTATCTTATTGATTTGAACGAAGTTGAGTACGTCCTTTTCTTTTTATTGCGGATATCAGTACTGTTTTTGGTTGTTTTGGACTCTCTCCCACCATATGTTTTCTCCCTTCTCCAATAGTTAGTCTGATGAATTATAATTGTTATTGATCATGTGATATACAGTTCTATACAATCATTTCCTAATCTGTTTCACAACGTGCTTGTAGTTTGGAAGGGCTATGTGGTCCTGACGGAGAGCTTCCTGAGAAATTGAGGAATATAGAACCTCGCCTTATTGAACATGTTAGCAATGAGATTATGGATAGAGATCCTAATGTCCGGTGGGATGACATTGGTAATACAGATGACTGTTGGACTTTCTTTTATGTTCACTATTTGGGGAATTTGCTTTTAACCGAAACTAATTTTACTCTTCTAATTCGCTAATGACATGTAGCGGGATTGGAGCATGCCAAGAAATGTGTCACTGAGATGGTCATATGGCCTCTGCTACGTCCTGATATATTTAAGGGATGCCGCTCTCCTGGGCGAGGTCTACTTTTATTTGGTCCACCAGTAAGTACATAATTTTGTAACATATGGAAATTGCGTACTCACTGATATGATCTCCACTCTTCCTACAACTTTGAACGCTAGGGAACTGGTAAAACGATGATAGGAAAAGCCATTGCAGGTGAGGCAAAAGCAACCTTCTTTTACATATCGGCGAGTTCATTGACAAGCAAGTGGGTATGTGTTAATTTTCAACTGTCTAGAACTTTGAGCATGTTTATATGAATGTAAAAGTCTTTTGCATTCCTAAAATGTGTTTTGATTCCTAAAAGTATTCTTTATTACAAAAGTAAAAGTCTTTCAAAAATCCTATAATCTTGGACGCATATCTGCAATCTTGTTAAGATATGTTGCCAGTGTCCCAAAGATTTATGATTTCTTTCTTACAACTACCCTTACCCTTTGAGTACATGTGCATTGACTCATGAACTGAATCCATCAGATTGGATATATCTCTGGGATCACGCCTTTAACATCTAATATATGTACTGGTCATTATTGTAGATTGGAGAAGGTGAAAAACTAGTGAGAGCCCTTTTTGGAGTTGCCAGTTGTCGCCAGCCAGCTGTAATATTTGTCGATGAAATAGATTCTCTCCTATCTCAGGTACCCTATATTTTGGCTGTTTGCGGCTAACATTCAGGGCGATGACATTGACTGGCTTACGTGCTAGACTTCTTACGACAATTCACTTGAAGTTTAGCGTTATCATCTATGTATTGTGGAAGTTCATGGCAAGCAATCATGATGAGGGGGGAAATGCATTCTGCTTCTAAGCTGCCACATGAATATTTAATTATTAGTTTTCACGTCTATACCGCATGTTGCTCTCCCCCCCCCCCCCTTTCCATTTATTCTGCCGATACATTTGTTTGACGCAGCGCAAGTCAGAGGGTGAACATGAATCAAGCAGAAGGCTAAAGACACAATTTCTCATTGAAATGGAGGGTTTTGACAGTGGTAACGAGCAGGTTCTTCTTATAGGTAATTGTTAAATCACTGGGTTTAATTTCCTCATTTGTTTTCGTATATTGCTGACAGCGGCAGATTTAATTTAACTAGCTGGCTCTTCTGTAATACTTTATGCATGTCAAAACTGAAAGATCTGTGTATTCCTTTTTATAATACAAATAAGCTGATTTCATATTGGGAAGTTGCAATATGTTCCAGGCTTCTAGCGTCATCATATAGTATTTGAGCATGAAAGGGGGTTCCAACTTCCAGAGTTCTAACAACGCGAAAATGCAAAACATGTTAGCTATAATTGGTTTCCTTGTATGCAATGCAAATTCTCAACTATCAGACTGGTAGGGTTGTTGGTATTTGAATATATTGATGATCGAGGAAGTAATACGAACACGAACCTCTTTAGCACATTATGCCAGTAATGATGGAACCATCTCTATATATAATTAAACTTGTGAGCATGCTTCTGGAAGTGTATGGAATATCTGGAGAAATTTAAAGGGATTGAACTTGGGTGCAAATGGAAAGAACGCTAATTTACTGATAGGCATTTTTGACTTTTGAAGTTTCGAGGCCAGCACAGTTCTTTTTTCCTTCAGTTTGATGCCAGTGGGCCTCAATCCCATGTTAACTTGTGATGTCTTGATTTTATTTTTTAAATTTTGGGTGAGATATGTTGCTATCCTGTTTGTTATAATGGATTGGGTCGTACTTTTACAGGGGCCACCAATCGTCCTCAAGAGCTTGATGAAGCGGCACGAAGGCGACTTACCAAAAGACTTTATATCCCCCTGCCATCCTCAGGTGCTAATTAATATGATTATTTAATTTTTTTTTTTTTTAGTGGTGTTGAGATAGAGATTATATTAACAGAATAAATCTCTATCTCAGCAAGTGGAAAAGAAATTTCATCAAGTAAAACTGTACAAAATACAAAACATAGCAATTACATCACAGTGCTATAGGTTTTTTCAAGTCCTATATTTTGATCAACTATAGCTCTAACTTGAGCTAAGACGCAATCTATGAAGGTTTCATCATATATGGTGATTCCTAACCTCCCATATGCCAATCTTCCATGAATCATCAATCGTATTTTATTCAAACGTATTTAGCACTATGTGGCTAACTGATTTGTATTGGCCATGACTACTGAAGAGGCAAGAGCCTGGATTGTACGTAACCTCCTGGAGAAGGACGGACTTCTCAAGCTGTCAAAGGAAGAGATTGATACCATATGCAACAAAACGGAAGGTATTCCAAGTAATAATTATAATTCCTTCTGTCTAGTACTGCCTGTTAATTTAAATAACCTCCCTTTTCTGCTTAATAATTTCTTTAAATATATTTTTCGTAAACTTTCTTATCTAGGATATTCGGGATCAGACATGAAAAATTTAGTGAAGGATGCTTCAATGGGTCCCCTAAGAGAGGCTTTAAGGCAGGGCATAGAAATTACTAAGCTGAACAAGGAAGATATGCGGCCAGTAACCCTTCAGGTTCACAGCTAAGCGTAATTAAGTTATTCCCAAAAAACACGTTGGCTCAATTAATTAAAAACCGTTTATTTGCATTGTTCTGCAGGACTTCATATATGCCCTAAAAGAGGTGAGGCAATCTGTTTCCTCAGATGAACTTGGCGCTTACGACTTGTGGAACAAACAATTTGGAAGCCTATCATCGGATAAGGAGAGGCCCTAGTCATATGTATGAACTCAGCGAAGATATTACCGACAGTAGCAACATTAACGTCAGTTAGACATAGACCCACTCTTCCCCTGATACCTTACGCGTTTGGCAGCGGTACATATCCTAATGTGTAGTTACTCTAGCATTGGAAAATTAAGGTCATGTTTAACTCATCAAACTCTTGGCATGGGGTTTTGAATAAGTTAAGCTACCTATTGAAAGACTTGCAAATGCCGATGTTTGTTCCGTACAATAATTATACGATATTTAAATGAGCTGACGTTGGCGCAGAGTGGACCATTGCATGTGAAATAAATAATCAATTGGAACGGCCATATGCAATATAATTTGACCATGTTTTATAAATTACAACAATGATGATGCATTTGCTCTTAGCATGTTTTGCAGGGAGTGATGACGGTGATCATGAGCATGTTCAATTATTTGGATTCCGCTGCTAAACGTGTCGAAAACTTCACTGTATGAGTTTACAATTGTTTCATACACCCGAAAAAAAAAAGGAGAAATAATGGCACGCACGCATTAACTAAAGTTTTATAATTTAAAGCCTATTTAAGGGGGGTTCACCCTCTTGGAAACAAGCACCTTCAGACCGCCGGCCATGTGTGCCGTGAGAAATGGCACGAATATAGGCTTGTCTTGGCTGACAGCTCTGATCTTGAATCTCCTGAGGATTGAAGCCAGCACGTACTTCATCTGAATGAAAGCCATTTCTTTCCCAAGACACGTTCTAGGACCAGCCTGAAACGTTGGACACTTGAACGCTGAAACCTTATTCCTCTTGTTCTCGTCTGTTTCAATGAACCAACGATCCGGTCTAAACTCGAACCACTCCTTTCCCCACAGTGCTTCCATCCTTCCCATCCCGTAAGGAAAATACGTTACTTTATCTCCTGCTCGGACCCTAGTGCCATCTGGCAACAAATCATCTGCTATTGCATGCTTAGAATCCCAGGCCACAGGTGGGTATAACCTCATCGACTCACAAAGACAAGCCTTTAAAAACTCAAGATTCTTCAGAGATTCATAATCTAATGAGTCTCCTGTCTTGTCTTCTGTCTCTTTCACAATCCGATGCTCCGTTTCAGGATGATGGGAAATCAACCAGAAGAACCATGTCAAAGCTGCAGCTGTCGTGTCCCTACCTGCTAGTATGAAGCTTATCATCATATCTCTGATCGCCTCCTCTTGTTGACCTGCACATACAAGCCGTGATAAGAGATCCTCATCGCCAGCCTCCTCTCTTGCCTTCATCTTCTTCTTCCTGTCACGAATCATTTCCATGACATGACTCCGAACTTCTTCGACAGCCTCTCTGAGCTTCCGTTCAGATCCAACACCAAGCCATCTCTTCATCTTCCAGATCAAAAACAAAGGTGCTGCCCCACGTCTCGCAGATATCTCCGATGCTACGTCAAAAGCTCTTGCCAGAGGCGAAATGGGCGAAGAAGGATCCAAGCAACACATGTTGATCCCTATTGTGAATTTACAGATCACGTTGAACGAGAATCTCCCAAGCAAATCTTGCAAATCCACGATTTGGTTTCTCTTGGACAAGCTCTCAAGCACCGGCACAAGCCTCTCATTCACTTCTTCTTCCAACGTGTGCTCAACGAAATCCCCCGAGGACCTTGAGGTGAACTCGTGGCAGGCTAGTTTACGTCGAGTCTGCCACAGCTCGCCATCCACGTTGAAGATGCCATGGCCGAGAAAATCACCGAGGATGTCCGTGAAGGGCTTGCCCTTTGGGAAGTTGTTGAAGTTAGTTTTGAGGATATACTCTACGTTTTGTGGGTTGGCAGTGACAATGGTGGTCGGTGTACCTAGACGACGAAGGACGATAGTGAGAGTGGGTGAGTGAGAGAGGAGGTGAGTGTACCAATCAAGGAGGCGGTTGCGGTTCTTGTAAAAGGGAACTAGGCATCCGATGAGAGGATAGGTTGGCGGACCCTGGTGGCCGGAGAAAGCTGGAAGACGCCGGAACTCCCTTAGCGTTATGTTGAAAAGGATGAATAAGAAGATGAGTATGGGTACCATATTACTATTAGCATGGACAGTGAAGCTGCCACGGGAATGGCTCAGAATCAGAACAGAAGGATTGCCCCCGTGCTCAGTTGACTCAATTGGCCTTTAAATAATCTCTCGAAGCACTTCACCCAAGGTTTTTTTTTTTTTTTTTTGAATCCCCACTCCGTGCTACTTTGTATTTTGTAAAAAATATTTAAGAAAGTTGAACCCTGTTTTGTTTCAATTCTCATTTTTTATTTTTAAAAACTGTTTTGTAATACAGTTTTTAAAATTATTTTTAAAATAAAAATTTATTTGACTATGTTAATTAAAAAATAAACTAATAGTGATGATTATACATAATTAATAGTGATGATTAATGATAAAAATTAATTAAGATAATTATAAGTTTCAATAATTAAATATAATATATTTTAAAAATAATAAAAAATAAAAAAACTTAAAATTGTTTCTACTTTTTTTCTAAAAATAAAAAATGAAAACAATTTTAGAAACAGTTAAATAAAAAAACTTACCCAAACATATTTTGAAATTATTTGCTTTTAAAAATAAAAAATAATTTTTAAAAATTGAAAACAAACAGGTCCTTAAATTCCGAGAGCTGATATATCTCCAAGCTTGGAGAGTAGTTACAAAGTTACTTGCATAACCCAAATACTTATATGCTGATTCAAAGCATGTTCCCTTATATCTTTAACAACCTGCCTTTTAATTGTATAAACCTCATAATTTTAGATATGATTGGATATTAATCTTTTTGCTTGGTTACCCTGTGGTCTTGTTTTAGAAAAAAAAAAAAAAGTATAACACGTTATCTTAGTTAACATAAAAATTAAACTAAAATGTTACACATGAATTAAAATTGATATGTTAAAAATTAAGGAAAATTCATATAATAACTCAGAAGTGTGAAAAAATGGACACCACAATAGGAACATAAAGTATATGATTTTAATACTGATTTAAACTAATAATAATATTTACTTCTTCTTTTTTATAATATTCTGTAGTTTAAGGTATTACATGGAAGTTTTTTTTTAAAAAAAAAGTAAATAGAATCTCCAAATAGATTTCCTGCTCCCTATTTCCTATGTATTTATCTATTTCTCACTGGAAAAAGGGCAAAAAAAACGTCTGCCACTTTTCCAGCGTGGGATAAAAACAGAGTTTTCTCTGTTTTTTAAAAACGAAAAATAACCGATCGTACCTTAAAAAAAAAAAACACAAAAGGAAATGGGATGACGATGTTACCGGATGAGAACGCGGTAATATATTGGACGTCCTATGATCTTGAAAAACAGAGTTATATTCATGGTATTGAAAACCGGACCGGACCGGCCGGGTCAACCCGGAAACCGGTGAACCGGTCCCCTGTCCGGTCTGGGTTTGCACTTAACCCGGTGAGGGAGTGAACCGGTGTAACCCGGTCAACCCGGGTTCAACCCGGTATAACCCGGATAACTCGGTGGGTTGACTGGGTTAACCGGGTTAATATTTTTTCAGGCTTTTACCCCAAAACGACGTCGTTTTTGATTTTTTTTTTCATTTTTAATTTTTCAGAGCTCTGAGTTCGGAAAAAAATAACAAAAAAAAGTAAAATTAAAGTCAAAAAATAAAAAATTAGAGATAGAGCATGCTAAGTCCAAAAATATAGTATTTTAGTTAGACTTTTGAGTGGTTTTTGGTTGATAATTAATGTCTTTTTATTTAAATTGTATTATTTTAATCATGACCGGTTTGCCACCGGTTTAACCCCCGGTTCAACCCTGATTGAACCACTAACCCGTGACCCAGTACCATGACCGGTTTAATGACCGGTCCGGTTTTACGTACCTTGGTTATATTACTTCCTAATGGACAAATTAAGATGATGGGGTACGGTTTTGTGACCTTCAGGCTTCAGCCTCCAGGCCTTTCTTTTCTTCTCTTTTTAGTTTTTTTATTTTTTTTTTTCTTTTTCTTTTTCATAAGCATACGCCTATTGTACTGTACATTCACATTTCGTTCACGTGCTGAGCAATTTCTATGAAATGCCACTGCCACTTTCCATGAGCTTTCAGAGCTTAAGCAATGGAGACTCGACATTATCAAAGTACACGTACAGCTACCACCAAGCGTAAATAAATAATTAGTCTCCACAATATCATGATTAACTTTAATATTTATAAAGAAATATACTTTGTTCTTTTCCACATATTTTATTGGCCTAACATATTTAATCTGATTATAAATTTGTACTGAATATGCTTGAATATCAACTATATATACATTTTAAACATCTTATGCAACACTATGAAAAGGGCTCTGTGGCCAATTGCTGACCCTCTTGATCAAATTCCATGGACCAATTGATTAGTCAAGAGTTTTTTCGTATTAAGAAATGGCGGCCACTTCGCCATACTAATTTATCACGTTCCGGATTGACCGATAAATCAGAGGCTTTCTCACGGCTAAGGTACGGATGCTACTAAATAAATTTAAGTTAAATTTAAATTTTTGATTAGACTTATTTAATTCAATAGGATATGCTTATTTTTTATAATGTGTTGCCTATAAATTTAACAAGTCGACTTATTTATATATATATATATATATTATATAATATATTACACACACATCATTTTTAATATTTAATTTTTAATCAATCTATTTTTTATGCTTTATTATCATATTGTAGCTAGTAAATCATTTTAATTATTATACATTAAAATTAATAAATCATGTTATATAAACATAGACTATAAGAGTCTTAAAACATATTTAAAACATTTAAACAGCCTACTTTTAAATGAGCTTATAAACTATGTTAGATTTTAAATAAGATCAGGCCTTAATTATTGAGGAAAAAAATCTCATACATTTTTAAATTAAGTTCAAACATTTAATATGCTACTTAAATTTAAGTTTATTTGACCAAAATTTAATTCAATCTAGCCTATCTTTATTCTCACTGAGGGGTGAAGGTCCACATGGCTCATTATCATCCTCCTCCACCCCTTCCGCCACCTCCTCTTCCGTGCAAGAGATTCTTTTTCCATTGGCCGGGTCAAAGCACATACTTTTCGTTCCAAACAGGAAAAAACAATGCATTTTCTCACTAGACAAAATAATGACAAAATATAAGTTTTAATTTTTTTTTTCAATTATTCTTAAATTTAATCAAAACAACTCAATCCTTCAAACAATTTTTTAACTTGTTACACTTTAGTCGTTATAATTTCTAACTTTGTAAGTCGTGAAAATTGAGTTATACTAAATTAATATTCAAAGACTAAATCAATTATCAAAGAAAAATTTGTGAACTAAAAAGCATATATTATTCAAAAAATAAGGGGCAGGTTAGCATTAGAGTTTATAATTTAAGTCAAATTCGACAGGTCAGCCTGAACTTACTCAAAAAAATAATTTTTTTAATATTCAGGTTAAGCTTGATCAGGTTTGGCCAATACATGAAAAAAAAATCTTTTTTAAAAATACATAACATATAATAAAAATTAATTAAATTTTTAAGTTTTATGTCATTTTATACTAAAATATCACATATTTAATTGTATCACTATAGTTATCTATAAAAAAATTTATATTTTCATATTTTTATTATTTTTAATTAATAAAATATCTCAAAATAATATTTAAAATATATTTTAATATTAATTTTTATATTTCAAGACACAATTTTTTAAAAAAATTTTAAGTCCAATATATCATTCGAATATCCAAAAATATATATTTTATAAAATAAGATAGTTAATTTTAAAGTACAAATTAAATTAAAAATAACTTTAAAAATAAAATTTGAGCATGTACAAATTCTTAATTTTACTATTAAATAAACATAATAAATAAAATAATATTTTTAAATAATTATTTGATTATCACTCACGCCAGATTTGATTAAAAATTAAGAATAAATTAAAATAAATACTCCTTATATATAAAAGTTAAACAATAAATTAAAAAAATAATATTTTACTTATAATAAAATAATTTTATTTATATAATATAATGACGATTATTTTTATCACATTTTTAAAAATAAAAATGCAATTTACCCAATAGTATTTGAACTAATGGGGAGAATAATTTTAAATTAATAATCTAATTACGATTAAACTAAAATCAACTTGATCATAATTAAAATATATAAATATTTATATATCATCATATAAGAACAATATTTAAACAATTAAAATATTAATTTATAAATAAATAAAATATTTATAAATAAATTACACATAATGTAATAAAATAATAACAGTTATTTAAATACAAAATTAACAAATTATTATTTTTTTATTTTATTTTTTTTAAATCAAAATAATATTTTATACTTAACAAATTTATTTAAAAATTAAAATTAATTTAAAAAATAAAAAAAAATATTTTTAAAAAATTTCAACTTGAATTACTAGCACTAACTATAACTATCGTAGATGCTTCCATGGGAAAGCGATATGTATTAGCTTAACTCAATGGAATAACTGGATGCAATCAACCAAAAACCTCCTCTATTTAGCGATTGTTTACCGTAAGGGGCATTTATTATCAACTAAACATTGTCAAAATCGAGTGTCTCAGGATAGCACTGGCGTTAAACACGATCCACATAGCTCCACGCTATGGGTAGGAGGGCGAACAGACACAGTGAGAAACCTGCGAGAGACCCAAAAGTTCTTGGTCCAACGCAACACACTAGCCATACAATTTTACAAGTTTGAGTGGCCCACTAGCACTTGCACACGATGCCATGAAGTGTTTAATATGCCTCTCAAGTTCCAAATTTCTTCAACCTTTTCAGGCTGGACATTTGCAGCCGAATCTACCTGCAAATCAGACAAAGGTATTGATTATCGAAATAAAGCGGTAAGATTTGCAACTGTAATTGAATGTTGATCTTTCCTATCCATTACGGAAAGCAACCATCTTGGAATCGATTGGCAAATTGATTCAAGTAAAGGGATACCTTTAAGAAAAGGTAATGATGATTTTGTGCCTTAGTAGTTACAAAAGGTAAATTGGAATTACGAAGACTATTAATTAGCAGGAAAAAATTAGCGTACCGCTTTTGCAACTATCTCCGTGCTGCGAGGGATATCAACAGCGACCTCAAACAGCACCCACGCCCATTTGTCACTGTTGGCATCATCTGCTATGTATGGAATGCCAGTCTTTTGATACCTGGAGGCTTCTAGCCAAGTTTTGCCTCCATCAACGGATACATCTACTCTCTCAATGCCCCTGCCACCTCCTGACACTGCATACCCACTAACCTTTACCTGCACAACATATACAACATTTGGCATGTCCACATGTACTGCAGGGCAAGTGCAGGAATACATGCATACATACATACATACATACATACATATATTAAATACGTGCATTAAAAAAAAACATGTCCATAGTTCCAAATGTATATTTTACAAAAAAAAAAATATATATTCAATATAAGAAATAAAATGCTCAAGTCTTATTTGGGCATTTCATAGTCGACAGGAACACATGAAATCAGCAACCGCATGAACAAACCTTTCCTGGCTTTCTAGCGCTCACATCTTCAAGAGAACATATGACACACTGCTCACAAGGAATAAAGAATTAGTTACAAATTTTTTCTCAAAAATTGCAGATAGTAAGCATCTACTTAAACGGTGCCTTTTTATTCATTTATTAATCGTTAACACATAAGATGCATTAAAAGAGTAAAAATTTTGTTTTGCACGATAATTTTTCCTTTCTACAATGTGACGAGGTAGGACACAGAGTGCAGATAAATCAGAACACCTGAACTGGAAAATCCATTTGGGGTTTCCTGGTTGACCAATTGATGTTATCCCAATTCACAGATGGTGGAAACATTTTGTAGTCCTTTTGCATAAAGAAGCCCTGCCACATGATAAGGTGAAGTTCTAGGACATTCTCTAGAATTAAATTTTGGTAAATTCAAAATAATATTACAGCATGTAATATCAGACCTGGCATTCTTCAGCAATGATATTGATAGAATCCAGCCACTTAACAGACCGAGCTCCAATAACACCAGGAACAACCACACGTAATGGATACCCATGATCCCTGCCAAGAGGCTTAAGAAGGACAACAGGAACCCGAAAGAAGCGTGAGCTGATTATTCCTATGGAAGATGACACAACATACTTATCTAAAAGTTCATGACTTCATTCAATCCCAAGGATCAGATTTTCTTACTGATCATTTATCATTTTACTCATATGCAATGTACTATATAAGGATACGTTATGAATAATCTGATTCCAAACTAAAGAAAAATAGATATCTACTCTGAATTTTAAAAAAGTAAAAGAAACCACCAGAAGATAAATGATTGTGTAACGATAGTGTTTCCAATAAGCATGCACGATATTTGTTCTGCACATTTTGGCGACTTAAAACACTCGTAGTCATAGTTCCACATGTGAAAAAACGAGAAGAAGCATATTGTACCTTTTAATATTGCTAACCAGACAAACCAAAACTGAGATTTTAAGGAACCATAGAAGCTCAAGTGTTATCAGTGAATAGAAAACAACTTGAAGCCAATTTCACTTACTTCTCCGTTCATTTCATAAGCAAGAAGAACATCTGCTTCAGGATTAGTGGCCTGACTGAGTGGGATTGATGCCTTGTAGGGTCCTCCATTTTCCTCCTATAGTATTTTTTATAATATTTACAGGAATAACAAAACACGTAAATGACCAGAAAGAATGCACGATCTCTGGAATAAATTTACAAGCCGCAGGAATTACCTTACACTTATCAACACTCACAAATTCAACATGTCTTCCACCTAACTGGGTAATGCTTGTCAACTTTGGGATTCCAACAAGTTCAAGAACATCAGCCAATTTGGCACCACCCCAGGCAGCTGAAAGAAAATAATAATATTAAAGAATTATAAAAACTTCAGACACATAAGATGGAACACTTCACAAACACCACTTAATCAAAGGAAACAAAACCAGACATATCAAGATGAAAAAAGTGTGCATGCATGCTTCTGCATTTAGGATCTGTTCTTCACAAACAACAAAAGTACCAGGCATGCCAAAGAAGTTGAGTTTCAAAAAATAACAACGGATTCCCGGGTTCTCTTACTACAGTTTACCCGGATGTAAAAATGCAAAAAGATTGGAATAAACGAGCGTTTAATTAATAATAAATGTGCAAAATACAGAATTGCAAAAATTATGAAAACTGGGAATAAAAAAACTATCTGACAATACAAAGGAAATTTAGACACTAAGTGTTAATAAGTGTTGTTGATTGATTGTCCATCCTGTTTTTTGCAACCTGCTACTCTTTTTACAATTATTCAGTTGAGATCGTTACCCCCACAAAATCTAGGGTTTGTTTATGAGATATCAGGGATCACAAAACATGGCCTGCAAGATTCATGGCACATTACACCATATTCATATTCATTCAACAGCCTCGTACGTCTAGTCATCCTGAGTCTTAAGGGCTACATTAGGCTCGTCCGTGGCATGCTCTTCTTTCCTGTCAATAGACCAAGTTATGTTTGTTGGGCCAGTCATGTTTTTAACCTCAGTTCCTCTCCTTGGGCTGTCGTTTCAACTTTAGGCCCAAACAAGATCAAATAATAGAAGTTTCAATTAGCAATGTTATCTCACATTAAGGAATAACTGCACCAAGAATCCCTCTAAAAGTTCACTCACTAGAAGAGGCATATGCCATTGGCATTTCACAGGATAAAAAAAGAAGAAGATAAAAGTGCACATGTAGCCAGAAATCAGAGGCTTGCTTATGAATAGGATGCAGAAATAATACTTCATGGGCATCATCTCTTTATTATACCTTAAGGTAATCATACTTGCAGGTGTCGGATGTTAAAATAATTGAATAATATCAATTGTACAGAAGGAACTAACCATTTCCAATAGCAGAAACGTCCCAGCCAACTCCCTTAACGGTTTTGGTCTTGCTCATAGCAGTCCTTCTATTACCTGCACACTGGACAGCATAGAAAGAAAATCAATGCGTTGGCAAGATGTTCCCAACAGCAAAGAGGCCATTATGTGATCTTCCACTATAAGTTTAGCAAAGGTATACCTATGAATAATGCAGCATGGGATTTTAACCAGCCTACCTGTAATGTGGCAGTGACATTATACTTTGGAAGCATCCTATCATCAAATAACAAGGTCAGTTCTTAGTTTGACCCATATTCAATTGGAGATTAATTTAGCAAATAAATTGGACCTACATTATTTCCAAGGTATAGGGACAATTATTACATTATTTGATTGAAATGAATCAAAATTTTAGATTTTGGATCGGCACTAACCTGATATCTTTCATGAAAAGCTGTTTTGAATTCTCTGTTAAACCAGATATGAAATGCAGTATCTGCTCCGCCAGATAAGTCATAATATTAAGTATAATTCCAGTATAGTGGACAGCCTTGAGAAATAAAGAGGAAGAACAATCAGGAAGGATCAGACCTTTCTATGTCATCAACAATTGGTATTGGACCATGATTTCTCTTGTAAAAGAAATCTGAAGGAGTCAAATATGAGGAAATCAAGGCAGAACGTGGTGGCTCAGCATTAAATGGTTCCTAGAGAAACAGCAAATTGAATTTGAGAACAAGATAATAGAAAATATATAAGCAAAACTTATGTAAGTTGCCAATCAAGTCAAACGGGAAAATATTTAGCTCAAGACAGAATTCTTCATCAAGTGTGGTTCCATATAAGCTTCAGGTTAATTCCAATGAAATATTCTATCAACTGCTCAGTTCATGGTTGTAGAAATCGTGGACTACTGAAACTGAACTGAAGATGCATTCCATAGAGTTAAATAGCGATCAATTTATTCTACAGTTCGTTGTATTGTCATTGTTTTTCTCCCCGATTTTCTCCTTCTTTTGTGAAAAAATGACCCTTAAGTACTCGTAACTCATGATATTAATAACTATGGGCTTTTATAATCAAAATCTCTTCTGAGAATTATGAATATTAATAGTTCTTACTAAAGTTCCAACCCATAGGACAAACAGTATTCACTAATTTTACCAGAATATCCCTTTCAACATTTAAAAAAAAAAAACTAAATCGTATATTAAAAGAACCATGAGTGATAAATTTAGGAGGCCAGACGTTAACTTATTTATAAATTTTTTTTAGAGAAATTTTTATTCTGAGATCCTTAAATGTCATTTTCACCTTAATATTTACACATCTCACATGAGTCAATGTTTAGGTTGTTTATGGATCACATACCCAATCCACGAATGAACCATGGGAAAGAAGAACTGAACCAAACAGAAAACCAAAGGGTCGGTTGAGTAGGTTCTGAGGGCTTAACAGAATTAAAGAATTGTTCGGCAAAAATAAAGTCGGTTAGCTTGAATTCATTTTCTCCCTGAATGAAGAAACACGGAAACTACGTCAATATTTTACAGTTTCATCATATGCCGGAAATTCTCCATAAATAATAGGTGATTTTGATTAGATCATCAGGTAAAAATAACGTAATAATAAAATTTACAGAGTTCGGGAACCAAGACAGATTAAAAAGTGGTGATGGAAAAAACAAGGAAAATTAAAAAGATTGCCTTAGCGTTGATCAGAAGCGAAGGGTGACGAGGAGGTTCAAGAGAATAATCTGACGGTGCAGCAATCCCGGCATTCTGAGAGGTCCTTTCTTCTAACCGTGTCTTTGGTAGTAACGAAGGCCACTGTAGACAAGGCTACTGCTGAACTTGTGCGTTCAGGAGAAGATGGAAGTGCCGGAGTTGTATTTAACGCCATGAATGCTCTCAAGGTTTCTGCGGCGGTGGGGGCCACTCACCTTCGATGGTGATTAAATGCTCCGATTGGAATCAAAATCCTGGGAATGTGACACGTGGAGAATTTTTATTCGATGAAGCCTTATTCCTGCTGACGTGTGATTCCTCGCAACTGTTATCGATTCAAAATTTGGATAAAATAAAATAAAAATGAATTTTTGAAGGTGGAAGTGCATATTTATTTTAGAAGTTTTTTTTTTTGGTAAATGTTTTAAAAGTATTTATGAAAGAACTATGGTATTTAGAAAACTAATACAGACTTTTTTAAAAAGATATTGATTGATTGTACATCAACTTAATTTTAATTGTTCCGCTTCCTTGATTTCTTTTGTCGTTTTCGTCTCAAACTTGAGACTCACTGCATTTAACCTGCGAAACCATGGGCTTCACCCATCGCAAACGATAGGCGTAGTTGTTTTATTATGCGCTATAGTTTAAGACAACAGGCGTGAGAGGAGAAATGACAAGAAGACAAAATATACCAGGTCATTGATCGGGGTATTTGATTTTCTTTCTTTTTATTTTTAAATATTAGTTTGTAAATCATTTTTTAATTACTTTCAGAATAAAAAAAATCAACTTGCTTATGTTAATTTAAAAACAACTTGGTTGGTAAAAAGAATTAAAAACAGCTTAGAGAAATGTGCTAATATTCAATGCACAGTTGTGTCACAAACAGTGTTTCTAGTAAAAAAAAAATGTTTGCAATCAATAAAAAACAGCCTCATAGTAAAAAAAAAATTAAAAAAAATGGTCGATGATGGGAGTGAAAAATGGTTAGTAGTGATAGTTGTGCTTATATTGAACGCACAGTTGTGCCACAAACAGTGCTTATAGTAAAAAAAAATGTTTTCAATCAATAAAAGCCAACCTTATAGTTAAAAAAAAAAAAGGTTAATAATGGGAGTCAAAAGTGGTTAGTAGTGATAGTGTCTGACAACGATTGTGTCAATGGTTGCCAATTAAGATGAAAATAGCCAATAGTAGCAGCTAACATTGGTTGAAGGTAGTGATTAGCCGATTAGGGATATTAACAATGGTGGCTATTGGTGATGATTTCTAGCAATAACAACCAATGCTCACGGTCAATGATAACTGTTGGCAATGATCAATGGTGATTGACAGAGCTGGCTAACAATATTTAATTGGTGATAACTTGTATTAATTAGCTAGTAGCGATTGGTGATGGTAGCAACTGATAGTGAATGATGATAGCTAGTAAAAATTAGTGATGATATTGATAGGTAACAATGTGCAATGATAATAAAAATAGGTAGTGATGATAATAAAGATAAAAATAGCTTCTAATAATTAAATGTAGTATGTTTAAAAAAACAGAGAGAAAATGAAAAAAAAATCAAAATGTTTCCATTATTTTATAGTTATGATTAGTATTTATTTTTTCACTATGAAAAGACATTTATTGTGAATTTGTGATCAGAACAATGTATTGGGAAAAAACATTATAATAATAGTTGAAATGGCATGCTAAAAGGTTTCATTATTGGACATTTTATTAACTCATGTTAATATTTATTTAGCAGGATGAAAGTAAACATTATAAACTCTGAAATATTCTACACCGAATACTTAATCTTTCGAGAGTTAAAAAATGACATAGCTAGACTTGGGATGATGGGCTGCGCGTCAATGAATGGAACATGTGAAGGTTTTGGCTCCTCATGAAGTGGGAACAATGTTTTTGAAATGTGTGCAGTTGTTGGTTCCTCATCGAGCCATAATGGGATGGTTGGAGGTTCTGGATCTTCATCGAGCGGGGACGGAGCTCCACTCATATGTCTGGGCTCTAAAACATATGGAAGTCTTGGTCCCTCACTAGAAGGCAACAAGAAGATTGGAGGTTTTAGCTCTTCACCAAGCGAGAATGAGGCTTCACCATTTATGTGCAAGGAATTTAAAATATGTGAAGGCTTTGGTTCCTCACTAAGGGGAGACAAGGCGGTTTGAGGTTTTGGTTTTGCAGCAAGCAGGGATGAGGCTTCACTAGTTATGGCGGAAGCACCGCTCAAACAAACGAGAGCTAACAAGACAAGATGGAAAGCCATGGTTGATGAAGAAGCACCAGCCAGTATTTGACTTGCTGTTTCAATGTATTATGTTCTGCAAGAGCCATGAGACTGTGTATTTACAGGAATATGCTATACCATACCTTGATGCCACAAATCAGAAACGGTCAAAAACAATTCACATGTCTTGAGCTTTCATTCCTTGCAACTGACAAATAAGTTGCAGGATGAGTTTCCCGAACTTGCAAGGTGACATCTTGTGGAATAAGTGACAGAATGCAGGCAAGAACACCTTGTAGAATGTTCCTTGTCAGAGTTGCAGGAGTTTCATGGACTTGCAAGGCCAATAAATGTGAATAGTTCAAGCTTTTGCAACAGACTTGACGCCATTCACGTTTTAAGTGCCTGAGTCATGCATTCACATTAATAGATACCTTTCACTTATTCAGTTAAATCTAATATATCAATTCTTATATGATCTAATAAGATAGAATTAAAAAACGTATATACTTGAAAAATTCATTGATCGTTTAGGAAAGCTTGATTATCTCAAGTGTAGACAGACACACAACCCACTGATCCCCAAAGTTTTCAGAGAATGCAGAAATAATGGAGTAGAAGAAAATGTATCGTGTATCTAATAATTATCAACTAATCCACTTATAAAGATCAGATTAATAACTGTTTTATTAAATAGTTAAACAATTAGTTTTTATTATCTCTAACTCAGTCAGTTAAGAGATAGAAAGTAATTGACGACTATTGGATTGTGGGTTGGGCCTCTACCTATTAAACTCACTTGTGTGGTCCACCCATCACGATCCACACAAAATTATAAGGACTAATTTACTTAGACTTATTAATTAATGTAAATCTATATAAATATTCTAACATAATCCAACTGAAATAAAGTTAAAATAACAGAGTAATTTTTATGTATCAAATAATGAATCAGCGATACTGTTAAATAGAAAAAGATATTGACAGATTACATAAAAAATAATCCTTTTCCCGAGTCACATTCTTCTTTGGGCATTTTAAGAACTTACTCCCTCCAATTCTATCTATAACATATTTTATAGAAGTAAATTTTTATTTAAAATATAAAATATTTTATAATAATTAAATTACTTTTTTAATTGTATCATTTGTTGATTAACGTGATAAAAAGCACATCTTAATTTTTTATAATATAAATTTAAAAAATATATGTAAAATGATTGAAAGTGATGGGAGGGAGTTAGTCACAATAATAAGATGGTGAAATTGATGAAAAGTTTTTTTTTCTTTATATTTTCAATTTTTTTTGAAGCTGACCTTTTAATTTGCATTTGTCCTTTCATTTTCAATTTTCCTTTACTCTTCCACACGCCAGACTTGGTACTTTGGTTCTAAAAAAATATATATTAACATTTCAATTTAGTTTTGATCCTGTGAGGATTAAGGTAAAAATAATTTTAATAATAAAAAATTAAAATATCTTTTACTTATTACTTTTGTTTGAGATATAAGTATTAGTTATTAATTTTTTAATTTTACTTATTAATTTACTAATATGAGTTATAAATTACAACTGATATTATTGCTTGAACAACTAATGTCAAATCTTGTATAATTATTGATAGATCAATTCATATAATTTACAGCTTATATTGATAAATTAATAAGTGAAGTAAGAAAATTAATAACAAATTATTTTACATTTTAGATAAAATTAAAAAGTGAAGGATATTTTAAATTTTTCACTGATAAAATTATTTTCATTTTAATTTTCCTGATCTACACTAAAGTTTTAATTTTTTTGAGACATATTAGTAATTAAATCACTTGCAGTTCTCCCTTTTGTCCTTCTACAAGTTACCTAAAGATATTAAATTTTTTTCATGATAGATTTCTCACAAACCTCGATTCTCTCTCTCCTATTTCGTGACATTATTGCTTGTCACGTTATTGATTTGCATGACAGTTATATCATCGTTCTGTTAGCCATGTCAATATAATTTAATAGCGTTAATTTTACATATAAAATTAAGTATACTATTTAGATAAATTTATGAAATATTAAAGATTAAAATAACAAAAATTAAACTTAAATGACTTAGTCAATAATTCTCCCAAGCATGAGGGATTAAAAATTACAATGTCCCTATGATAAAAGAAATTACATTACATTGTCCCTATGACAATATGACTTATCATATTTTTTCGCAAGAGTATTGATCACATTAATTTTTAGTTTTATCACCCCTCCTTTCAATAGCGTCAGCATTGCATATGCACGATGCTGAATTTTTAAAGTTAAAAGTTGTAGTATTTATAAATTATGATATCTATGATTCATTAATATTTTAAACCTTTCATGCAATGAAAGAATGTGTACTATACGTACATATATGTTGGCATCGGTTCTATAATTTTTTTCTTTTTACCTTTTTCTCAATAGTATCGATATTATGTATTCCGTTTAAAAATTAAAAGATATTTTTTGATAGGTTGAGGTTTTTAAAATGTAAATTATTTTAATATATAATCAATTTTTTAAAATATTCTTAATGAATAAATCACTCTACATTTATTTTAGAATGAAAGGCCTATTAAATAGGGATGTATATGAAAAAATTGTGTTAGTTTAAAAATAAATAATTATTTTATTAAGAATAAAATTTAATTAAAAATATTTTATATTTTTTTAATCTTCAGAGTATATACAGTTAGCAAAAAACAAAAATGTGCACACAATATTACTCAAACTTTACGCAGGCTCGAAAGATGTGAATAACTTACAACACAGGCACATAGTATAATGTCGATAATATTGTGGATGATGCTCTGTCACGAGCATGAGAGCCTCTCATTTTCTCCTACTCTCATTTTTTCTTTTCATCATTCTTGAATTAAAATTCTCAATGACTCTCTCTGATTTAATATCAGTTTAAATAAAAAAAATTGGGAAACATCCTTTTACCAATAACGATAATTTCGTGAAAATGTAATGCTTTACATGAAAGTTCCTTCACCCATAGTGAGCTGGGTTCCTGCCTAAACGAACTGTCGTTTACGATGTGGAGCCTCGAAGCAAGGGCTGCTCAGATAAATATAAATATCTATCGATAAACTATTTAATAACAATTGTAAACTTTTTCATGTTGTTTTAATTAAAAAAATTTATTAATTCTTAATGGAAAATATTTTTTAAAAATTTATCCTTTTGAAAAATATAAAATACCTTATGTATTTTTTAACGCGATACTATTTTTTTTCAAAAAAAAAAAAACCTTGTAATTGTTAACAGTATAGCGGCAATCTGGTCAAAAAAACAGTATAGCGGCAAAAATAAAAAAAGAAAAAAAGAAAAATGACAAATATAGGTTAGGCCTAGGCCATAGGCGGTGGAGGCTAAGGCGTTGTCACTCCGGTCCGGACGAACTCCTTTTCGCTCGGCGGTCGCGGCTAGTTTTCTTCCCCTCGTGAGAAATCTTCACATCCAAATATTGCAGAAATCAATCTCTAATTGCCTGATTTTTCGGAAGCATGTGAGCTCCCCGCAATCTGATCTATATTTCCCCCCGTAATTTCTAGAAAAATTAACGAACTCTGAAAGAGTGTTCTTATAACTACTAATGTGTCTCATCCTTGATTGAGACGCTTTTGGGATCTTAGTTCTTGTTCTTGTTATAAGTTTAGCGATAGCCAGTAATTAAGCTTTCTTCATTGTTTTGTGACCTAAAAGGAAGCCGAAAACATCGGTGAATCGACCTCCCACACCAGATGTGCTAGAAAATCCTCCGGAAAGGGAGCCCACGCTTCAAGAGCTCATAAATATCAAGGTTTGATCTTTATTTTCGTTCCTCAAGTTAGGTTAGAAGTCAATCTTTTGTATGCTTTCAGTTAGTCTCTTGAAAAGAAAGTCGTTTGCTGTTCTTTATCGTTACTTCATGATTCGTTTATTGTCAGCTCAGTTGGTCGAGACTGGAGAGAAAGAACGGCTGATGGAACTTTTGAGGGAAAGACTTGTAGAATGTGGCTGGAAGGATGACATGAAAGCTCTTTGCAGGTACTCTATCGCTCTAATTTGTCTCAAGAGAGAATCTTGGAATATATGAAAGTCTGTATAAGGTTGCTTTGCTCATGTTACCTGTAGTTTTGGCTGACGTTATATATGGCAGCATTCCGCTTATCGGGCTCTTCTTTGTAGAACTGAAATTCAGTAAAAGAACGTAATTTTTGAACCAGAAGTTTTATTTGAGAACAAGCAAACTCACTACTCCATGCTTTTTGAGTAATTATTGCCCTATCCATCCCTTATGGCTCTTTTGGAAGTCCTAAAATTTTATAGAAGCAGAGTATTGTATTTCATTCTCTAACATGCCCTTACTCACAAGGGGAATATGAGCAAACGGAAGATGGATATTTATAGTTAAACATCCATCTTCATTTTAATGTTAAGAAGGATCACTTATTATTAGACATGGAAGGATTTTGTAGGCTTCTAGGAATGCCGTTTTTTGGGTTAATGTATCTATGACCAATGCCAACATCTAGTTACCATATCAATATCTTTAGCGCTATAATTTTTTTTTTTTGCACTGCCTTAAACGTTTAAAACACTTCCGTGGTAATTGTTATTGGCTCAGTGCAATGTATTATGTGCCTTCAGCTCTTGGGTGATATCTGGCTCTTGATTTTTGTTTTTCTGGTATAGATGCAAAATTGCTTCTATTGAAGCTTTGTTGTATCACACATGACATAAGTGGATAGTCCCATAAAGCACTCCCCCCTCCATATCTTTCTTTGCACTTCGGTTCTGTCCTGGCTTGTAAGGATTTTAGACGATTGTATGAATTCTTTCCTCCTGTATCCAGCTGTTACAAATTGATCCCGCATGCTTGTGTGTGTTCCTCGTTTATGTGGCTTCTCAGTGTTGGGATTAATCTTTGCTTGCTTTTTAACGCAGGGCTTTTGTTAAGAAGAAAGGGAGGAATAATGTTACTGTCGATGAGCTGGTTCATGTTATCACTCCAAAGGGCAGAGGTATTAAATTAATTGCTTCTCGAATAGATACATTTATTTTCTGTCATAGATTACTTCTAACTTGCTTAAACACCTCATGGCAAATATCTCCCAACATTTTGTCAATGTTGCTAGAAATTTTGGTCATGTCATTGAAGAGCATACAGTCAATTCCTGTTGGGAGGGTGCCAGGAATGGCGATGCCCATGTTTCATCATTGATATATTATTCTGAGTACTGACAAGGCAAAACCTCTCATTTCTCACTTGCAGCATCGATTCCTGATTCCATAAAGGCTGAGCTATTGCAAAGAATTCGCACATTTCTTATGTCTGCGGAGTCTCTGAGGCGGCTCGATTAGTGTCTTGGGGGATGATTAGTGAAGTTTACCAGTGCAACCCAGAAGACCTGACAACCATTGCATGTTACTGGCTTCTATATAAAATGTGGGTAAAAAAACTTTTATGTTCTCATTTTGTTGTGGATTCTAGAAATCATATTTCATGCAATACTATTTACGCCACTTGTCTCGTTTCATCATTCGGACGACGTGTGGGTCCAAGTCTTGCTACTAATTCTTGTTGGGAAAAAAAAGTGTGTATATCAGATAAGTATACGAGTTATATGCACTATGTTTTACGATGTGTCTAGTATGTGTGTCATTTTTTTTCCTCCAAGATGTTCCAAAACGCCTCAAGAAGGCAATACGAAACCTATGCATTATAAAGTGCCCGAGACTGAACGCGCGCGCGCGCCGCTCTCACACAGAGAGAGAGAGACACACACACACACGCAGAGAGAGAGAGAGAGAGGATGTGTATCATCATATTAAATAAGAAAATCTTATCTGAGGACAACTCAATGAAATTATTTATAAATAAGGACAAAAATAAAATAAATTGTTAAAATGAAAATGTGATTTATTGATAGTTTTTGTAAATAATTTCTTTAGTGGTTTTTAAATACAATTCTTCCTATTAAATATTGGTAATTGGTGGGTTAGTTTGAAGGTCAACCCTTTATTTTGGGCGAATACAGTATGAGATTGGAAGGAATAGGGTGACTAGCTAGTGAAACTCTTAAGAAGTTGGCAGTGATCAAGACGCCACGTCCAAGACAATCCGGACAAGATATAATGGAAGTTTACTGCTAATGAAGGGTCCAGGGTCAAAGACGATTAATAAAGTATAGCTCAGGGGTTAATGGAAGGCAAGTGGGGAAAGGAGACTTGCAAGTGTGGTCTACCAACTATGCGCACCATTCCAGTTCCAGGCGAATCGTGGGAAAGCAGAAAGCGAGAGACTGTTTAGCTACAACAATTTGACTTGTGATAGAGAAGCTGGAAAAAATGAAGATGCCATTCGAGTAAAACGAATGAATTAATTTTTAATAAGGTGATATCAGGAGAGCTTAGGATTAGATTCGTGAATATTAGAGGAGAAATAGACGCGATACATTACCAATCATTCATAGTCTTCGCGCCAAGCAGGCTTAGTTAGAAGCTTATCATAGCTAGTCTTTATTTATTCGCTTCACCCGCTATTCACATGGTTCTTGAAATTATTCTTATTGATGTCTGAGCTCATCAAAGCTAGTCTCTATTTACTTTCATTTCATTTACTAAGCGGAAAACAGCTATCTTTGATTTTTCCAATGCTGTCATGTTCTCCATTGTGGCTGCAACCAGTTGATCAACACCATTAACCAGTGGCATCCCCTTCACTGCACCAGGAGCGAGTGCACTTATGTGCCATCCTTCGCGCGCCACAGAGACAGTTCCTATACGCTGACACAATCAACTCCTAATTTGCAACTGCATTTACAAAACGAAGCCATAAAAGTTCGCATCGCGGCCTAAAATGAGTGACCATTTTGATTTAGATGACCCGATAGAAATCGAGCAGAAAAGTAGTTCTACAAACTCGATAGTGTAGTTATACTTGTACATAAAGTACTTTTTCTTCCAACTGAACAAGAATACACAAATTTTCACCCACAAATATGGCTGTCATTCTCTAGACGCCACAGCGACTCTGCAACAAAATATTACAACGGTGGTATCAAATGTCATACATCAGCTACCAAGCGTCTTCCAAGCGACACCACAGAGCATTTATTCAGCAGCGTCGCATCACTTCATCCGAAATCCCCAAAAGATGAGATTTCCAAACATCCTAGTTTCCAAGCTTACGCTTCACGGAAAACTTGCCAAACGCACACAGCTAGCACACCAAAACCTACCTAGTATATTGCATGTTCCGACGGGTGCTTATGCTGTTGAGCCTGCTTGTTCGCATAGGTCTAACAGATTCAGGGTCTGCAATGCAAATCACCACCATAGAAAACCTCAGTCCCATTTGCTTTCTCTTTTGCTCAATTTTTCACAAACCAGTTTTGCTTGAAATGAAATATTCTCTCTTTACCTCAGGAACTGACAGCTCAAGACGAAATTTTGGACCATCGTAGTGATGTAAGACTGGCCTGAATGCATCTTCTTCCAGCGCATTGCAAAGTTTCCGAACACGGATCCTCACCTACATATAAAGATGAATAGAATCCTCCTCATTTCTTTTAATATCTTAGATACAAATTAAAATACGAACCCTTCCCAAGATTCTACCTGAGCTGGAAACCTTGACTCGCCTTTGCATTTTTTGTCCTCCCACGCAGTTGGATCTATGTTAGAGCCCCCAAAACTTGCAGCCTGCACCAACAGATACTTAAAAGTAAGGAACTCAACTAATCTCTTTTTTATATTCTTCTATCAACCTGAAACTTTTAGCCAATATCCTGTACAGAAAAAATTGAATAGAACCCACCTCAAAGACGCCATGCAACTGATGAGTAGTGTAGTTATAAAGGAAAAGAGGTAGCCCTGGTGTTATTGCCCTAACAGAATCCCGATATCTTGGTGGCAAACCTACAAATAGATTGAAACAGTTAGCCCACAAGATAATTTGGCTAATTATATTAACAGCAGAAACATGAATAAACCATAAATAATCTGCTTATGCTCTTATACATTGTCCATGCCAGATTGGGGTGGTCAAAAGCAATCTTAACACACGGACAACTTCAAATCCAAACTAGGATAAAAATGTCCATGCAATGTGTAACCCTCCTAGTGCAATATGGTCAAACTAAAGGTGTCAAAACCTTCGAAACAATTTTCACATAGATACCTTTTAACTTAGGAAAATCAAACCAGCAAAGTATGAATGAAATTTACCAAATAGCTGACGCTTCAAGTCTTCTTGCATCGTGTCATTGTTACAGACAAAGATGTATCCACCAAGCACCTCATTTCGTGGGAGTGTCTCTGATGCAGGCAAGGTCTTGAACCTTTTGTCAGTCGCATTTGTGCTGGTGTTCTCATTGTTGTTATTGTTGTTTCCATTATTGTTGGACTCTTTGTTGTTCTGAAGATGGTTGTTAAACTTGTTGCCGTTAATGTTCACCACTAAGCCTGCATTGCTTTTTGGGTACACTGCATTCATATTATAAACTCCACTTCTGAGGGAACTTTTTCCCACATTTTCAGTAAACTTAGATTCCAGGTTCAGCATGCTGAAGTTCAGAGAGTCAAATTTATTATCTTCTTGGATCCCAAACTTATCCCTTGACCTAGTTTCTATTGGGCCTTTCGAAAGGTCAAGGTTATTAACACGCTCTCCCTTTGACCTAGTTTGTTCAGCCAATTTAGAAGCAACCATCAACCACTTATGGTCCTCTGATGTTTTTGAGTGTCCCCGAAGCTCATCCCCCAATTGCCAGAAGCTGTGCATGCTGTCCATCTTTTGAAACCAAGGTAGAATTTAAAGGCCGCCTGCACTTGTTAGATTAAACCAGAAAAAAGTGTAGCAACGCGTAAGACAAGACAAGTGTTGTGGCGGTGCAATGCACCAGCGCACCAGAATATCAAGCTATTACACCCAACAAAAATCAAGTCCAAATTCAAAAGTCATGCTTCAACAATGTTCATACACAGCGGTCAAGAAAAAAACAACGCTCATGTGCACCCTAATTTTTTGAAACTACACACACACGGTTCAAATTTCAATTGGTAAACTACTTTAAACAACTAAGTAAGGAAAAATCCGAGCTAATGTCTTCAATGTTTATATTCAAAGACAATAAAATCAATATTATTAAGAATTAAAAGCCCCAAATTTAAGAAGATGATTTTATTTTTTTTGGTGCCCTTGGTTCCTTCAGAGGAATTTCAAAATTTAACGTCTCTCAATATAAAATATTTTCAACTTAAAGTGACAGGATTAAATATTTTTCCTAGAAAGAGGGTCCGGTTATACCATCATGCAAATTGTACAACACTCAATACAATCAGGTAACCATAATTACCGAAGGACTAAAAGAAGCACTAAACACTTTAACGGGACGGAGGTCAGATCCTAAAAACCACTCGAAAATATATAAACGAAAGAACTTCTTTCTTCAGATTAGAACCCACTTTCCTTATCCAATTACCCCAAGACCAAGTGAACAATAGAACCAAATTAATTTTTTTAAAGCTCCATGTCTGGCTACAAATTAGAAATATAGACTTCATAATATCAATCAACTAAGACAAGAATTACCCCTACAAAAAAAAACTACCTGAAAGATCATAGGCAATCATGCCCAAATATAAGAAGTGAAGGTCTATAAAGGCAAGGCGAAATCAGCATAGTGAACCGAACAAATATCCGGATGTAAGCGAAGAGAAGCTAATGGCAACAAATTTGAGCAAGAGACTTAAGCAACTGATTTGAACAGAATCATAGAACGGTATAAACAATGAGGAAACCCTAGATTTGGAGATCTAGATGAAGAAAGTACCTTTTTGCCGACTTGACTGTGAAACCCAGAAGACGCTAGAGAGCCCTGTTTGAGAGCAGGTGGCTGGATTTTATTGCCAGTGAAGTATCGTGTTCCGAAAAGGCCCACGAAGTTTTCTGTGAATTACAAAATTTGCCACTCCGAATTCACATATGCTGTGATTTTGAATTTCTTTACATTTGAGAAGCTTTGGTTAGGTTGGTGGCAGTGACGTGGCTGCATTTAACGTGATCCATCCTGCCATCCAGCGCCCAACGGGCTCCACGGTCCACACCGACGCCAAAATCAATGTAAATTAATTTCGAGTGTCCACTTTCTACCAAAAACAAAATCGGGTGTTCACTTTTTGGAAGTCGGGGGAGAACAACGCATTTTTTAAAAAATATAAAAAATGTGATTCATTTTATTTTTTTAATTCATTTGATAACAAATAGTGGCGATGACAGTTTTTAAAATTTTAAATTAATGATAATTAAAATTTTAATAATTTTTTAAAAAATTAGTTGAAAATATCAATTGAAGTAATTATATATTCAGAAATTTTAATTACAAATAGATATTTAAATATCAAATGTAATTCTTAAATTGTAACAAAAAATTTTATTTATAGTTTTTTAAATTGATATTTATAATTTATTTTGCAAAAAAATTATCCAGAAATTACCTATCATTAATTAAGTATTTTCGAATCTAACTGTATTCTTCCTAAAAAATAAGGGCCACATGTACTATTAGTAGCCGTAGTGTTATCTAATTTTACAGAAGGGATATCATGTCTTGATTTTATGTGAAGAGGGCATTTTTAGGGGGGGAAATAGCAAATTAAAACTGCATTGAAAGTTGTACAGAATGAGTTACACATGGTATTATAAAATATTGTGACCTTTATAACAGATTGAAAATATTTTTTTTTACTGGTTATGTCATCCTATTAAAGGTAATCAATTCTCAACACCTAATCAACCACGATTATATGAGTGTGTTGGATTAGAATACTGTTCGAATACAACTAAAAATAATTGAGGATAACTCTCTTCCAAATACATTTTTTGTATTCTTACAAAATTGAACTCAACACTTAATTGATCAGGACTCATTTTACCCAAACCAACACTTGTTGGTTGTAGTTAATCGATAAAATAGAAGATGAACCAACACGTGATGATCCTAGTTAAATGTTACCGTCGCTTATGTGTGAAATTTTAAACTTGAGTTCATATAAATACAAAAATCAATTTTAGAATAACTACCTCTAACTGAGTTAAGTAATACTTAGATGAAAACTAATTAAATAACTATATTTAAAAAGAAGAAGAAGAAGAAGAAGAATAACTCATGACTCATCGTCCTCGGCGTTACGGGTTTATTATCCTCATCGAGACAGCTTAGTACACCTAGTCCAACAGCACGGGATCGCCAATGCTATTATCATGGTTATGATTATTTTCATTATTGTAATTGAAATCATTATCATTATCATTATTATTATTATTATTATTGGTGTGTTTGCCCAGGTTGTGGTGCGATACTGCAAATCTTCAATTGACATTTGCTGTCCTCAAATTACGTGTGAATATATATATATATTAGTAATTAATATACGCACATTCTCCCCACGTATACGCTCCCGTATACGTCGCTGCAATGCCAATGCTCCATGATGTGCCGACAATATGCTGGAAAGACGTGATGTGAAGGGCAGTTGAGAGATACGCATTCGGTGATATTAAGAAAGGCTTGCACTAGGCATTTCGGTTTCAGGTTTCAAATCGTCATAAATACAATAATGTTACTGACAACAACAACAACAATAACCGTTGGCCAACTAATAATAATAACAGCAACAAGAATATAATAATGTTCTTCTCTCTTTGGTTTAATAAGATTGAAGGAAAATTTTGTCCTGAACTTAGCTGAGGTGGACTCTCGGAATTATTGTGGGAAAATCGATAGGCTCCTTTATAAAGATACTACCAATACCAATTAATTTTTGCGTATGACATTGAATCCAATTAATGAGGGTCAAATTAATATGAATGTAATCTTCTAAAATCTTCAATACCATCCCAGCCCCAGACGCAACGTTTTGGGCCTTAGGCTCTTCTTTGCGTTAGTATTCCGGGCCGTTCTATTTTTTGAGCTTTTGTTGTTTGGGTTTAGACTGCTGTCTTTGTAATGTTTTTAAAAATCATATTAAACAGTTTATTTCTGGGCCACACACGAAACTGACCTGTGGAGAAGGTAAATGTTAGCGGATCAAGGCCCAGAGTGTGTCTCGGAAGAATGAAAACGGGCTTCGGAAGCCTTTAAAACTGAACTCCGGAGTAGCAACCTATAAACTTCCCATCAACCCTTCTCCTTCATTTGATCATCCCCAAAACCCAAAATCCTAGAAGTATACTCTGTCAAACGATGGATTTTGATCAACTCTTACTCTTTGAGCATGCCCGCAAGACTGCTGAAGACAACTACGCGGGAAATCCTCAAGATGTTGACGTCAGTGCTCTTTGTTTATACCCTTTTCTATTCTCAATATATTAATTTTGTTCCATGGATGAAGTAGATTAGTGCACTATCATTGTTTATTGCGTGGACAATGGCATCGATGAGTTCGTTTTGGCTTATAGCAACTTATTTCCTAATCCATGTAGAACTTGACAAGATGGGGCAGCGCCTTGCTAGAGTTGTCTCAGTTTCAGAGTAATTCCGATGCGATGAAGATGGTCGAAGGTGCTAATTTGTTGCCCTTTTTATTCTCTCTGTTTTTTTTTTTAAACCGCAAAGCTTTCATTTAGAATAATGACTGTAATTCGATCATTTTATATTGCGGTTATTACTGAATATTTTTTTTTTTTGGCAATATCCTCTGGCTGCTTATGTGTCTCCGGCCAATAGAATCTCATTTTAAGACGCTGAGTTCATTGTTGTAGATTCTATCTCGAAGCTGGAGGAGGCATTGACGATCGATCCTAAGAAGCATGATGCTCTTTGGTGCCTGGGAAATGCTCATACTTCACGTGCATTTTTAACTTCGGATCTAGAAATGGCAAAAGTTTATTTTGATCGGGCATCTGAGTACTTTCAGCAAGCTTTTGATGAGGTAATGTTTGCATCTCTTGAACTTGAACTTGAACCATCCATCATTCTTTCACTCTTGTACCCATGCTTAGGGAAGCACTTCATTTAGCTGTAGCATTTTCTGAAATAGTTTTGAACTTCTGAGTTGTTTAGGATCCAGGGAATGAACTTTATCGTAAATCCTTGGAAGTTACTGCGAAGGTATGTTCTTTCCCATAACATTTTGGCATCACGTTCATTCAGCTGTTGTGATTGTGCATTGCCATTTATCTTCTGATATGGAGGTGAGCGTTACCGCTTCATTTTTTCATGAATGTATTTTCACCTGTACGTCTGTCCTGGAGGAGAATTTAGCGAGAGATATTTAGATAACCAAAAGTGATTGACAGAGACAAAGCGCTACTGAAATTTTAATTTATCAAGTGCTTTACCAACTTTTTTGACACCAGATACTCTATCTTTTGATAATAAATGTTAATCGGTTCAATTACTAACACCTGTTCCTCAAGGCTTGTGAGATGCATAAAGAGATTCATGAGCCTGGTTTTGCTCAGCAGGCAGCCGAGACTGGACCTTCTATTTCATCTGGCACAAAGGTGGGACTTCCAATTTTTATTGTCTTTCAATAAGTTTCTTTTTTTAAAAGAACAATTAGTGGTTAATCTTATGACACGGAATTACATCTGTCTCCTCACTTCTTTTTGCATCTGTAGCCTATGTTAAAGGCACTATTGAATTTTATTTCTACGGACATTAAGGAACTGAGTTTAATTGTTCATTTACCATGCTGAGGTTTTTAATCTGCATATGCATTTAAGGGGCGTGCCTGCAGTAGGAAAAAGGTGCCTTTTACCTATAATTCGTCATACTTTCTGTTGAAATTTGGTGATATTCAAGTATGCATCTTTTCTGTATGTTTCTTTGTAAAGAATCAGGTGCTATAGAATACTTAGGTTTCCGTCCTCTCTGGCATACCTGCCACGGGAAAAGGCGCCCGTTGAATAGAATTCATCACACCAACCCTTTAAATTGATGTGCGTGCGTGTTGTGTGTAAAGAACTTGAGTCGGGATCTAGGCATCTCATGAGATGGTTATCCCATTTCTTTCTTTGGCTTTGGCTTGTTCATGGACTGTCAATTATTTATGATGCTGTAGCATATCTTGAACTTGAACTCTCCATTGAGTCAATGGCAAGTTGTCTCAATAACAATGCCACCTCCTTGTGGGCATGAGGTTCAGGGTTCGCTTTGACACCTGAGTTTGAGTTGTGTTTAAATTGATTACTTCAGAAAAAAAAAAAACCATCCTTCATTAAAATTTTCAGCCACCAATTAGTAGACTATGATGGCGAATATGTTTAACTTTTGGTCATACATAGATGTCGAAAAAAAATCATTGCCAGATTATAGGAGATATGCTATATAGTTCTGATTTCTCTGAATCTTTTCATTTCATTTTTTCATCTGATCTATTTGTTTTCTTTTTCAGACCCAAAAGAAAAGGCAGAGCAGTGATCTGAAGTATGACATATTTGGGTGGATAATTTTGGCCGTTGGCATTGTTGCATGGGTGGGATTGGGAAAGCCCCACCCGCCACCTACTTCTCCTCCACCTCTTCAATAAGCGAATCATTTGAATTGATGCTAACAATTCTTTCAATTATGGTTTTGATTCTTGTTATTCACTTCTGAACCATTTCTTATCACTTAATCGTTTGTGTGATGCTTCCCTGGCTAATCATTTACCCATCCACCACCATAGGGAGCATCTTTCTATTTGGATTCAATTATGCAGTCATTCTTTTTAGCTTACAGGGATTCACTCTGCCCCTCATCTTTCCATGTAGTGAAAATAATCAAGAAGCGCTGGCATCGAAATATATTTTTCGTTTTGTCATCCACTGCTATTCCTTTGGACGCAGGAAAATTAAGGCTCAAGTTCTCAGTTAAAACTTAAAACTGTTATTTATGGCTCTTTTTATGCGTGTTTGACACATGAACGGGAATCACCCACTAATTCTTAATGTGTGCTTTTCCGAAATAGATTTGACTGTTGGGTTGGATGCCTTTATTTCGGAGTTCAGACACATCGAACTCCCCAAGAAAATAGTAGTCTTCGTTTTCAAATTATTAAGATACCTTTTAATAAAATTTTATATATTAATAGATCTCATTAAATATATTTAATAATTTTATTTTTTGACAAAAAATTCAAAAATATCTTTTATTTAATACTCATTTTATTCTATTTATAGGTTATTTTTAACATATTTTACTAGAATAAATAAAAACTTTAAAACTCATTAATTATGTTTAGAAATTATTTTATTCAATATATATATTTTAATGACATATTTTTTCTGAACAGCATTTAATAGAGGACAAATGAGGAAATTTATGATGAAAATTTAATAAGATGACTTATAAATATGATTCAAAAAAACATTCTCTCTCTTCTCTGTAAATTTGAGCATAGAGAATATATTGAAAAGAGTGTGGGATAGTAATTAAATATATATATATAATACACACACACACAAAATGATAATATTGAAATAAATATACTTAATGAAATCTTAATTTTATTCAAATATTTTATATTTTGGGTTGTTAAATTTTTTTTAAAAGCATCTTAATTTAACTCCGATCTTGTATATAAAATATTTTTAATTGAATCCTGCATATTAATAAAAATTTATTATTTAATTGAAGTTATATAAAATTACTATAATTTTTTAATTTTGTCACTAATAATATCACAATTAATATTAGGCTGTAGTGGTTACAGCACACTGTGTCTCTTTCATTTTTTTTAAAACAAGAACAAACTTAACTAATTACTCAAAAACATTATAGCATTCTTTATATTCAGGGATAACATGAACTTTTAAAAAATATTTTATATGTAAGAACTACGGGAGTAGCTATGGGGAACAAATGGTAGCAGTGTCATGGACATATAATCTTCCATAAACACGTGAATATTGTCATCGGGCCTTCCCACCGTCAATTCTGAAGCGTTAAAAAAAAAAAAAATCAATCCTAAAGCTAAAAAATTGTTACTCTCACGTTTTAAAACATTCTTCTAATTACCTCATTAAAATTAAAGATAAGTAGTTAAATTATTAATATTATCAAATATTGTTCTATTTTATCTTTATTGAATTTATCATCTTTTAAGACTTGATTTCATTCGTAACTTGTAACAATAGTCTATTCAAAGAAATTTGTGAAAAAGGGTAAAATTAAAATAAAGTAATTAATGATATTTTTTTATATAAAGTTACTTGTAAAAAGAATTAATAATTATTTGATAGAAAAAATAAGGGTCATTATTTTTTTTACAATGTGATTTATATATAAGATTGGAAACGGATTATATTGTAGGTCTTATAAGTGCGGGCTGAACAACCAAACCGAACTGAGGTTGACTGGACCAAAGATGCATTCTTCGAAAATTGAAATGGCAACAAGGTAGATAATCTGACACCTTACCGGTTAGTTTTGAAGACGAATGGGGCATTTACACTGTCTTCATGCTTACTCTTAATGGCGAAATAGTGAAACTTCATTAATGTTTCTGGTCCAGAAATAGAATTTATAACTTCATGAAAGTTGATTGTGCATCTTGGTTGAAATTTTCAGCATCGAGAAAGTAACTGTTATTGATGATTCTCTTTTCCTGTATTCTCACCCTCCCTGTCCTTGAATGAATTTCTAATCTTCATTCTTCAGAATATGTAGGATCTGATAAAAGAACAAGGAAAATGCACTCTTCCCTCTCTGCAACTTCATAAAAGCATGCCCAGGAAGTTAGAAAAGCATAAAACAGAGAAATGAGAAATTTTGTGGGAGATTGAAATAGTGATTGAATCAGACCGTGTAAGATAAGTCATTTCTGGTTCATATCATTCATGAATGAGAGAATGGTGGTCCTGGTTTTCTCGGCCTTGGCTGTTAGACCATGTTGGAGTATTTCTTAATTTATGGTTGGGACCATAAATTGTGTGTCAGAGATTTTATTGAATTTTTACCGTTGGTTTATGAGACTGTGATCTCTTGGATACACGGTAAGGCTGCTTGCACATTCATACAGGATCTGATTTCTTCATTTATTCCCTCTTTGTTTGCATTCTTAATTTCTTATCTGTGATTTTGTGAAATGATTGTTTTAAAAAGTAAAAAATAAATTTATTATATTTAGAAAAAAAAAAAAGAAGATATTAAGGCAGGAGAGTTAAAAAATATACTACACAATCATGTATTCCTCTTTCAAAATTACTAGACTTTTTTTAGAGATACCATGGTTATTTTTTTCACAAATAATTAATTATGTTTTTTTAAAAATACTCTTAATAAATATTTAAAATTAATGATATTTTCATACTTATTAATAATTAAATTAAATAAGATAATTTTTAACTATGCTAATTGTTTTTTATGTAAATAGTTAAAAATATCTTATAGGAAAGTAGTAGTAGTATGATTATTTAAATTGTTACTGTGAAGAATCTAATTTAATACTAACGTCTATCCCCTTGAAAATGGCCGTCATAAATGTCTCAATGGGAAACAAAAAATGAAACCAATTGGAAGCCATGAATGTTGGTTCTATAGATTGGGGCAATCTCATGATACACAATGAAACCGTTGTATGTAAAAGCAAGAATTCTTTCCTTTCTTTCTTATTTGCATCAGGCAGTATCGAAAGGCTGCCTTCAGCATCTTATCTCACCTTTTTCCTTCTCAGAGAATTTAAAGCTCTGTTACTATGCACAACTCGCCATTGAAGAGACCTTCAGCTCCATTTACTCTTCCTTCACAACAATTAAGTCTGAATATTTTCATCAATTTTACCTTCCAAAAGCGCAGAAAAGCTGACACTAGCTCAGTGAAAAATAACAAGTGCCTTTAATAGCAACCCCTGTGTTTTTTTAAAAATAAAGGCACAAGAAACTTAAATAACAAAATAAAAATCATATCAGGTAGCTACTTTTGTACTATCTCAGTAGTGCAATATGTGTTGTCCAAACTATAATAGCAGGGAATTTAGAAAAAAAGTTTCAAAATTTGGTGATCAACAATTAACTAGGGATTTTTGACCTTATTGAAAGAAGCAATTATGACGCTGGCAGTAATGGTTGTGGTTGTTGTATTGAGGGTTTATTGGTGTCTTCTGCATTAAAAGCTTGTGATGAACGTTGCACATTTAATTCCCAGAGCCAATAACTGCATTGTGCTTTCTTCCCAGCAGCCTCAACTCCAGAGTGCTAATCTTTCTTAACCTTTTTGGCTTCATGCATGTGAGAGTGAGTACATGGTAGCTGGTGATATGGCTACACTCAACTTATTTCAACTTCTTTCTCTTGTATTGATAATGGTGGATTTACCGTCAAGCCTAGCAGAATCAACACTGCTCCTTCATTTCAGTCGTACTCCACCACCTTTGACCAGGTCCTCTAACGCCATTTTCCAGTACTTGGTTAAGAGGTTGGATGGTACCAACGCTTGTAAGAGAGATGCTTGTTCATTTTCCTGTGAGGTATGTGGTTTCTCTTTATCATTCTATTGGTAATATCATCATTTGGAAACCCCTCCAGTACTCCATTATTTTGAAAGTTTTCAACCAAGTCTTGGAGTGCAAATTCATACAATATCACATTCAAGTTTAGGTTGTGAATATAATATATATATATATATATATATGACGAGCTTTTTGCAACAGCTTGATTGGAAGGTTTTTCCTTGCGGAGCTAATGGTACTGTGTTGAAGAACTTAACTGTAAACGAGAAGCATTACTTCGTTCTCACTGTTACTACGAACAAGGGAGAAAGAAATTCATCAACTTACTCGTGGTTTATAGGTGACCACCAAATTAAAGAGAAATGTCATTTGCTTTTATTTGATTTCTTCGACACAACACTAACTTCATCAAAAGTTTGTGACTTTACTTTCTGATGGTTTCACAATAGACAGAATCCCCCCAACCGCAATCATCTCTAGTGAAGAGACATATACAAATGCCAAGAGGATATTGGTTGATATCACATTCAGCGAGCCATGCACTGGATTGGGTGGTTTTAATTGTCAGAACTCATCAAACTGTGATGTAAGTTGGTTTCTAATCACTAGGACTATGTTTATAAGCATCTTCCGTTATTTCTTAAAAAAGTTTTCACTATTTAAATGATGGTTCTCCTGCAAGGTCTTTGTAACTGGTCCAGCCCATGTCCGTGCTTCTTCTCTACAAATTATTAGAACAGGCACTAAGTATGGTTTTGAAGTGATTCTCTCCTCAAAGATCGCATATGGGCGTGCAGTAATCCAAGTTGCAGATAATATTTGTGCGGATCAAGCTGGAAATAGGTTCAAGAGAACCAATATTTCTTCTTTGATCATTCACTTCGGTAAGCTTCTATCTGCCAATTTCCTGTTCTAATGTTATGTTTAATTAGTAATTTAGTATTGTCATGGCACTGACATGGTACAGTTTGATGGCTTAGATAGAAGACCAGTTACAGTAGATTTCTGGACTTCAGTTCCATCATATGAGTTGGTAATTAACAAAGTCCCAAGAACAGTGTTCGCAACTAGGAAAACAGAAGACCTGATAATTTTCTTGGACTTCAGCTTTCACTTGCGAAATTCAACCAAGCAGATTCTAAACGCATTAAATGTCAATTCTGGTATCTTAGTGCCTTTCCATGTCAGACATAATGAGACCCGCCGTTTTGCTTTTAAAGTAAGCAGATAACATATCTGAATCCTTCATGCTGTTTTGCAACAATCATATTCCTCTCTGCTGATAGGTTTTTCGTTTTCATTTTGAAGCTCAAGAACATCTCAGGAACTGAGATCATCACGGTTGAATTACTGGCTTCTTCAATATTTGGCAGGACGGGCACTCCTGTCTCACCTGTTGCTCCTATTACATTCCTTTATGGTATGCCACACTCTGCTCACCACATTACTCGGATTCTCTTAGCAGCTTTTACTTGAAGTTAAGCCCTAAATTTTTTTTGGCAGATTCAATGAAACCTGGTGTTACACTGAGGACCAGCTCAGAGAGTGTAACAAAGGAATCTCACATTAACATAATTGTTGAGTTCACAAAGCCAGTCTTTGGCTTTGGGGCCACTATGGTAGAAGTAATGGGAGGAAGACTGATCAGGCAAATGAATTTGGCATTTCAGTATATATTACCGACGAACAAGTTCATGATATTATTCATTTAAAGTTAAATTATTGCTATTATAATTTATTGAGGGGTTTGATGTTTGTTTCATGTAGGTTAAAGGAACTATCAAGAGCTCTATACTCGTTGTCTGTCCAAGCAGTATCTCAAACAGTGGTGTCAGTTACCGTTCCTGCAGGGAAGGTAACTGATATATCAGGAAACGAAAATATGGCATCCAACCAACTTGAAGTAAAGCATCGTATGAAAAATTCGTCTCTTTCTTCACTTGGTTACTATTCTTTTTTTTTAAATTACTGAACATTCATTTTCTTGGTATTCAGACTTAAATGCTCTTTATTTAAATCAATCAATTAATTTCAGGATGAGTAATGTGAACTTACAGAAACACCTGATTCATTAATATAACAATGTAGAATCTCACGCGGATATGCTGCATGCTTACATGTAGCCAAATATATGTATAAAAACCTGTTATTCTTTAAGCAGAGCTTCAGATGTTACTATGTTTCTATTTATAACCCGGGCATCATGTCCTCAGATTCCACCCCTGCAATATCCATCGCATTACATTCATTTGTGAGCGCTGGGACAATAGCTACATCACTTGTAGCTGCTATATTTTCACTGTCCTCTGCAAATCTGGAAGCAATGGGCACACTTGCTTCAGGAGGTACAAAAAGTGCTGCTTCCTGTCCATCAACGAATCTACATGTAAATATTGGAGCATTCGGTAACAGTTATGTACTTTTCAGAGCTCAAAGATTTATATCATCACTAAAAGTGCATGGGTTGCCTTGCAGCGAATGATAGGACACCTACAGATCTTTGCCATCTCAGGCTGGTTTCAGTTAATCAACCTATTGCATACTCTGAAACAACAAGAGGTCTCCTGTGGCTCATACCCCATCACAAGCTTCCCTGGAAAGATTTTGGTACTTCAACCTCAGATCACAAAGGTTTTCCGGCAGAAGAAAATTTTTTTAGCATAACTGATGGGTTGTTTGTTGGGGCCAACTCTCCTAACAGGGACCACCATCAAATGACTTCACAAATTCCTCGTACACCCAACATCTTGCCATGCTTCCAAGTGAGATAAATTCAAAAGTTGGTTGGCTTCCCCATCAGCACAATATAAGTATAAAAAGTACGTCCTTTGGTCAACCTCTCAGCTCTGGTGAATATTTTAGTCATTTCTTGGTGAGTATGCAGCGTAAATTTTTTTTGATGTATACATAACTATATATAACATTTCACAGTTAAGTTATTTGCATTGTAGAGAGGAGAACCCATGTCAGCTAGCAATGTCATCAAGAAACTGGGAAATTACAAAGGGTATTGCATTACTGTAACCTTTATTCTTAATCATTGGATAAAAGACAATCACTGACACAAGACATATAGTTTGTTATATCCGCTAGTGACAGAATGAACTTGATTTTGCATGGATAAAAAAGTGGGAGGTTGTTTTCTAACAGGTGGCTGGACTTGGAGAAGAATTTGTTCTGGCTTGGTGTGGGAGGAGGCAGTTTAGTTTTAATTCATGTTTTCGTTGTTTTATTCTTGAGATGGAGGACTGGAATATCACCTCAAGGCAGTCTTTCAGTTCCCAGGCTGGAGCTCCTTCTTCTGATTCTCATGCTGCCATGTATTTCTCAGTCTTCAACATTTGTAATAATAGGTAAGAGACTACTTTTTACCGTCTTATTTCAGTCACCAATATTTGCAGGATTCTGTACACTGATGCGTTAAGACTATATTTATGTGCAGGCGGTACAGCTAGGGGAATTATAACTGGGGCTTTATTGTTAGCAATTCCGGTAGCATTCATCTTATCAGTATCCCTCTTTCATTTTATTGCAATTTTCTTCGGAAATTTTGTCGAATATAAAGAAGTTGGGCAGTTAGCAAAAGAAGAAACATGGTACAGGAGGTTCTGGTTCATCCTTACTGGGAGGTCAACAAATGGAAGGTGGTTTTACAGGGGAGGACTACCTTCATCGTTCCTCCCAAGATTTGGAATCCTTTTTGATAGCTGTAAGGGTTGTCCTGTGCCCGTTTTTGTTGATCAGAATGATTCAAACACCCACCTGAATTGGGCTAAAAGTGGCCAATGTGGGATTGGAAGAGTGAAGGCACCCAGCTCAGATGGCAGCAATAAAGAAATCAAAATCCCATTGTCCAAGAGGGTTTTGGGATGGGCAAGATCATTTTATATCATTCTTGATCTATTAAGAAGGGCTGGTTTGGGAATCATATCTGCTGCTTACTCATCAGAGCGATCAAGTAAAAGTCTTCTTGCATTGGTAATTACATCAATACAGTTCATTTATCTATTCACATTCAAACCATATATAAGGAGGGGCGTCCAAGTAGCAGAAAGTGTTTCCCTTTGTGTGAAGTAGGTGTGTTTGGTATATTTATCATTCAGAATAACTCAAATCTGATTGAAGCCAAAACTTGGGGATTGGTCCTGTCGATTCTTCTTTTGTCTTCTTTCATTGCTCAGCTTATCAACCAATGGTATACTATGCTAACATCATTATCAAGATTCTCACAGCCTCAGAAGAATTCTTTTAGGCATGGATTAAAATTTGCTGCCAAGGGAGCTATCCTGCCTTTCCTTCCCAAGCATCATTGGCGTAGATTGATATATACACCATTCCAACCGAATACAGGGCTACTTCCAGTAAATCCTCTACGTTCAGAAACAGAATTTGAAAGAAGAAATAGAACAAGATATAAGGATCCAACCAGTGCCATGACTGCTACTGTAGTCCCTGTGCTCAGTCCCGGTACACCAAGCCCCAATGTTGTTGAAACAAGATATCCAACTCCAGGGACAGATATTAATGAGCATATAGAAGTGGAAGGTAAATGGCTAAAAGGACACAAGGCTGGACCAAGAAATGAGCTAAAGATGTTAAGAGAGCTAGCAAAAGCCAGTTTCTCTGGGAATTCCCGAGTTGAAGAAGCCAGTACCAGCTACGCCTGGAAGAAATAGCCCTTTCCAGTAAGCTTCTTTGTGTATTTCACGGCAAACAAGCAGATCATGACTCTTTTTTTTTTTTTTTTGGAAAATTCAATTTCCAATTCTTCCATTATCTTTTGCATAGCTTCTCTTAGGTTAATTCTCAAATGACAGCCCTGATCCACTTTCTTCAGAAGCCAATTCAATTAAATGTATTTAATGCATCTGTATAATAACATTGAAATGTCCTATGCATCATCCACAGTTTCATTTGCTAAGAAAAAGTTCAATAAATGATTTTCTTAATGCAGGCAACAGAAATGTAACTCTGCAGCCAAAAACTTCAAGACACTTGGAAATGAGAAGGACGCAATCTTAAGAACACTTGAACGACCAACTAAACTTGAGTCTCAATAAGCATCGGACCGATTAAAGACATCTAACATATCTACTTCAGCGATGACACTTAGGTTGTGTTAAACGACATAGAATTGAAATCTTAACTAGCAAGCGAATAAGGCAACGAACAGTCAAGTCATCACTGCACTACAAACCTGGATAGGCGAGTAGAACACCATAAAGGAAGTGGTCAGCAGGAAAAAGTAATCCTAAAAACCAAAAAATTGAAATAATATGGTAATACAAAGTCTCTTTTTTTTTTTATCCATTTGTAGAGGTAACAAAAAAAATTAAGTGATAAAAGAAAAAAAGGAACAAAATTAAGATAGACATTAACTATTATTACAGGAAGGCTACAATATATATTAAGGCAGACGGGGTGAGTTTCGGAAAAGTCAAAAATCTTCATCCGTCGTGAACACATGGACGCCAGCATTGCCATTCAAACTGGACATGACAGAAGCTTTCTGATATTCTCCAACCCGTTTCTCGAAGAAATTAGTCTTGCCCTGCAACGAAATCAGCTCCATCCAATCAAACGGGTTCTGAACATTATATATCTTCCCGTATCCCAAAGCTCCCAGCAACCTGTCAGCTACAAACTCTATGTATTGGCTCATTAGATCTCCGTTCATCCCCACTAGAGCACACGGCAAAGCATCACACACGAACTCTCTCTCTATATCCACCGCGTCACGAACGATGCTCTTCACCCGCTCCTCGCTCAACTTCTTCCTCAGCAGCGAATACAGCAGGCAAGCAAAGTCGCAGTGAAGCCCTTCGTCTCGTGATATAAGCTCGTTCGAAAAGGTGAGACCGGGCATCAACCCGCGCTTCTTCAGCCAGAATATCGCGCAGAAGCTGCCCGAAAAGAAAATACCCTCCACGCAAGCGAAGGCAAGCAAGCGCTCCGCAAAGGATTCCGAACCATCGATCCAGCGAAGAGCCCACTCGGCCTTCTTGGCCACGCAAGGGACAGTCTCTATGGCGTGAAACAAACGGTTCTTCTCGTCAGAATCTTTAATATAGGTCTCCAACAACAGACTATACATCTCAGAGTGGATGTTCTCGATAGCAATCTGGAAGCCATAGAAGGCTCGGGCCTCGGAGACCTGAACCTCCTTCATGAATCGACCAGCTAAATTTTCGAGGACGATTCCATCGGAGGCAGCGAAGAAAGCTAGGACATGGGTAATGAAGTGCTTCTCGCCCTGAGTGAGAGATCCCCAATCGCGAAGGTCCTGAGAGAGATCGACCTCCTCAGCAGTCCAGAAAGAAGCTTCGGCCTTCTTGTACATCTCCCATATCTCAGGGTATTGTATGGGGAACATACAGAATCTATCAGAGTTTGGAGCGAGCAAAGGCTCTTCCGGAATCGCAGGCATATTGTATGACAGGTAAATCAAAATGGGAAGAAGATTGAATATGAGAGTGAAGAAGGAGAAGAATTGGAGGCACGATGGAAGAAGAAGAAGAAAGGGATATATAAAAGAGAGGGAAGAGCGGGAAGAGAAGGATTGAAAGATTAAGAGCGAGCGGGTGATTTGAAAATTGTGGGAGAAGCTTGCGGGAGACTGAACTTGGAGGGGTAATTTGGAGAATTCAGACGCAAATTCTGATGACAGAGGAGTTTTTTTTTTTGTTTTGGGAATTACAAGGCCACGGTAAGATGACGGAGGAGTTTGAATTGAATCGAATCCTTGAGCTCACTTTGCGGCTTCGTTTAAATGTTTTGGAAATTTTGGTGGGAAACGTTTGGGGCGCCTTCCGTTTTTGGTTTTCAGTTTTAAAATCAGCAGTCACTGTACTGTTAGTGTACCGTCTTACTAAAAATTAAAAACATGTCCCTTGCCATCTACACTACCAAATCTAAAACTATCTGTTAAATTAGGATACAAATAAAATAATCTGTTTTTATATATTTTAAAAAAGATATTTGCATGAATTTTAAAAATAAAATAAACCTCTTTATATTTTATAATATTTAAATAATTATGTTTAAAGAATATATTTGTGTAATATTTTAAATGAAATTAACATCTCTACATTTAAAATAAATATGAAATGTTATATCTTGTTTTTTTTAAAACCATTCCGAATTATCTTCTAATTTTTAAATTAAAATTTACATTAAATTGTAAAATTCAGAATGCAACATATTATTAATTATTATCCTTGAGTTATAAATTTGAAATGTTTTTGCTTTTTTAGCTGAAAAATAACAGCGAAACGGGTAAAATACTGTTCATTGGAAGCATTCGCCATAGTACACGTGGTGGCTCCATGAGGTGGCACAGACAGATAAAGTCCACATATGATATTTTGTGTTATGCATGAGCAGCACTCACTCGATGCGCGTGCAAGTCCTGCGCGGATGCCACGTATGATATAAAGTGGAAATCCAGTAATTTGCCCATTATTAAAATAACAAAATTACAAATGAAGAAATCCCGATTCTTGTATGAACATTTTAATCCAGTAATATGCCACGTATATTTTGGGAGCTTAAAAAAAAAAGGCAAAAAAGCTTCGTTGGCTTTGTTTTTAAATTCTAAAATCAATCGATTAAACACTACTATCACCAACTCTGAACACTCATTTTTAGCTTTAGTTCACATCGAACCCTACCCATTGATCATCAACTATCCTCATTGCTCGTTCTATCATTTGTCACTCTCCTGGGCTCCCGACTTTCTTTGTTTGAACTTTATCTCTCTCATCATGTTATAGAAATGTGGAACTTATCATGATCATGATGCATAACCCATGTTGTTCTCAGCTGTCCTCTCTCTCGTCATGAAGCAAAACTTGTCGTGAAGCAGAACTCATTGTAACATTGCTACTCTTTATCTCTCTCAATGAATCTCCTCGTCATCTAATCATTATTTTTCTTATTCATATGCCCCTTCATCATCAACATTTTTAATTCAAAATAAGTGATTTCTATATTATTTGTTGTTGTTAATTTGTCTATTGTTACTTAACATTTTTTATTGTTTTTGTCTATTGTTATTTTTTATTATTGTTAGACTTTTAAGTGATTATATTTCTATAATTATTATTATATTGGTATCTTATATTAGAAATTAATCTTGAATTTGGTTGAATGTTTTTATAATTAATATTTTTTATTTAAATTTTATTTATTTTAACTATAATCGGTTTGCCACTAATTTAACCCCTAGTTCAACCAGAGTTGAACCGATAATTTATAACACAGTGATTTGATCGATTCAATAACCGATATGATTTTAAGTATCTTGTATAATATTAATATTTTTAAAATTAGATTGATATTGAATTTAAAAGGCTAGTGGTTCATGAAATATTGACGCATGATTAGTGAAGGATTATTTCATGACATTCACAATGTGTTGCCGCACCCACACATATTTGTCTCGTTCTTGTTCTTTAGTGGGCACTCACATATATATGTATGTATGTGTGCATGTATGTATGTTTGTATGCTCACAAATCAACACCTGTCTTAATAAGTCGTGGCAAGTGGGAATGCATTACCAGCACAACTCAAAACGCTGAATTATATGGATTTTTCATTAATTCTTTTTGTTACAAGTATGATTTCAAAATCGATTTTAAATATAAAATCTGAATTTAAAAATAAAGCACATCACTGGCGAGCTATATATCTAGAAAAGTGGCGTCAAGCATGAGGAGCTATACAGTGTGGTGTTAATTATTTCTGGAATATTTTAATGTATAGTTAGTTTGGTACCACTTTTACAAATTGGATTCCCTTGTCTGCCCACCATTAAAAGCACTAAATGAGGCGACAATAAGGTAAAAAACAAATTTTTTGGTGAAGTTAAAAGTGAAGGGGTAATTATTTATACTTTTATAGCTATGTATAGGCTATAACTGTGTTTAAAAATAAAATAAACCTCTTTATATTTTATAATATTTAAATAATTATGTTTAAAGAATATAATTTGTGTAATATTTTAAATGAAATTAAAATAAATATGAAATGTTATATCTTGTTTTTTTTAAACCATTCAGAATTATCTTCTAATTTTTAAATTAAAATTTACATTAAATTGTAAAGTTCAGAATGCAACATATTATTAATTATTATCCTTGAGTTATAAATTTGAAATGTTTTTGCTTTTTTAGCTGAAAAATAACAGCAAAACGGGTAAAATACTGTTCATTCGAAGCATTCGCCATGGTACACGAGTCGTCATGTAGTACACGTGATGGCTCCATGAGGTGGCATGAACTCCACATGTGATATTTTGTGTTATGCATGAGCAGCACTCACTTGATGCGCGTGCAGGTCCTGCGCGGATGCCACGTATGATATGAAGTAGAAATCCAGTAATTTGCCCGTTATTAAAATAACAAAATTACAAATGACGGCAAAACAAATAGAATCTCCCGATTCTTGTATGAACATTTTAATCCAGTAATATGCCACGTATATTTTGGGAGCTTAAAAAAAAAAAAGCAAAAGGGCAAAAAAATTTTGTTGATTTTGTTTTTAAATTCTAAAATCAATCGATTAAAACCCACCACCATCAACTCTGAACACTCATCCTTAACCTTGGTTCAAATCAAACCCCACTCATGGATCATTGACTATCCTCACTATTCTTTCTATCGTTGTCACTCTCCTGAGCTCCTGGCTTTCTTAGTTCAAACTTTATCTCTATCGCCATGTTGTAGAAATGTAAAACTTATCATGATCGTGATGCATAACTTGTGTTATTCTCAGCTGTTCTCTCTCTTGTCGTGAAGCAAAACTTGTCATGATTGTAACATTATTATTTTTTATCTCTCTCAATGAATCTCCTCATCGTCTAATCATTATTTTTCTTATTCCTATGCCTCTTCATCATCTACATTTTTAATTCAAAATAAATGGTTTCTATATTATTTGTTGTTGTTAATTTGTCTATTGATACTTAGCATTTTTAATTGTCTTTGTCTATTGTTATTTTTTATTATTGTTAGACTTTTGAGTGGTTATATTTATATAATTATTATTATATTAGTATCTTGTATTAGAGATTAATCTTGAATTTGGTTGAGTGTTTTTATAATTAATATCTTTTTATTTAAATTTTATTATTTTAATCATAATTGATTTGCCAGCAATTTAACTCCTGGTTTAACCACGGTTAAACTATTAATCTGTAACACAATGATTTGACCGATTCAATGATCGGTTTGATTTTAAGTACCTTGCATGGTATTAATATTTTTAGAATTAGATTGGACATTGAATCAAAAAGGCTAGTGGCTCACGGTTTGTATCTTTCAATTAAATTTGACCAATAATCAAACAAATGACGTAATAATTAAACAAAAAAATTATATATGTATATAATAATCTAAACATAAGAAATAAATATAAAATTATTGCTTAACTTAAAAATGAAACTAAACATTTTAAATTTATCATAATTTAGCAAGCCACATAATGCAACATAACATTAAATAATTTAAAAACTAGTCATTTTCTAAAAAGATTGGTAAAATATTAAAAAAGAAAAATTGGTATTTTTTTGGAACAATCCTGTTTCTAAAAATCGGATCAAATTCCCAATCTGATCGCAAGTCTAAAGCGACCCAACCCCTAAACAATTTTTGCATGCTGATTGAACTAAAATCTAGATCGATTGATGGTTTGACCATCCAGTTCAGTCTAGTTTTTAATCATTGCATGTTATCAATAATTATACATTGTTTTTATATAATTGTCTGTTAAAAATTAATTTAAAATGCTAGTATTTAAGAGAATAAAAACAAAAGATATATATATATATACTCCCTCTATTAAAAAATGTAAGGTATTTTTTGAGGAGTTGAATGTTCAAAAATATAAGGCATTTTTAATTTTTTGAGGTATAGCCATTGCTTTTTTTTTTTTAAGTGCCTTTGTTGATGAATAACTTTATATTTATTATGAAATATTTAATAGAAACAAATATAAAAAATAAGATCAGTTTAAAAGTATGTAATTATTTTATTAGGGTGAGATTTAATTAAAAATAGCTTATATTTTTAAATAAAGAGAGTATGTGTGTGTGTGTGTAATATATTGGGTCAAGCTACACCTCAGCTTGGACGTCAGTATCCAAACCAACTTGATGAAATCGGGCTCGGCTCTTGTGAAATGTTCCTCTATTTTGATCTAGCCGGAAGCGAAGTGGGACTTCCCGAAACTAAACCAGTTTAGTGTATTCTTATTTTTTTTTGGGGGGGGGGGGGGGTGTTCTGAGGGGAAAGGAGTTATGTTTAGACAAAAAAGTAACAATGCCTCCAGCAGGAGGATAACTGTAAAAAACTAAACAAGAAAAGAAGTAAACAATGAAAAGCGTTAATTTATATTAGTACATCAGAGGATTCCTTCTGAGACCTTGAATGAGATGAGCAAAACGAAATTAATTAAAATAAATAATTGGGCTCCAAATCACTTGAATTAATCACTACTGCTACGGGATCATGAAACCAAAGTCGAAGCCGTTGTCTTTTAACGAGAATTCCAACAAACAAATTACCGTCCCCGACAACATCATTTTCTTCAATGATGAATCGGTCCTCGCCCCTGTTAATGATGACGTTTTCAGTTCGTGTTTGGATTCCCCTCTTAGAACGTCTTTCTTTCTTTCTTTTTTTGAATGATGTCCATTTCCCCAGCTGATCGGAGACTTGTGCAAGAGTTTTTCCACTCTCATGTGATTTAAAAAAAGAAAAAAATTTACCAAGGTGATCAGAGTTGGAACTTTTGCATTTTTTTCGCTAGACCACGGATTTTAGTAGTAGATTTGTTGCTAATGTCGATGAGTTTGTCAGCTGCAAAAGGCTATATATTTCCTCTTCGGATCAATGAAGATGGGTAAATGCCTGTCTATTTAGCCTTATTACATATGTTTGATTTTCAATTTAGGGCCTAACAAAAATTCATTTAAAAAATTCAACTATTTAACAAAAAACACTTTCCGAATATAGTTTAAATATACTTTTGAGAATTATCCAGACAGCATCCTTAAAGTAAAAATTATTGAATTTCTAGCTTAATGCTGGGGGCATTTAGAACTGGGAGATATAAGGTAATGTTAAGGTATTGCCGCTGGTTGACTGGTCAAGGTATTCTGTTCTTACTAACCCAATGTGTTGACTCCCGCTAACCCCACCCCCCAAAAAAAATACAACCTCCCTAAACTCACAAGTGAACTGGAATCCTATCAAAGAACCAAAATTTACGTGGTTCTTCTGCTTTGAATCAGATCTATGATTGCCAGCCATAGGCAAATTTATAAGGTGCGGTTGAGTAGAAGTTTGTCTGAGCCTATTAAACAGAGCAGGCGATTGAATTGTTGATTCATAATGAGCATTAGAGTAAGGCCATGTTTGGTAGGTTGGAATTGTAAAAATGAAAATAAAATTAGGATAAAAATCTGAATAAAGTGATGTTTGATAGATATGAATAATAATTTTCAAGAGTCTTGATTCCATGAAAATAGGCTGAATTAAATTCTTTGTTTAAAGCCATGAAATCAAGGGCAATTCCATAGAATTGTGACTTTTAAGACACTTTTACGCTCATAAAAATTTTAGAAAGACAATTTTACCCTAAAAACATATAACCCTAACCACACCCAAAATGACCATTAGACATGGCAGACCAAGCAAAGACGAGAGAGCAGTGGGAAGATTGACAATAAGAAGGATGACGGACGACGACCGATGCAATCTAAAAATTAAAATGTAAAAATTAATATTTTATTTATATACTAAACATATGAGGAAATTAAAATGTTTTTTTGTAAAATATTTTATTTATATATAATATCTATCATCTATATAATATTTCATTGACATATAAAATACATAAAGAAATTAAAATACAATTAAGCTTTTATTATGTTTTATTTTAATTTTTATATAAGGGTATTTTTGTCTTTTAAGTATAATTCTATTTTCATGTCTTACGTACCAAACAAAAGTAATGTACGAATTCCATCTAATTTTTCTGACATACCAAACATATTTTTATAATTCAATTCTATTTCAATTCTGATTTTAATTTCAATTTTAATTCCATCAAAAACTATTCAATCATACCAAACAAGGCCTAAGGGAACGCCTACTCCAGAGCTCTCGCGCCCAAAAACAAAAATTCAAGGTTTGGAACCTGATTTGGACCAACTGCACTAAGCAAAGAGGAAAGTAATTTCACCCATTTAATTAAAATTTTCCCTCCCTTCCCCTCCCCCCCATTATATTATTGTCAAATGAGCCTCCATTTTCCCATTCAAACAAGGTTAGGAAAAATTTCATTAAAATATTCCCTCCCTTCTTCCCCAACCAATGTGTTAAAGAGTTTAGACTGATTCTTCTTTTTCAGATCTCTCGGATTTGACGTAATCAGTTTCAACATTTGTTACAAAAGAAAGCCACGTGGATCCTAATAACAAGGATGAGTTAGTATGCAGACTGATCTGAAGGCTAGTTTACTGCTTTCTTCTAGGCGATGCAGAGTTTGATCCAACCTCACGCTGAACGGCTCTAGGGACAAATGTCAAACCACGAGTGTGCCGGCGACCAAAGCTGACAGATGATGGAGTTGAGTCCGAAGTACTCAATCTAGAGACTGCCGTTACAAGGCCATCCATGGTTGCATTATCCACTTCCATTGTTCTCGAATCATTCTCCTTTTGTGCAGTTTGTTTTCGTTGAACCTTCTGCCTTTGTTTCTTGGATGGCCTGGCCTTCTTTAAAAACTCAAATGAAGAGGGGAACTTATGCTTGTCAATGAGATGCTGATGCCTGCTCTTGTAGCTTTTAAACTTTATACCACAGCCTTCCACTAAGCATTCGTACTGTCAGACAAAGAAACAAGGCTCTTATTAATTTCTCAGCCTTCTGAATAAGGAAGAAAGCGTGTGGACGTAAAAATGATTGTATGATGAACTATAAACTTTCAAAACAGGTGTAAAGACTAAAACCCAGTTCATAAAGGGGGAAATAAGAAGAATAGTTGTGAAATCTCAATTCCATCAAGAATCCAATCTCAATTCTCTAACTAAGAATCAAAATGTAGAATAAAGTAAGTTTTAAAAGTAACCATTACGTGCTACAAATATGAATGAAAGTTGGAAATACTTGCCACATCATAGCCACGAGCAGCCTTTGCTTGAAAGAAAGAATCATGCACTTCAGACACATGTATGCTTAGCAAGCGAGATGTTGGGTAAACTCTAGAACACACTGAACAAGAAGCAGTATGTCGTGCATTATAATGATTCTCGAAGTCCTCCATGGAAGTCAAGCGTGCTTCACAACCAACAATGGGACAGAAGACTTTCCTGCACAAACAATAGAAAAAGAATCAGACACACATGGGCCAATTTTATTACCAGGCGTGGAAACCATCATACTGAAAAAGCAAATTCTTGAACAAACTACGGTCTTGAGTGTTATAAAAACATTTCCTCATGCTGTGTAGAACAACAGCTGAAGTATTAACAGTAACATGCATAAATCCACCATATAGCAGCCTCAAACACTCCAAATTCCAATAGCTTCCATCAAATGAAGAAGACATAAAGCAGTGCATTTGATTAACACACTTCAATCTCAGGCATCTACTATATCTCATAGCACGGGGGATTGTCAAATTCTTACTTCTTCCTTTCTGGCCCCAGGATTAACAATCATCAGAGACAGCAACTTAAAAGTATAAAAATACACAAGCCTAGATGGCCTAATCATAACCATACAGTGGAGCTTACGCTTTAAAAATATGGAAATGGTGAGTATCAAGAAGAAAAAGAATATCGATGCTTTACATTCTGCAATGCCAATAAGAACCAGAAAGACAACCAACATTACCTGTCTTCATCTTGCACTAAAAGCTGTTGCTTCTCTTCGGCAGTTAATTCCAAGGCAATCTTGAAATCAAACAAAAAGTTTCCACTTGAATTTTCAGTACAAGTGCTAGGATTAAAATGACAAAAAAGACCGAAAGAACATTGTACTAAACAAAAAGTTTCCAGAATGTCCATTACGAGGAGATGAAAAAAAAAACGATATTTTTCAAAACCGTTACTTCGAGTTTAGTGGCATAATATTCGGAAAACAGACATGGATAGAATGAAGAGAAGAAAAGAGAACCTGTTTAGCAAGAAGTTCCCGTTCGATGTTACCGGGAGCAAAGAAAGGAGATTCCTGGCCGAACCAGCGACGTATAGCTTTCCAGTACGGGAACCCTGATTCAAGTTTCTCCTCTACATCCATCGCCATGGTCGACTCCCCTTCTGCACTCGCTGAATCAACAGTAAAGCTGGGAAGGGTTACGATAAACCGAATCTGTCTAATTTTTTCAATTTAATTTTGGATGGAAGAGTTAGGGTATGTTTGGAGTTCGGGGAAAGGGCGGAGGAAAGGGGGGATTTTTTTTTTTCTCTCTCCCTTTTTTGGGCCAACCAAACTACGAAAGGGAGGATTTCATGAATGGAATATCACATGACCGATTTTCAATATATTTGATCACAAAAGTATGTTTAAGAGCTTTTGTTTTTTTTCCACGTTGGCCAAAAAACTATGTTTTCCTTTCTTTTTATCACAGTATTTCAAATAAAATCGTTTGGTATATAGTTGGGATAATTTTAGAATTAAGAAAGTAAATGAAAATAATTTGACTAAATCTCCCATAGGAGGGATGGGAGGAGAGGAGAGTAAAGTTGGCCCAACAGAGGAAAGAAAAAAAAAAGAACAGAGAGAAGAGCAAAAATTTCTCCCTGCATCCTTTTAATTAATCACAAGGCTAGGACTCGTTTAATCGAAAGAAAGTATTAGGATAAAAATAAAATAATAGAAAAAAAAAGGAGGAAATGTCAACTATGGACACGTTTTGTTACCTTTGTAGGTAATGAAAAGAAAAAAATAGTTGTTTTATTTTGTTTTGCTTTGTTCTTAGTAAAAGTATTTTTGTTTAAATGAAAAATGATATGATTAAAAGAAGAATAAATTACCTTACCAAAAAAAAAAACAGAAGAAGAATAAATATACTCCTTTCGTTTAAAAATATAAGGTACTTTTAACTGAATCTCACTCCTCAATAAATTAGTTACCTACTTTCAAACTAACCTTATCTTTTCATATTCACCTCTATTAAATACCTTACAACAAATATGAAGAGTTGATGCTTGAATGTGAGGAAGGGGAAGTAGCAGGATCTGTATTAAAGTCTTAATGAAGATCTTGACCTAGAATTGTAAGGGGACGACAAGTAAGGGATTCGCTACCTCTTTAAGAAGTAATTTTAGGGATTGGCGGTTGAATCTTGTGGTGTTATTTGAACCCAAAATCAGTGAAATTGTGGCTAAGGAAACAATTCAAATACTGGGATTTAAATATAGTTAGATTGCTAGAGCTCATGGTTTTATGAGTGGTATTTGGGCTCTTTGAAATCTTGATGGGTTGGGGCTGAGAGTAGTAAGGAAACATGATTAGTTTTTACATGTTTGCTTTAAAGATTCTTCTATGGAACGTTGGCTTTTCACTGCTGTATATGCAAACTCACATAAGGAGCACAGACATTGTTTGTGGCAGGAATTGAAGAGTTTAGGAGTTAGGATGACAGAGCCTTGGCTTTTGGCTGGGGATTTTGATGTCATTGCAACACCAAATGAACAGTGATGAGGGGCTAGAGTTAATGTTAGAAGCTATAATTTGTTCTGTGAATGGTTGAATGAATGTAGTCTTATTGATATCGATGCAAAGGGCCCATTGTTTACTTAGAAAGGCCCTAAATAGAGGGGGTATGATCATGTTTACAACAAATTGGATAAGGAATTATGTAATTTGGCTTGACAGGATGCTTTCCTTGATGCTATGATTAGAGTGGTTACTAGATTTCATTTGGATCATAATCCTTTGTTAGTTGACACTTCTCTATGTGAAAGGTATAAAGGTAGAAGACTTTTTCATTTTGAGGTAGCTTGATTGACACATGCTTATTTTTTAAGGAGTAAGTAGGGATAAATAATAGATGTCCCAGGTTCACTTACTAGACTTAAAAGGAATTTGTTGCAATGGAATAAGGAAGTTTTTGGCGCGATTGATGTCAAAATTAAGGAATTGAAAAGGCAGATTCAGGATTTGCAAAATATTTTGGGTTGGCGTGATGATGAGGGGTTGCAAGATCAAGAGGAATTACTGTAACAGCCCTCCTGGGTCACCACTGCCTCTCCAGGGTCTTTTCCCAGGCGCTGGACAACACACATGTCACCACATGATTGCCGGCTTTCCCACTGGTGGTACAGTGGTTATTCCTCACCCCACCCTCACGGGGGTCTTTTGGAACCTCCCCAGACTCGAACTTCCAACCTCTACCACCTTAACGAAGTTGAGGCGAAGTCTGTTGACTCAATGGTACCAGACTTCGCCTCAACTTCGTTAAGGTGGTAGAGGTTGGAGGTTCGAGTCTGGGGAGGTTCCAAAAGACCCCCGTGAGGGTGGGGTGAGGAATAACACTGTACCACCAATGGGAAAGCCGGCAATCATGTGGTGACATGTGTGTTGTCCAGCGCCTGGGAAAAGACCCTGGAGAGGCAGTGGTGACCCAGGAGGGCTGTTACAATTACTTTAACAGCAACTGGTTGAGGTTCTTCATCAAGAGGAAATTTTTTGGTTTCAAAAGTCAAAGGGTGCTCGGATAGAATATGGTGATAGAAACACCAAATTCTACCATACTAAAACAATGATTCAGGGTAGAAGAAACAAGGTTTTGTACGCTGAAGAATGAGGAGGGTGTATGGATTAATGAAGATAACGAGATTTTATAATTTGATCAAGACCTCTTTTCAGAAGCTTTTTATTGAGAATGTTTTATTCCGTGACTAGATTGTAACCAAGCATAGTTGGGGTATTGTTAACGATAATGTCTTAAAGAGGATTGGTAGACCTTTAGAAGGGGATGAGGTTAAAAATTCTATTACAGTAATGGGGCCTTTTAAAGCTCCTAGAAAGGATGGTTTTTTAATTATCTTCTATTAGTAGAATTGGGAGATTTTAGGAGCTGATGTTACTAACTTCATTAAGTTAATTTGGGATAATCCTGAAAGAGTATTTGAGATTAATAATACTCTGTTGGTGATTATTCTAAAAATAAACAATCCTGCAATGGTGTCTCATTCGAGACTAATTGCTTTATGCAATGTGCTTTATAAGGGTGTGACTAAGATTTTGGTGAATAGATTGAAGAGAATTATGAACAAGGTAGTATTACCTTTTCAGATCAACTTCATATCCAGACAAAGCATTCATGATAATACAATTATAGCAAAGGAGACGGCGTATATGATAAAGAGAATGCAAGGAAAGAAGGGGTTTATGGCTATTATAATAGATCTCGAGAAAGCATATAATTGTATGAATTGGGACTTCATTATTAAGGTTCCAAATGAAATTGGTATTCTAGATCAAATTGTGAGTATTATAAAATTTTGCCTCAGTACAGTGAAGACGGCTGTGTTGTGGAATGGTGAGGGAGGAGTGGTTTCAGCCTTCTAAAGGAGTGAGACTCCGACACCCTTTGTTACCATATCTTTTTGTTTTGGGCATGGAAAAGCTTATATGGTTTTAGATGCTATTAAAGAGGCTAAATGGAATCCTTTATGTGTTGAAAGAAGCAAAACTCTGATTTCTCACTTAATGTTTGTGGATGATCTGCTTCTTTTTTTTTAGGTTAATGTAAATCAATTGTTGAATGTCATTGATTGTCTTAAGATGTTTAGTAGTGTATCTGGTCAAGAAGTGAATAAAGAGAAGATGAGTATTTATTTTTCTAAGAACATTGCACATGATAAGCAAAAGGTACTATATGATACTTATAGGTTTCAATGCAAGAATTTGGATGATATTTAGGGGCTTTTATCACAAATGGTAGGGCCTCGCGTAATAAGTTTCAATTCTTGATTAATAAATTACAGAATAAACTCAATGGTTGGAATAAACAAAGTTTATCTCAAGCTGGGAGGTTGACTTTGGTCCAAGCTGTAACCTCTCATATGGTTGTTTTTACAATACAACACACTCACATACCTATAGGCATGTGCAATGAAATGGAAAGGCTGCAGCAAGATTTCATTTAGGGGTTAACAAAGGAAAGGCAAAGGGTGCATGCAGTTAGTTGGGAGGTGTTATGCTCACTAAAGAAGGTAGGAGGGTATAGGCTCAGAGATATTAAGGTAATAAATGTTGCATTGATTACAAGAGTTGGATTGAACATGCTTGTTAACCCTGAAAGTCTTTATTCTAAGGTATTTATTTCTTAATATAAACGTGATGTTGACTTATTTTGTAAATGTGTGGTTAAGAATTCAGATTTTGGATTTTAGAAATTTCTAGAATCAATTTGGAATTAGATGATGGATATGGTGGCATGGGATTGTAGAGATGGTAAAAAGACTAAATTTTGGTATGATGTTTGGCTTAGTGATGATCGAAATCTTTATGATTTTAGTTGTAATAAACTTGTTGGTAGACTACTGAATTGTACTGTTAGTGATATGGTGAATAGGAGCGAGGATTGGGAATTCATGTTTTTAAAGGATTATTTGAGTGAGAATGAAATGTTAAAGCTTAAGAAAGCTACTGTGAAGTTGTGGATGGATCTTCATTTAGGTAAGGTTGATTTTAATTTTTTTCAGTCTGAGTTTTAAAGACTGGTTTATTGTAAATTTGAGTAAGAATGATGAATGGAGTAGATTATTTGCTATAACTTATTGGTGGAAATGGCATTGGAGGAATAAAATATTGTTTGAGGATGGTTTCGAAGTGGTAGATAAATATAGCTATGTTATTAGAAAGTATGTTTGGGAATTGAAAAATCTAAATCTTGTTGGAAATTTTATGAGAAAAGTTATATGATCAAAGAGATTAAGTGGGATCCTCCAAACAGTGGCGGGTGAAATTGAATTTTGATGGAGCAACAAAAAGGGCATCAAAAAGAGCTAGGTGTGGTGGATTATTGAGGGATGAGTATGGACGTTGGCTAGGTGGTTTTGCTAAGAAGCTTGGCATTTGTTCTGCTATAAATGTTGAATTTTGGAGAATTTTGTAGGGTTTAAAGATGGCATTAGAGATGAGTATTATCAATTTGGTTGTTGAAGGTGATTCCTTAGTTTGTAATTAATAGGTTAGAGGGGCCTTGTATGAATTATTTAGAAAATTGCATATTGTTGATTGATTTAATTCTATAAGAGGCTTCTCATTTCAGAAATGTTAGGTTTATACATGTGTATAGGGAAGGTAATATATTTGCTAACTGGTTGGCAAATTATAGTTCTAGTTTGTCTTTTGATTTTGTTAGGTTGAATGAGCCACCTAATATATTACAGGATTTTTTGTACACTGATACCATGGGGGTCTCTTTCCCGTGTGAAATTTTGCTGAATAATAAGGGGGCTTTGCTCCTTTCATGACTAAAAAAAATTATTATTAATAAGGATACTTTAAAAAAAAGATAATGATCACACTTTAAAAGACTAAAAATACTTTATATTTTTTAACATCTAACTCCTCAAAAAATATCTTATATTTTTTAATGGAGAGAATATTTTATTATTACTAATGAAGAAATACACAGAAATAATTATTTTTATAAATTTTTGTATGCTTTTTAAAAAATTATTTGATCAATTATAACATTTTGTCCAATTAAAAAAATACCTCATTAATAAAAACAAAATATTTGAGATTATATATAATTATTTTTATTGTAAAAGAAAATTATATTCCACATTTGATTATTTTTCAATAGAAAAGGGTTTTTGTAATATCAAATGGGTAAGAGAGTAAAGACCTCTCATTCCAAGGGAAGTGGATGAAGAGGGAAGAAAAAACTTGTTTTTCCTTCTAATTCTACTTCTCTGATGTCAAATATGATAGACTTTTAAAAGAATCTCAGCATGACATTTGGAAAACAATAAATTAATAAAAGTCTTGAATCGGAACAATCCATCCGAAGTCCGAACCTTCTAGTCATTACTGCATTCGATTATGACTAGCTGGCAAAATTGTGTCCCAAAAATAAACAGTGCTGCCAAAAAGACCAGCGCGTCGCAGCCCGTGATTTCAAAGAAAACAAGATTGTGTACATTCCTAACTCCATTGGGGAAAAAAAAAAGGGACCAATAAACTTACGTTTTCTTCTGCATGAAAACAAAGCTTAATGAGAAGAAAATGAATGATCTTTTCAATCAATTGCCCGACAGCACGAGTAAATAATACACAACACGTTACTATTGACAAAACAATACTGGTGACTATATGACTATATGTGTAGCAGCTAGATCGCGGGAAATCCCCGTGCCAACCCACAGAAACCTTTCTGTTTCTTTCCCCGTGTTCCGTGTTTCACCCTCAGGAAAAATGCGTCCAATGTTGCCTCTGTACCTTAAACCTTTCTCGACGTAAATCCAGATACAATGCACTTCAAAGAGCACCAACGCCAAAAAAAAAAAAAAAACATATACTCCAAAACAAACTTGATTACACAACATTTCTAGCAGTAGATTTCCCATATAGGTTGGCGTAAACAACCTTAGTTCGGCGCACCAGAATCAAACTCAAGACTGCTGCCATAATACAGAGTCCAGCCATGAGCACACAAGTCATGAAAAAGCAAATGGAACCTTCACATTTCGGAGGCTCTGCGGCGTTAACCACGCGTGACAACAATGATCCTATGCTCTTCTGATGCTGATTTCCCTCATGAGCTTGTTTCTCTGCTTCATAGTCATAGATTCCACTGGCAATTAGACTCGAGAAAACCAGAGTTCCCGAAGGGTTTGCCAGGGTAAGGAAATTGTACAAAGCACCGAAGTTTCTGAGACCAAATAACTCAGAAACTGCAGCTGGAACAATTGACCAGTGGGCCCCATAACCAAGGCCAACCAGTAGTGTACTCACATACATTGCCCCAGGCCATCCCATTGCTATGAACACGTGCCCAAAAGCCATTGTCAGTTGAAACCCAGCCAATGCAACTGTCCTTGGAAAGGCGTAATCCCTGCTCAAAAACATTACATGAAACGAATCAGAAAATATGGTCTTAAATCATGGCAACTGTTTGTGTTATAACTATGACTAGCTCTTTCACCTCACTACAATCTCAGAGATGTAACCCCCTCCTACACGGCCAAGAAAGTTCCAGATACTTATCATGGACACGAATATGTGAGTATTGTCATATTTCAGAGACTGGCTTATCTGGCCCAGGTTGTCTATAATAGTCAGTCCTGATCCCGAACCCAGAAGGAGGGACATGAAAAGAAGCCAAAAATCTGCTTTAATCAAAGCTTGTGCTAAGGTGAAGTCCTCCCCTCTGCGAGGTCCTCTCCTCCTCTTGACTCTCACTGCCCCAACTGCAGCTGCTTGGACTAGTTTTGATTGTAGTTGTGCTATACGTTTCTTCCTTTCTGATGAAGGAAGTGAATCCACGTCATCAGGCTTCTCATCTTCCACCTCACTTAATATTACTTCAGAATTACCTCGTTCTAGTGTCTCAGTCTGAGGAAGGAGTGCTTCTTCTTCTGGAGCCTTTTGCTCTGAGAAAAAACTCATTGAAATGGGAATGAAAATTGGGGCGACGAGGATGACGAACAAGACTGCTGTAAAACTCCTAACAATGCTATGATTCAAGGTTACCAGATCTTGAACAAGCATGACCCCCATCAAATAAGCAGCCAATAAGAGGCAGACACTGTAAACAAAAGTGAAGCTTGTGTCATCTGAAGGTCTAATTTGCTTGTGACCTTTGACAGGTCTGATAATGAATATCAGACCTATTCCTACCAAAGAGGGACCAACTGCAACCATGAAGATCAGTGACGCATGATCAGGGTAATGGATCATAGCATATATTTGAGTTAAGATTGCACCACTCAGCCCAGCAAAGCCCTTGAGAATTCCAACCACAGGGCCTCTATTTTTTGGGAAATTTTGAACGCAGGACACCAGAGTAACTGTGTTGAAGTAGGTCTCCCCATTTGTTCCCACAAATATAAGAATGCACATCTGCATACTCATAATCATCAATTACAAGTCCCAGGCAGTTCGTCATGTAACAATTGAAAGATTACTCGTGATTAAAAAAAGATATGCTGATGTGGACACACCTACAAGGCTACAACATCTAAACGAATTTAAGTTGTAATCGATGCATCCTTAATTGGAACAAAGACATGTTGTAATTAAACTTGGATTGACAGTCTGAAGCGCTTTCCCTTCTATTTGATTTACCTATGAAACATAAATTAGGTAAAAAAACAAAAGCATTATTGGACATATAAATTGAACTGCTCAGGAAGCAGCAAGCTTTTGTGGCTCATTGGTAGGAGATAAGGACTTCACTTTCTAATCTTAGCCCGTTATCATGTCAAAAGCTGGCAAATGGGACAGACAAATTGAACAGAGTGAAACCTCACAGATTCTTGTATCACTCACCATGTAGCCTCTATGACATCAGATCACCATGTTTACAGTGAGAATTGTCAAGTTTTGGGTTTTGCCAAGTGTAGTTGCGCAACTCATCTTTCACGCTATTCTTTTGCCTTCATTAATTTTTGGCACGGGCAATGGGGAATAATACGGAAGACAAGGAGTGCATCAACTTGTTACACCCATCGTGGAAGAAACGAAAAGAATAAAAATGACACAACTTTTGCAAGCCCAAAGTTCAATGAATTTGGTTTCAGAGATAAGAGGCGTTAACGCTTCAACTTTTTGGGTGCGGCTGAAGGCCAGTTAATGTTTCAGCTCGAGTCCTTCCTTTTTACATGGAAGAAAGAACCATTTTTTCCCAGATATCAAATTCCCTGATTCATGGAGTTTTGTCCTGGAATAATTGGACTCTCCATAACAGCTAACTTGGTTCCTTGCTGCTGTCAGTAAACATTTATGCCATCCTTGGTTAATCCTAAAAGCAAGGTTTCGCCTCCATTAGAAAACTCGTTTGAAGCCAAAAACGAAGTCAACCAAAAAAAAAAAAAGGCTGAATCCACTGTCTTGATTGGCCCATTTCAAAATACGCTGGATTCCTCTCTAAGAGACATAATAGCTTTGGAACAAGTTTTAACTTTTAAGCTTAACAGGGAAGGAGTAGTGAACAAACGGGGGCAAGCAAGCAAGCAGACAAGGAATTTGAAGAACTATTTAAATTTTTCTGATGAAGGACAGCTTAAGACGAAAGAGAAAGAACCATCCAACGATTAAAAGTAACAGCAATTAACGGATAAACACAGAAGAGTGCAAAAATCAAAGGAAAGGGAAAGGAAAAACTCACAGCCCACAAAGGCAAAGCGGGAGCTCGGCCAGTGACGATCAACCAAACCCAGCCATATCCAACAAAGTTCAACGAGACACCAACAAGCAAAGCACCCCAGGGAGGCAAAATCTCGCACAAGATCCCAGTGACGAAGCCGACGCAATCGCCAAGGTCTTTGGCCACACCCAGCCTAGCAAGCTGCCTCTGATTGTAGTTCAAGGAGCTCTTAATCACAGGCGATATGCTACCAAACAGATACCCAACACCGGCCCATGACTGCAGCCACATTGCAGCCACAAACACAAGCCATCTGTTCTTGTAGAAGGATGCAAACCTCTCAGCCAAGAATCCACCCATCACTGAACACCAAACCAGCGTTTGACCTTCCAAAAAATTAGATCTCTGTGTTCTCTTCCCGGAGAATCAAATTGGAAGCCAAGAAGGGGACGAGGAGAGAGCGCAATAAATAAAATCAAAATCATGCAGCGACAAAAGAAGAGGGGTGGGCCACCGGGGAAGGTGAGAACGGTGACAGATAACGGAGTTCGCGAGGGTCTTTGCAGAATATCAAGTATGAACAGGATAATCATCCTACATATCTCGGGGGTTTTGATATGTTCTTAAAACAAGAACAAATGACACGCACAAAACAAGAACAAACGAGGTATTCATATTATTGCTACAGTTAATGTTGGATCATGTACTAGAGATCTTACAGCTAGGGCGGCGCTGACGACAGTTGCGGATGGCATTGTGGCATGACTGGGTGAGTTGGTGTCTTTTTTTTTTTTTTTTTTTTTTGGGGGAGGGGGGGCCATGGATGTGGTGTCTTGTTGATGCTATTGCTTCTGTTGTTTTTTTTTTAGGTGCCAGCTTTCGAGCCTGTGATTTGAAGCTTTCAACCTGTTTTTTCTTATTGTTTTTACGTCACTTGCAAATGCACTTCTAAGCACTCAATCCAACGTGTTAGGAAATCGTTTATTTTAATTAAATTTAATTAATTTTGATAGAAAAAGACTATAATTTTTTTAAAAAAATCATATTAACAAAAAGGATGATTCCCTAACGAACTAAGATTCAAATGGCTAATGCATTTATGAGCAATAAAAAATTCCTATGAATGCATGAGTGATACAATTCATTTTTTGTTATGACATATTGATTTGTGTAAATTTATGGGTCAAAGGATAAGCGTATACTATAAAATAAAAATCACAAACTTCACGCTACCCTGTGTTATTCACGAGTTTTAAGAACACAACACTTGACATGGCCTAGAATGGACGGCAAAAGCTTTCATATTTACAAAAAGTCAAAAATGCACAGTTAGGGAATGCTTGTTGACAAAAAAAAAAGGGAAGAAGAAAGGAAACATTTGTTTGATCGCTGTGTTTGAACGGTCGAGAAAATTGTTTGTTTGAATTAAACATCACAGTCTAAGGATATCATCAGACTTTTTTTTTTTTGGGACAATAAGGATATAATTAGATTAATTGCACACTTTAGGTGACGAGCTAATTAATCACCAATAAAGACTTGTCAAGCTTCAATCCATAAAAGATTGGATCTTAAATAATGAATCAGGTGAAACAACATCAATAAAGGTCCACGAGATGATGTATAGAATATAATAGAAATTCGCCAACATAAATCCAACTAGTCTCTGGTCTCTGCGGATCTCTCGCCAAAATCACAACCTAATACTACAACAATTAAGAATATATGGCAGGACGCAATTTAATTATGGATGCATTAATACAAAATTTAATTCATTAAAAATATATATTTCGAATCAATTAAAATTGACGAGGGCAGTAGAGATTTTCATTACTTTAATAAGTGATTGAGAATTTAATCATAATCATTGTGTATGTAGGCCTGTCATTTATTTTTAATATTTTGGGAGAGATCCCTTTGTTAATCAAAAAAAGAAAATTTTAATTGATAAATTTAAATTAATAAATATTTTAAGGATAATTTTTTAATCAATTAACTCAAACAAGTGATAGCACTGTTTTTGATCAATAAACTGGACCATCCCAGACTCTGCCTTGTATATTTATTTTTCTATTATCCTTTTGTTGTTTATTTTTGGTCGGTTTAGTTCCCTTTCAGGTCAACTTTAATAAAGTTAATTTAATTAATAATATTTAGAAAGTGGGGCTGCTCTGAGGCTAGCTTTACTTGAGAGCTGAGACTAAATCACTATATGAACAGCCATCGGTCACATGACAAACGTGGATTGAGATGTCCTTTTCTGAGCTCATTTACAAAGCAAGTTTTAAAAAATTTATTTAATTTTATTTATAAATTACAGTATAATTTTTTAAATAATATTTAAAAAAATATTTTTAAAATTAATTTTAATATGAAAGTAAAAGTAACATGATATTATTTTTTAAATTTATTATATAAAAATATATTTAAAATTTTGCTTTTTTATTTTTTTGTATTGAAATTATTAATGAGATTGATAAAATAAAATTATAAAAAGCATATGGAAGCATGCAGTAATTATAGATAAAAATGATGAGTTACGACTTGTGAGCATGTTAGCACTGGGCAGGATGCTTCCTTCAGAAAAAAAGAGCAGCATGCTTCCTGCAACAATTTTTTTTTTTTTTTCGCCTGACTTCCTGCAACAATTTGGACGCTGTGGATGGTGCCTTTTTTTTTTCTTTTTCTTTTTTTACCTTAAATGGATGGTGCCTTTAAAACCAAAGGAAAAAGAAACCACACTTGCAGTGACCGACCTAGACAAAATTTTTAATTGGGGCAATGTTTCTTCCAAGCATCAATGTTAATAGTTTCTCAAGGAAATATAATTTAAAAATATATATATTTAATTTGTATCATAAATTTATCTTTATAATAAATAAAAGATACTTTTTCTATTAAAAAATATAAAGTATTTTTAATCAAATTTTTCCCCCATAAAATAGTTTTTTATTTTTAAATTAACATCATCTTTTTATATTTATCCTTATTTAATAGATTATTTTATTTTAAAATAAATATAAAGTGATTTACTATTTATCATGAACACTTTTGAAAAAAGTACAATAATTACACTTTAAAATACTAAAAAATACTTTATATTTTTAAACATCAGACCCCTCAAAAAAATTTTATATTTTTTAACAGATAGAGTAAATATTATTTTTAAATAGGTTAAAGTGTACATTTAGTTCTCTAACTATATATAAGGATTCATTTTGGTCCATTACCTTTATAAGGTATTTTTTTTAACCTTTTAACTCTAATACTATTAGTTTGAAATTATTATTTTTTATCCTAATTATTATTGTTTTGAAAAATTAAATTTAATATGTTAATATTTAAGAATATCTTGTCGATAATTTAAAATTTCTATGTAAATTTTTTTGTTGGTGAAACAAATAGTATTAAAGTTAAAGAGCTATAAAGACATTTTATAAAAATAAAGGCCAAAATGAAATTTAATATAAAATTAAAGTATTAAAGGTAAGCTTTACCCTTTTATATATATATATGTGTGTGTGTGTGTGTGTGTGTGTGTGTGTGTGTGTGTGTGTGTGTGTTTGTTTGTTTAATTTTAAAGAGGGTGTGGGTTAATAAATTTTTTGTAAGGGGAAATTGCAATTTTAAAGGAGGCAGGTGCAATTTTTTTTATAAATAAAAGTTTATATGAGTTGGGTTTAGAGATTTGTCAGAGTTAAAGCATGCTTTTAGATTTAAAGAGCGCTAATAGATCGTCCATGTATAAGATTATTACATTTGAACCTGTGATTTATAAATTATAAATTAAATTTTTACCAACTAAGTTTACTAATGGTACAAGGACAATTTTAATATGAAGGTAAATAAAATTAGTGCTTATTTAATGGCGACAATTGTCCCCACTATTATCAACAGGGTAATGTTCGCACAACTTTAGCTATATGATTTTTAGACATTGACGACGGATCTATGGATTTGAACATGTTGTGAGTAAATTACTTTGATTTTTAAAAAATAGGATTAAATAATACTTTCTTTGTTAAAAAATATAAGATATTTTTTGAGATGTTAGATGTTTAAAAATGTAAGGCATTTTTTACTCTTTCAAAGTATAATTATTGTCTTTTTTTAAAAATATTCCTATTAAATAAATTACTTTATATTTATTTTAGAGTAAAACACTCTATTAAATAGGGGTTAATATAAAAAGATATAGTTAATTTGAAGATAAATAACTACTTTATCGAATGTAAGATTTAATTAAAAATACCTTATATTTTTAAATGGAGGAAGTACAAGATATTTAAAAAATAAACAAGAACTTGCCATTTCATTGCTCCTTTTAGTACACTTTTGGGGTAACTTAGCATCCCAAAATATAAAATATTTTGACAAAAGAAATTTTATTAATTATACTTTTTAAATGTTACTCTTTTCATTATGTTCTTTTTTAATATTCTTTTATAAATGTGGTATTAAATTAATGACATTTTGGAAGTTTGTATTTTAATTTAAAAAAGGTTGTAAATTGTATTTAATAAAATTTATTGATATGCGTAATTTTATCTAAGAACGTCCTATAATTTAGGAGAGGTGGGGAATTAAAAATACGTAACATCCTAGGAAACTAATCAGGAATAAGTTAAATAAAAGAGAGTAATTAAGTTAATTATGAGATGTGTGGCTAAAGAGGTCTAATAAACGTGTTTGGTTGTGATTTCAACCTTAAATACTAGTTCGAGGTAGAGACAGGCCACCCGGACATTAAAAGGTAAGAAAATTTAAAGTGGGAACCTCTATACTACATGTCGTGATGTGTAATATGTCCGCTGCACGCACATAAAGGCAAGCAATGGAGGACAAACTTCTCTACACCATGTATCGTGGTGTGTGGTTAAAGTCTTGCATAAGCGGCTTCATGTCTATATGAAAAATCACAGGAAAGGAGTTAGAGAAAATGAGAGCACGCCCTTTGCTCTGTTAGGGCATAAACTTAATGATCATTGGAGATATTTTGGAGCTTTTGATCACCCAAGATAAGGGAATAACTCATGAAAATGCTATGCGAGATGCTGAGGTGAAAATAAAGCAACTGTCCCCTCAATTATTCTAATAAGGTATGTTCTAGTTAATTGTGTGAATTTTAGGGACAACATTTTTAAAAAGAGGGAAGACTTGTAATATTGTCAAAATTTAAACTTGATTAATTAAGCCTGGTAAGAGTAATTGAATTTATTACTGAGGTGTGTAGCTAGAGAGGTCTAACAGGCATGTTTAATTGTAATTTTAGCCCCAAATGCAGGTCCGAAGTGGAGTCGGGTCATCCAAATATGAACGAGGAATAAAATCTAAATGATGGGGTCTTGTGCCTCATACCGCAGCTTGTGGATAATTCACTGCGGCACGTATATGTCAATATGCTTAGGCAAGGCTTTTCTGTGCCATGTTTCATAGTGCATGCTACATGTGCCATGGCACATGGCCAAATTTCTGCATAAGATAGTCATAGTCTATTGAGAGATCAAGGGAAAGGAAGAGGAGGAACTGAAAAGGGTAATATTTCTCTCCTAGGGCTTACTTCCTTAAAGGGTTAGAAACATATTGGAGCTAGAAAACATTTAAGGTAAAATTTCTAAACTCATTTCTACTGTTTTCTTTCATTTTCTTAACATTGAAAGTTAGGTTTTAATTGAGAAAGATAATTTTCGATCTATATAGACTATGGGTCTGAATCCATTAACTTAAATAAAGTTAATGGGAGTTATTT